ATATTATCAAATAGATAGGAGGTATTTGTTGTCAAATAGAGTATCTTCGTTCAGATAGCACTGGCATTTGGCATCAGTCGGAATAGAAGCCAATCAATTATTATAGGAAGTCTGATCACTAAGAGCGATGACATTCCGGTCATATTTAACTTCAATTCATTCATTCCTGTTATTCCAAAGAGTTGCTATATTTTTTTGCCAAACTCGCCTTATATATGAGATCTAAGATTTTCGAGTATTCATTTAAATGTAACTACGCTTATTTTATTACTTTAAACTGCATGATCCCGATGTTTCGGTTACTTTAAACTTTTTAGCAACCATGATCACGGGCAGACGAGATGTGAATGTCAAAATAATAAGTTTTCGTGTTCTGAAATATTTTTTTTGCGACACATATGTAGTATAAGTTCATTACAAGTTCCCTTGTTCGAATTTTATGACATGTTCCAAAAATAATACTGACTATAGCTGATTTTTCTAAATCATCTATATTGTATCCCTAATTTTGATTTGTAACTATTTTTAAGAAGAATATCAATACACTCTGAGTAAAATGACTCAATATTCAGTTTTTTCTGCTTTACTATAAGTTTATTTGTATTTTATTAGAGTCATTTTAATTAAGACTAAATTAAGTAATGATACATCAGCAAATGTATATTTTCCTTAATTTTTTTACGTATACAACACTTAAAATTACAATTCAAAATTAACTATTAGGGAAAAGTGCCCAAAGAAAAAAAAATGTTAACAAAATTATCTTTGTTTTATTATTTAGTTTTATCATTATTTAGAGAGAGAGAGATTTAGAGACAGTTGAACTGTATTTGTATTAAATGTTATATTTATATATAATATTAAAATCTTATTGGGTTGGGCGAAAAGCCCACTTTTTGGGGAAACACGTCCATTTGTATACATTTCTTTAGGTCTATGTCTTATTTTAAGTTTAAATAAAAAGTATTATCACTATTATTTCTTTTATCTGCACTGGCATCGTCTAATATTTTGGCAAATATCAACATTTTTATTTGTAGGATGAATTATAAAACTAATTTTTCTCTGACAGCTGTAACTGTCATGTCAAGTTTTTTGCATCATGCTTATTCCAAATTCCAATATGGCCAAGCAAATTGGAAGTATATTTTGAAAAAAAATATGAACTTAACCAAATAGGGGAATATGAAATCGAAGTTGCAAAAAATTACTATTTGAGCCTCATCTTAATAAATTAATTATAATTTTAAAGTATATCGTCATATTAAATATTTTTTAAAATTTGAAAGAAAGAGTTAGAATTTTTTTATTATTATTTTATTTATGTTTTCAGTTTTTATGAAATCCAAAAATCATTACTATTAGGTATCAGGAGAAGTGTAAAAATAAGTTCTCCTATCCAAACCTATTCTTAGTATATTAATATAATTTTGCTTAATTTTTTTTCAGATAATTCTTTTTATTTTTGATCCACACCAAGTGCCTAATATAAAAGGTTATAAAATTGATCCTTTTTTTTGTTAAACATCAAATTAATATCATTATAATATTCCCAAAAGGCTTCGAAGGCACGAAACGAGGTAAAACTATCATCCAATAAAAATAGAATTTATTCAAAATATAACATCCATTAGCGAATTGATACACGCACAGCTAGAAGCATGTAATTTCCCGCGGGTGTATGTATGTAAATTTATTTAATAAAATTACCATTCATTTAAACCTATGTAAAATAATTACTGGCATTAAAAACTCAACCTCATTTATATTTATGCTGAAATAAAAAAAAAAAATTATCTATGCTCTGTATTGTCAATTGTAGTTCATTAATATATTATCTATGCTCTATTGTCTATGAATTACATTGTATAATTGCATTGAATTGCATTTGTATACAAGTGTCAGCCAGTCTGTATTGTTAGTGTGTCTTTGTCAGCTGAACGCCTGTCAAGGAAGCTCCATTCATGTGAAGGCTTTCAGTTTTTATATTGTCTGATAAAACATTATACGGTGACAATGACTATTGTGTATGTATAACGTAGACCCTCTACGGGCTACGGTATGCTACGACGTAGATGGACACTGAATGTCCAGCCATTGTTGATAATTATGTTGTTTTTTTATATATATATTTTATATTATCTGTATCGAATAGAAATAAATATTAAAATAGATTATGATAAAATAAAATTATATATATTTGTATAATTTTATTTTGTGTATATTTGTATATACTTAGTAATGAAAAATATAAATATATTTCATTTATCTTGATTCTATACTTGTGATACATTTGTGGATTCATCGAGATGTATTTTAAAAATAATTTAAAATAAGTAATAAATAAAATCTTAGATTATAAAAATATATAAAAAAGCATGGTCTTTTGTTTAGGTAATGGCAGACAGTGTTGCCACATATCAGAATGATGAGATCTAATATTTTCGCGAGTATTCATTTAAATGAAACTAATATTTTCGCATTTACAACGCGGTTTTTAATTTTACCGTGATCACGGTTACTGTAAAGTAACTGAAACGTTGGGTATGTAATTTATAACCAAAAATAACAATCAGAAAGTCTATATACCGTTGCTTACAATATTTCGGAAGTACTACTTCTTTATTCTACACTGGTATTGAGATCCGACAATTATATGATTCAGAATAACATATTTTTTTTATTCTACATCTCAACCAAAGAAGAGTTTTCCTAGTATATAAGAAACAGTTAATGTTTTTTGTCTAGTAAATAGTCTCACAATGATTATAAGAATTTGTTATGCCAATGTTTGTGTATGCTTTTTTTTTCTATTTTTCTTAAAAAACCAAATACCAAATATATGTACTTTATTTAGTAACTTCTGTTTATTCTGTCATATATTGGTCATTTGAATTGTAATGCTTTCTTTCAAAATATCAATTATTTAAAAATGGACTCGAGTTTTTTTTGTCAATCTTAGACAGTTAAGGAGCTAAAATTTAAGACCAAATTTATTTTGATATTCTAATTCTTGATATATTATATTTATATATTAATAAATAATTACACGAACCTCGTTTTTAAATAGACTTAGACATCTTTTACCCAAAGACAAAATGAAATGCCGTTAAAACATTTATATAACAAATACGACTTTAACTAACAAAATAAAAAGAAAATTTGTGAATTTAAATGTAGAAAATCTTTTAATTCTTCCAAAAATTAAGATTTCGAAATGATGCTTTTACCGTATAAGACTGACTGTTTGTATAAATAATCTTAGTTGTGGATATGTTCAAGTATTTTTTATCCTTCAAATATAAGACTAAATCCCATACTTATTAATTTTCATTTAAAGATTAGCTTGAAGTTAACACGCCTGAAGATTTTTTACAAAGTGATTATCATACGCTGAAAAAGCCTTACATGTTGGAAAAATACTGATATTATGATATTTTAAAACTGCGTGGCCGATATTTAAATATAGTCAAGAACTACCTAAAGGAAATTTATTTTTAAATAGAAAAATCGCATCATAATCGATCGATTTATTTAAGAGCTAATATGTCACACACAAACATCAAAATTGCAACAACCATTCTTTTGAGTAGGATATAATTATAATATAATTTAATAAAGTATCATTTTTTCTTTCTTTTACGAGTACCTAGTTTAATTTTGATTTATGTTTTTAAGCAAAAGATTACAAGTACGGAAAGAGCCTATCAAGTCGTTCAGAAAAATGCTTCTTTGCAATAAAGAAAAACGAATAAAATCAATATTAATTTTGTACATCATTAGAACAAAAATCTATGAAAATTTAAAGATGAGAATTACCATTGTAACTCGTAACAATATTACTGAAAAGTCGAATAAAGTGAGATAAATATGAGTAAAACTCACAATGTATTCGACAAAGTGAATATTTTCTAGAAAAATGTAGATTATACGTCAATAATATAGATTTTCATAGCAAAAAAACAACTGTAGTATCATCTGTATGAAATATTACCAAAACTCAGTTAAAAATTAATCAAAGTTATATATTTTTTTATTCTATGGCTTCATTCGCACTGGAATCGTGGAATATTCTGCCAATGTCGACGTTTTTATTTATTTTACTTATTGTAAGAAATTTTAAATTTTACTGCACTTTGAATAAGATGAATATTATCTTTAATTTTAAATATAGATTTTTATGTATACTTAAATAATAAAACATATAAAAATAGGAAAAAAGGACGTCTTGAACGAAAGTATTTATCACTTCGCTAATTGAATTATTACAGAGTAAATTTAAATCCTGCTATTTTTATGTTAAAATTTTTCTAAATATATAACAGTTAATGTATTTTCAGGCTGGCATAAATTGTGCTTGAGAAGCCAGCGTCGCCATAGAGTATAATGAAGTTTATAGAGCGAGCTTTGCTTGTCTATGGTACGGAGGCTGGACACGAGTCTGATTAACGGAAAATTTCTCATTGTATAAATAAGATGGAATTATATAAAATATATGGTAAAAAGAAATGCGCAATAAAGATAATTAGAAAATTCAATATATATACAACAATAAGATTATACAAGTTGAATAGACTATTCTGGATTAGACTCTACTTTATGGTAGATAAAATTTAAGATAAAACGAACCAAAAGATAAATGTTAAAGATGTACGTGGTTCAGTAAGGCTAACAGCGCGCTCCTCTCGTCGGAGTGCGTAATCAATACGGTGGGAGATAGGATTCTCATCATTATTGACGAAAATATTATTCAATACATACTACTTGTAATACAATTTGTTCAGAGAAGGTACTACAAGTTTTGTACTACAGTAGTTTTTTTATTATTAAGAATAAATGAACATTTGGTGGGATATATAGTTCTGTACTTATTTAAGTATTATTTATCTAAGCAATACATATATTATATACTTGTATATATAATGTTCACAGTTTTATACGGATGTTTTACGCCCGCTACGCCCATGTATGGTGTTTTTCCTAATGCGCATCCCGTGTAATTGAACGTCGAAGCCCTAAAGGGATCGTCACTCACCACAACAGTGTCTAGTGTTCGAGATCAGCCCGGAGGGGTGCTGCGCCCCGCCCCGACACCGGACAGAAAAACAACATACAGAACAGATCGATCGATAACAACAGACACTCACACGGACCGCCTCTACTACGAGTATATGATACTCAGATACATTACGGGCTACACCTGGACGAGGAGGAGAGAGAAGGAGATACAACCTACTGGAGGAGAGGAGAAGAGATGAGAGGAGATGAGTGGAGATGGACGGGAGAAAACGGCCGAGAACCGGCAGGTAGAAGGACGGTAGGACTAAGGAGACGGGAGGGAGGAGGAGGAGGAGATGATGAAGATGAGAGGAGGTGGAGCAGGGCAGGGACAGGAGACAGGCTGTGAGGACGGGGGACGGACACGCCCGGGGAGTTGCATAACGCTGGTCGTGCTGAGCGCGCGGGCGGTATCGACGCGCGCGGGGCGCATGCGCGACGCGTACCTTCGCAGCCGTAGCCCTGGCCGATGAGCCCCCACAGCAGGTCGGAGCAGTGGTGGCAGTAGGTGGGCTTGTGGAAGGTCTTCTTGGCGAAGGAGTGGGTGCGTTGGGGCGCGGGCGCGGCCTGCGCCATGGCGGGCGCGCGGGCCGGGCCGGGCTGGCGCGCTACTCATGCCGCGGCGCCCAGGGGCGCGCCGCGCTCTCCGAGCGGCTGTCGCGGCCCACCATCGCGGCGCGTCTGCCGCCCGCGCCCACCCCGCCCCGCGCACGCGCCCGGACACCCTCCCCCGCGCGCCCCTCACGCCCCGACGGACGCACACGCGCTCACCTTGTCCTGTCGTCCCGATTCCGTCGATCGATTCCTTTATATCACATACACAAACTAACGTTAGTACAAAGGATCGGAAATAAACTCTATTAACTATCATAAACGTATAAACAATCTTTAATATATTTTAAAACCGCTTATGATTATAAATGTAAGGAAAGCAACATTACTAAACTTAATATAATCATCGCTGTGTTTTAGGACATTAAAAGACTTGATATTGAACGTGATTATTTTCATAAACTTTATTGATGTGTCTTAGTATTGTTTTATTTCGTAAAATTAAAAAAAAAACAGTTACCAGCATACAATATTCATAAATTTTTTTTTCTATGACGATATTATTACTACCAAAAATAATATATCAAAATTCCTATCGTACGTCCCAACAAGCGTGTCGTGTTCGCGCATGCGCGTTCCGCCGCCAATCGAAAATTCAGTTGTTTACAATATAAGGAGCTCGGGGCTCGAGCCCAGCATCCTCGCGACTCACGGACGCCAACACTACGCACTACCCATGCGCACTACTGACACACTCGTACAGCGTACTACACACACACAACACTACACTACAGACCATAGTTAACGTGTAACTTACATCGCACTACGTAACACTGATGATGATTTAATCAATACATCTAGCTGTTTTCATCTCATTCATGATTCATATATTAATATAAAATTAAATTTCTATAAATATATACAATAGTTAATGTTTTTTTTGATAAAATATTCCAAATTCAATTAATTATATTTGCGTGAAGTTTCAAGATTTTTTTTTCTCAATCCGTCCTTATGGACAGGCTAAGATCTTAGATCATGCTGCCTTCAATAAATTAAATTAAATAATACTAAATGTATACATGTTTATATGTGTCAAATAATGTCAAATATAACTGAGTTGTCTCATAAAAAAAGGCCGATTAAATATTATCTAATAAAAAATTACATTTAAAAATAAAATAAAATATTACATATCTACATAGAGATAGCATTACAAATGTTACAATTACACATGTAGTTCTATATGAAAAATTATAATTTAAAAAAATATATATGTTACAATAAGTAAATAAACACAAGAATATTTGAATAACTTAAATATGGTTTAAAAAGGTTGGTGTAAGCTTAGTCGTGAAACTTGATACTTCGTAATAACAATTACAGATTTAAAAAAAACTACAATAGTTCATCTGTATTAATGAAATCTTTTTAATTAATTTTGAGGAAGAATCATCCCTACTAATATCATAAATGCGAAAGTTACTCTGTCTGTCTGTCTGTTACGCTTTCACACCTAAACCACTGAACTGATTTTAATTAAATTTGGTACAGAGATATAGTTGACCCCGAGAAAGAACATTTACATATAACGACTAGCTTTCCGCCCGCAGCTTCGCCCGCGTGGAGTTCGGTTATATCGCGTTTCCAAGAGAACCTTTCAAAAGTCTGGGATAAAAACTATCCTTTTAGATAGGGAAGGGTTTTGCATCGCCAACAGCAGTCCTAATCATAGAAACGGAATCGCGACACATGTCTCTGATGAAGTCACTATAGGCCTTAAGAATCCCTTTGGTTCGCAAAGCCCACATTGTCGAGGCACGCAGTCAAAACCTTCTGCAGATCTAGGAATGCAACATACAGAGCTTTTCTTTTTTCCCTGTATGCCTCCATCAGAGTTCTGATGGCAAAAATGGCTTCCAAGATGGCCGATCCTGGCGAATGTTGACTACCGCCTCTTGTATGTCACATTGTAGTTCTTTTTCTAATTACGTCCTTTTGGACAGAAAAGTTTTAAGATGATGCCATGCTGCCTACTTATTACCTTTTTGTTTCTTCATTGATTTCAATCAAATCAATGTCATTGTACATTCTTTCTCTTAAATCATTTTAGTTTAGTTGACTAATTTTGAGAAACGAATTCATAGTGTGCTTTTTGGCCTAGTTTACCTAAAATATTATTATTTTAGGAAAATACAACCTGTAAAATATCTTCGTCCTCAGCCTATCAGAGCTCACTGCTGAGCAAAGGCCTCTATCTCACATGGAGAAGGTTTGAGCATTAATCACCACGCTTGCTCAAGACGGGTTGGTGATTTCAAACTTATAATTGTAAAATTTTAAGTCCAGGTTTCCTCACGATGTTTTCCTTCACCGCCTGGCCGGGGCATCTAAATACTCTTATAAAGTACAGTTAGGTACATATGACTCGGAAAAATCACATTGGTACTTGCCAGGATCGAACCCGCTCCTTTGTGCACCAGAGGTGGGCCCTTTAACCACTAGGACACCACTGACTGTTAAAAAAATATATATATTTTTTTAACTATTTGACATAATGGCTACAAAACGTGTCAACGACACAGGTTGCAAAATAAAAACCTGTTTGGTCGAGTAATTAATAAGTTTTCACAAAATATCTATTAAAATGGATCACAAGCTTTATAAATATTGTATAGTATCTCAGTGTGAATGCTCAACAATCAAAATATTACAATAACAATTTGTACATGTGCCTCGAAAGGAATAAATACACAAACTTACAAGACGGAACCCAAATATAGATCTGAATTCCATTATTATTATTACTCGATTTAGATTCGAATTTTTATACATTTGTAGTATGGGCACTCTATCAATTTAGATTCATATATATTTTCAGATAGCTTTTTACGTGATAACGTCTTTAAAATCGCTTTAGTCGGGTGACATGTTCAGAAACTTGTGTCACACCAAAACCTCACGAGCGCGATCGCAGGTATAACGAGAGAGAGACGGACCGATCTCCCGTCTCATCTCGAGCGCTGACAGTCATTAGTGAACCTTGTCACGCGGAATCCTCACGAGCGGAGGCAGGCATAGCGTTCGAGTGAGTGGACCGATCTTCCGTCTCTCTCACTCTAGCGGCATACAAACGAATGGAGATTTTCTCGTGCGGTTAAGTTTTCGTTGAAAACGATAGATGTAATTTAAAATTTGAAAAAATTGTTATCTTCATTAATTCCTTACTTCCCATAAACTTATATCACCAATAAGACGTTATCACGTAAACATCTACATCGTAAACCTACTTTACAGACAACCAATTATTTTTTTAATGATAACATGTTCTTTGATTTTTCAGATTTACGCATGATCGCAGAAGATACACATCCTAGAAAAATTATAACGCCACGCGTCCCTATTGGCGGGAGTTGTCACGTGACTAATCATAGTATTTTGGTTTTTTTTGTCAAAAGTACTAAAATATAGTCATGATTTATTTAAGCAATATGATCGAATTTTCACATTTTATAAATTTTAAGGTATTATAAAAAATAGAAATATTTAAAATATTTGCTTACTGTCAACTAATATGTGGTCATTAAAGCGTAAAATTAATACAACAAATAAAATATAAGATAATATGCTCTACTTACACTGATCAGTTATTACTGAATTTAAAAAAGAAATATTAAAATATGATTTTCGAAGTACATATACGTCATTTAGGATTTTTTTTGGGGACAAAATTTAATTTGGACACTCTAACTTCTTCATTGGCCAAAAGGACTTATATGAACGTAATAACTTTATTAAATATAAATAAATTACTGAAATTTTCAAAATCTTTATCAAAAATAACCAAAAGTGCTTTATATTAACTTATCTTAGACATATATTGGATAGCATTTTATGTAGTACTACACTCACAAAATATTTTCTTACAACTTAGATGTTACAACTGCCACGTGGTTCAAAGTGTTGTCTCTATAATTTGAACTTTGTTATTCAAAAGAAAACTAGTTATTTATCATATAATAACAATTTTACACTAGAACATTATTTTACACAGCTCTATAAATCGGTTACAATTTAAATATAACGTCCTGAAATCGATTAAGAAAATCAAATTTCAGTTCAAAAACATAGTTATTTTAAAGGATATAATAAAGTACATAAACTGAATCGACTAAAGGATAGATGTTTAAATAATAAAGTACACAGTTGACGATGCTGAGAATATCTGGGGCAGTTTTTGAACGGGGTGTAATCGCTTGAGAAACCCATACGGCTGGCTCGCTCGCTATTTACGTCACCCCAGGGCTGCCAACCATCCGGAATGAACCGAACACCGGTTTACACCGAGCATTAATGAATTTGCCACAACCCTGTAGCTTTTTAATGTTATATACAGGATTTAGAGCATAATATTTTAAATTGCGTAATTAATAAGTTGAATATATGAATGTTTGTGAAAAAGAAACATGAAATATATTCGGATTTAATGCGTATTTTATTATTTTAAACTACATACTCCGATGTTTCGTTTACTTTGAAACCGGCATCACGGGCAGACGAGAAGTAAAGCGAAAGTCTTAGATCTCATTAAAACACTATTATATTACTTTTAGAACGTACTTAGTATGTATTTTTTAATTAATTTTGAACAATATGTATACAGTTCTCTTGTAATACTTATTCTGTTTTTGTATAATTTCAAAAATATGGTCGTGGTGGCCTAGAGATCCGCCTCTCGTGCATAAGGGCGCGGGTTCGAATTCTGGCAAGTACCAAAATTATTTTTCCGGGTCATATGTACTTTCGAAGAGTATTTAGACACCACTGACAGACGGTGAAGGAAAACATCGTGAGGAAACATTATAAATTTGAAATCACCAACCCTCTTGAGCAAGTGTGGTGATTAATGCTCAAACCTTCTCCATGTGAGAAAGAGGCCTTTGCTCAGCAGTGGGCTCTGATAGGTAGATGATGATAACTACAAAAGTGTGACATAACCTCAGCGATATAAAAATTCAAGAACAATATGTTCTTTATCACTTCAAAGTTCAAATGTATGCATTGGTTGGTGATATTATCACTTTTGTAATCTTATAAGTATTATCTTTCGAAATTTACGTTAATAGGTAGGCGTCAAGTCAAAAATTCCGTTGTTTAAATATTGACGTAAATGTCAATAAACATGCTCATCCAGTTAACGAAGCAACATTTTTTTTTAAACCACGTTTATATATTATATTGTTTTTATAAAATAAACATATTCAAAATATTATACATATTATATGTTTTGTAACTTAGAACTTGATTAAAGGCGCAGATCAAAATAATTGCTTCATATTTTTGCCAGGCGTTTCTGACATATTGACGTACAGTAGGACCTCGATTATCCGGACTAATTGTTGTCGGTAGGCATCCGGATAATTGAAAGTCCGGATAATCCAATCTATGAAGAAAAACGGGCTTTTTGCATATGTACATATGTAGTCTGTACCATACATATGTAATGTTAGGTGTTTATTTAAAACAACGAATACATATGAGCGAAAATCAGCGTTTATTAAGAGATTGTACATAATGTACGTATAAGTGTTATGATTGGCGTGGCGTTATGCAAGTTCTGACATGTTAATCTATACATATAATAAAATTGTAGAAAAGTGCTCTGTACATTGAAAATAAAAATAAAAAAAATAGCAGGGGTTATTGTTATGTCGATGTCGAACCCAAAAATGTAATTAACTTTTTTTTTGTCTGTTTGTCTGTTCACGCTAATCTCAGAAACGGCTGATCCGAGTTGGATGCGGTTTTCACGAATATATTGTGGTATGCTTCAGTTATGCTTTAGTGTTTGTTTCATGTCAATCGGTTCATAAATAAAAAAGTTATGTCAAATTAAAGAATCACGTCGAACATTATTCTAAAAATAAGTATATATTAAAAAAAAAACGCTGCTCATAGTCACTACTCCACGCGAACGAAGTCGCGGGCACAGCTAGTGTTAGAATAAACTCGTCGCGATTGGCAGTCCGGATAATCGCGAATTCGGATAACCGAGGTCCGGATAATCGGGGTCCTACTGTATTTTTTTTAGGAAATCAATAAAACGAAAAATTCAATAGTAAATTGTTTTTTATACAAAAGCAGTAACGAACCTTTACAATTGATTTTTTTAGAGGCTATTTGCATTAATGTTAGGTGTTTGACAACTAGACTGTTAAAATTGGTTTGATATTGTGCAAAAAAATGATCACCTTATTGTATTTGGTCTACATTTAAATCAATTTATAAAAATAAACTCTATTTCAGCCATATTTGTATATGACGTCATCGTTAATGTGCTCTGGTTCATCCTACGATGAATTACAGCTCGTGTGAATGTAGCGGTATATTTTAATTTTATTAACCAAGCTCCGTTACAATGCAGTGGTGAACTAACTTGTAATAATTTCTTTCGCTTACTTTTACTAAAAAATAAATGAAACGAATGTAGGTTTCAAGATTATTTTACTACGTATTTCTGTTATTTGCTATGATTTCACCTATTAATTATTATTTTATTGTCTTATTATATTTAATAATTAATAAATTTATTATATTTACACAAAAATACAATATATTCGAATGCAATTATTTCAGCTACAAATCAACATTGTTTCTTTCATACACTCACAAAATTATTATTCTAATAGCTATCTTTAGTATAAATTTTAATGAGATAATCGTGACCTTCAGCAACTTATCATTATACTAACAGAAGTTAACGCTCGTTACATAAAAATTAATGAAATAAAATTCTTGTCTATATAAATTTAATCTAATTGATATTTAGTCACGATAGGAGCGTGAAAGCGTGCGGGTTTTCGGACGTATTCTCTAACTGTGCTGTCAAAATTTCTAAATTGAAAAATGATTGATGAAACACGAAATAAAACTTTTTTAGGTTTCGATTTTAGTACTCAGAGGGTGAGTTTTTGAAAAAGGAGTTTTTATTAATTCCTAATTTTGTAAAATTATTCTATTCATATTTTAAAATAACTCAGTGCAATATTGTTTACTGCTTAAAGTATAAACAGTGTATTTAAATAATAAAATTACGTATGATAATTTCAACCTTTTAAACTCTTGAATGCTTATTTATTTAAATTTCGATTTGCAATTTTACGTAAACAACTTTATGTTAAGTTATAACAGCTTTTGTAGCTAATAATTATTTAAAAGCTATTGTAGCTAATATTTTTCTTAATAATTACAGCTTAAGGCAATAGTTATTGACGACAAATATGAAATACAACAAGAAGCTGATGTGGAATTTGATGTGGATCTGCCAGAATTTAGGTATGATGTAGATTAAAAAAAAAAACTTCAATTTAATTACATGAGATAATTATATACCTAATATTCTATATTTATGCAACAAAATTAAATTTAATACTGTATACAATTAAAAATAATTGTCCATACTTATATTTCATGTTGCATTATAGGACGGCAGGTGGAGTTCTACGAGGAGAGCATGGGGAAGTTACCGCACCTCCGTTACTATGGGTGAAAGCCCTAGACATGGTTTTAGACAGACTTGTTGTCGCAGGAGTAGATTTTTCAACCGTTGAAGCACTATCAGGGGCTGCTCAGGTACTTATAAATTCAATTTCGAAGTACTCTTCTTATTAATTCAACTAGTTTTTGCCTGATACTCTCTCCATACTATCTTTGATATTTGATTCAGAGAAAACTAATTGAAGTATTTTAAAATGCTACATCTAATAATCAAAAGGCAACATCTATAAATTACTAGCTTTGCCTTTTTCCATATAAGTTTATAATTAGAAATGTATAGTTAGTTGCACAGTGAACAGTTTCGTTTTGGAGGCAGTAAACAAACAAATTTTGGATTTTATTAGTAATTTTTTTTTGATCGAATAAATCCAAAAGTATCCTATGTCTTTCTCCTAATTCCAACCTACCTCTCCACAAATTTCCAGCCAAACCCGTACAGCCCTTCTTGTGTTATAAATAGTAACACAACTTTCTTTTATATTTATAAATGTAATGTGAATTCATCCAATATAGAACTGTTATGCTATAATCCAGTTAAAACTGCATTGAACTCCAGGATATATGACATGTCTTATCTTATTTTCTAATTGACATTATTGTGAAGTTGGACTAAAATCTATAAAATAGTTTTTGTGTGTAATAGACATTAATATTATACATTCATAACATGAGTACTATTTCAGCTGGTGTTTACACTGAAAATTTTATATATAAACCCTCAATTTCGTTTGTAGCGTTAGTTTTATACTCTTTACATGCTTGTAAATCTATTGTATTTGGACTATTATTCTATACAAAGAAACCAATGTATTAACAAAATCTCTCTTTTTACTTAAAATACTATCCCAATTTTTATATCACTCTTACTACACTTTATAGACATATCCAATATATACTGTATAATAATTATCATGAATTAATTTTCAGTGTCTAAAATTAAGCCGATTTTGATATGAATTTGGCTTATAGTTGTGTTATTTCATAAGCAGTATGTTAAGTACTTTTTAACAGTCTTTAAAAAGTAGATAGTTGATAATTTGACTTTATTGTTATTACATTATTTATACCCCTTTAAATAAAATACAATTTAAACATTATTTTTAATGAAAACGGCTATATCCAGAGATCGGTTTATTGTCCTTAATTTAAATGAAACTAAAATTTTCCGAAAATATTAGTTTCATTTAAATGTGTACTCGCGAAAATCTTAGATCTCATTATTGTCCTTAATTTCTAATCTGATGAATGTTTCTTGGAGAAATTAAATGTAACTTCTAAGAAAGATGATATAGGTCTTTAATAGGGTTTAAAATATCGGCAAAGCCGCAGGAAATAGTTAGTGAATAACAATAAATATTTCATTCATATAAAATTATAAAGGAAAGTCATAATATATGTTGCAACAAACTTTTCCTTCATTTAAATATTTTCATATGGATGTTCATTGTGAGTTTTTATCAACAGTTTAATATATTCATAGCATAAACTGCTTTTAAATGTATATTGTTATTCCACTCATTGTTTTTTTCTTATCATGCAATATTAGTATTTCAATTATTTGTTAGAAGTGATAAATAAGTTATCCATATATATGTATTATTTTCATTTTATTAATTTTCATTGAGTCAGTGGTGACCTAGTGGTTTAAAGACCCGCCTCTCATGCACGATGGCGCGGGTTCGATCCTAGCAAATACCAACGTGATTTTTCCAAGTCATATGTACTTTCTAAGAGTATTTAGACATCACTGATTAATGCATTCCCAAAGAGGGTTGATGTCAGGCAGGCGGCCGATCGTAAAAACAATTAGCCAAAACTATTCACAACGTAAGGCAGACCCTGGCTAAAGCTGAGAAATTTGCCAGGTGGAAGAAGATATAATATTATTATTTATTTATTATTTTCAGCAACATGGCTCTGTGTGGTGGGCTAAAGGCGCTGAAACCAAGTTAGCAGCACTATCACCAGATGGGTTCTTGCATACACAATTAGCAACTGTATTTGTGTGCGACTCACCAGTATGGATGGATTCTAGCACCACCGCTGATTGTAAAGCTTTAGAAGAAGCTATTGGCGGCCCGGAGGTCTGTAAAAAGTGGTTTAACTTTAATAAAGTCTATGTAAACATATAATATTATATTGTGACAATAAAACTGTCACATATTAAGGCAATACATGTATATAAAAAATTGTAACTTAACAAAAAAAAGTTTTAAAAATTGTTGAATGTTTTCCTAACATGATCTTATTATCATAAAAACTCTAGGTTATTGCCCTTTTTTATGTATTTTATTTGGTATTTAATTTATTTGCAGACTTAAAATTTGGATGCATATACAGGGTGACTGGTGAATTACTATCAATATTTAAGGAGAATACTCGGTACATGATTCTCATTCGAATTATGTAAAAAAAATAGGTACTTAATTTTTGACCAAATTTCCGTATAAATAAATAAAGTGTGGACACGTTCCAAGTGTTCCAAGTGTGGACGCGTGCGGCGGCGTGCTGATACAACACCACGTCGCCGCACGCGCGTGTGTGTGTGTGTGTGTGTGTGTATACCTAATCTGTAGGGTGTTCACACGATGCGTAATTAATTACATAACTTTTGGTTAACTTTACTTAGAAGTTTATTAATATTTATGTTATATTAATTTTTATTTTGTCATATATGATCGTCAAATATCACGTCCTCAAGTATCGATAGTAATTCACCAGTCACCCTGTATATTAAAAAAGACTTTCTTCACATAGCTACTGGTAAAGCAAAATCGCTGTTAAAATTTTTGACTAATGTTCAGGATCGTCTAAACTTTGATAAACACTGCACAAAATATATTATAATATTACAGGAACTGGCAAAAATCACCGGATCAAGAGCCTACGAACGTTTCACTGGACCTCAAATACGTAAAATATATAAAAATAAGCCGAGAGTGTACGGGGCTACTGAAAGAATATCTCTTGTATCATCATTTGCTTGTTCCTTGTTTGTGGGAAAAATAGCTCCTATAGACCTCTCAGATGGTTCCGGAATGAATCTACTTGATATTCATACTATGAAGTGGTGTGATAAGGCTTTGGAGGTAGATACTAATTTATTTTTACTATAAAACTATATTGAATTTATAATATATGTATGGGGCTAAGTAGCAAGACTGAATGATGGAACCTAATATAATTTAATACTTGACATCATATTATGATTTTATACCTAGCAAATATAACTAAAATACTATACTAAATTACGTAAAATAAATAATTAAATGAAAAGAAAATGAAAATCAATTTAATAAATACAAAAAGTATATGAATATTAATTAAGTATTCAATGTGAAATATCAAATAAGTTAAAAAAAATCCTATTGATATAAATATGAAATATTTTATATATGGACGTTTTAGCATACCGAGCAGATTTTGATGAAATATTTCAGTAATGCAACTTTAATCAGAATAACCAATCGCCTATAGGCAATAGATTATCCCGAAATTCTAATACATATATTATTATATTATATTTTATTTTATTGATGTTACACAAAACAGATGATAGATGGCGCTGTTGAATTGTAATCATAAATATTTTCTTTAAAAACATATTATTATTATCTCTTTAAATTCAATTGAGACGTCCATTCAGCCAAAGTCATAGGAAAGCTAATAATATTTATATTTCAGGCTTGTGGAGATGAAACTTTAAAGCAAAAGCTCGACGAGCCTGTACCCTCGGCCACAGTGGTCGGTTCCATATCACCGTACTTCGTACAGAGATATGGTTTCAAACCTGACTGCAAGGTTGTAGCCTTCACGGGGGATAACTGCTCTGCCTTAGCTGGTAATATCATTTATATATAAAATATATATTTTTTTTATGTTCTATAACATATATGTACTTTTAGATTTAAATTAAACTGTTTTGTTTCATATAAACATACATGATTACATTGAATTTAATAAAGTCTTAAAGTTTCTTATTTATCATATTATTAAAAATTTAATTGAGCACACATAAATGGATAAAATAATATGGTTGATGTAAGATTTCATCCATAAATTATAATACCAAACATATGTAGATATATTTTTGCATAATCTGCTAAGTTAATTGTTTTGCACTTAAGTATTTAATTATAATACATTCACCATCTATCACTTAATTTTCCCTTTTCAACGGGTGAATGTTAGTCACGCACTATTCTGTCTACATAATTTAATGTGTGCTAGTCTTATTTGTGTAATAATGTGTCATAGGTCGAAATAAACAAATAAATCTATACCTACGTCTTCGCCTTCGTTCCGTAGACTTAATTTCCATCTTCCAACAGTTACATATATTAAGTACTATACAGGAAATAAATAAATATATGTTTGTATAGGTCTTCGCCTTCGTTCCGGGTGGGTGGGTCTTAGCCTGGGTACTAGTGACACTCTATTACTTGGCCTGGAAGCACCCGGGGCTCCGGTGGCGGGCCACGTATTGGTAGGGCCGACTAGTGCTCCATACATGGCATTACTATGTTTTGCCAACGGATCTTTAACTCGACAAGCAGAGAGAGACCGTTTGTGTGGCCCCAGCTGGCCGGCCTTTGATGAACTATTAAGAAGTACTGTGAGAGGAAACATGGGATATATGGGTGAGGCTCTATTAAATTTGTTTTTTACTTAATCATACATTTTTTAGTAGAGAAATTTACTTATAAGGCATGATGTGTATGTGATAATACAATTGTGTAGCACTGAGACTGATTCTTAACTAGTATAATCAGTTAAATTGACTCACTTGTACTATAAATATGAACATTAAGTCATTAAATATTAATTAATTTGTTTAAATCAATATCATAAGCTAGGCTTAGTGTTATTTTTCCTAATTATATGCATGTATTTTTAAGATACAGTTTTAGATTTGTTTTTAATATTCAGTAACGTCCTACAAAATGGCTGAAGCCAGTATTTAGAGTTTTCAAATACAAGTTGATACTAAAATGTTGCATACAAAATTATAACGATATAATGATGAATTATGATTATTCATAAAAATAATTCTAACGCTAGATTTACATTCTCGTACGAGGCACGAGCCGAAGCATAAGGTGTTATTCGGTCACCTATCAGGTTGTTTTAGACCTGCAACGATGAGAAAGGGAGTTATTATGATTTTAATAACTTTATTCTGTGTTTCTGCTCTTGCTTGTAATGTAAATCGTAAGGATTATATATCTAGTTCATCACAGAAGGCGCTAGTAACATATATGTATATATGTTCCAGGTATATATTACAACACAGCGGAGATCCTCCCTCGAGCGCCATCTCTCCGCGTGATTCAAGACGCGGCCGGTCGTCCTTGTACACCGGCGCCACAATACGAGGCGCGCGCTCTATTAGAGGGACAGGCGCTATCAGCTAGAATACACGCTGAGGACGTTGGACTCGCTCTAGGTGTCATAACTAGACCTTTATAATATTAGAAATAATATAAACCGTTCTATTAATATACATTAATAATAATAAAACACATGCAGAATAGTAAGAAAGTTCATGCAATTAGAAGAGAATGACACAACAACTTAAATGTTACACACCACATACTGCATTCACTTGATTTATATCAGTGAATGTAGTTTACACCAGCTTACAGGCTGAGAATAACAGAAACTCCCGAAAATAATAATAATAAATTTTATTAGTTAAAAGATTAGACCACTACAAAACAAAAAAATAAAAACATAGTAACACTTATCACATGAATACAAAAAAGGAAAATAAGATAACATAACAACTACAACAGGACAAATATTATGTTAAAAAATCGATAAAAACAATAATAAGTATGCAGCAGTGTTATTTAACCAAAAGGAGAACCACTCAGTGAAAAATAGAAGCAATGTTGCTTCTACACTGATTTTCAGTGATCTTCTAATATTGCGGCACTGACATTATGATAGTGTATTGATTTTATTAACCTTCTCCATGTGAGAAGGGGTCTTTGCTCAGCAGTGGACTTTAGGCCAATGACGATTGATTTCATTATCAGCATCTTGGAGAAATATCATTTTATACTTCATTAGATCTTTAATTCTTTCTATACTATATTCATTAAATTATAATCATACAAGTTGTGTAAACAAAGACACTATATGAATGCTGTATATAACAATCTTATGTGTTATATATATCAGAGCGTAGTTCCCGCGTGGTGGCGACAGGCGGCGCCTCTGTCAACACGTCTCTGCTTCAGATCTTCGCGGACGTGTTCAACACGCCCGTATATGTTCAGGTATACACTAACAAACACTACATCCTCGTTCTTACATATACATATTTTAAGCTTTCTATATTTTTAGATAAACTAAAAAAGTGCCTTCAAATATTCCAAAGAGGTGGTACACTAAATTAAGTCAAAAATCCATCGACATTAGTTAGCAATATAATTTTAATACTAATTATTGATTAAAACCCCAAAGCAAAAGGTATATTGGTTATTTTTAATAGTTTAAATCCGACATGTGATAATGAATATGATTATGCAAGTAAGCACAATCATATTATTACACATAACAGTAAACAACTTGTGGGATAAAGCAAGTCTTAATTGTAGAAATATAATAATGTTTGTTAAGGATCAACACGCGAACGCCGCTCTCCTCGGAGCAGCTATCAGGGCCGCTGAGGTGTGGGCGAAGGAGACTAACACACAGCTTAGTGGTTAGTATATACAATATATATTATATACTATACATAAGATGAGACGAAACCTCTCAGCATTCAATGTATTCACCGTGCGTGTGCTGGGTCCATCGTTACAGTGAGAGGAGCTTCAACAGTGACTGGGACTTGTGACCCTGATGTAGGTTTAAGGGCCCTCTATCTAACACGCGTTAAACTTTGTTAAAAAAAATAACAATATAAGAATCTGAAGGGTAAAACATATAATACATATATAACATAATTTACATGAATATATTATAAGCAAAAATCACTTATAATATTTAAGAAATATATTTTATAATCTGTATGTAATTTATTTACTTTTGTAATTCTCAATTTTAAAACCACTTCAGTGTATTTCAAATTCTGTAATCTCATCATTAGCTAAGTAACTGATTTAATACACTTAGCTCTTAATATAATACTACTACTTTATTGCATACTTAAATCACAAACTAAATATTTTCAGGTTCTGAGCTGACCGTCTCTCCGGTGGCGAAGCCCTATCCTGACGCTGAGAACATCTACTCACCAATGTTACAACGCTACAGGAAAATGCTTCAAGAAATTCCCAAACTCAAGTGATTTCATACAATCAAAACATTTATAAGCTTTCAAATATTAATATATTAATTAATATGGCTAACTATCTCGTTCCACTAAAACTTCTACAATTAAACGCAATTACATGCTGTGATAGAAAATAGACAACATTCCGTAGAATGTAACAAATACATATCTTGAAATTCATTCCGCAATAATTATAATTGTGATTTGACTGTGAATTAAATATACTATTAAATGTTATGTTAATTTGTTATTGCAAATTATATTTTAATATTTACTGTGACAACATTATCATGTAAAGATTTTTAATCAACTTTATTGTTAGTAATATATTGCTTATTTAAAAAAATCAGACCTTACTAAGACAGCTTTATTAAGTGCACTTAAATATTTATACATATATATTATTGTTTTATTTTGTATTTACTGACTTATTTTAATTAAATAATGAGATTATTATATAGATCTTAACTATATGTGTTATATGATGGCATATTTATTATACATTCCAAAAAATCATGTTAACTTTTACACTTTGTATGGCTTTGTTACATATTTTTTACGTTTTTAATAAAAAATGCTTAAAAATTTTGATTTTTATTTATTAGACAGAATTTGCTACCTATTTAAAATGAGTTTTTAACATTGAAATATGAAAGTATGACGGTTTATTTTGTCACATAATGATTGATAAAATGTACATTATGTAAAACCCTCAATTCTGCAAAGTGTCTTAGGGGGCGTTCATAAAATATGAGATATTTTAAGGGGGGAGGGGGGTTCTCGGCAAATATCATGTAATTTTTTTTCTAAATGAAACAAAAAAAATATACTATATTGATCCATTTAATCTAGATTGTACATATAAGATTTAATCTTTAGCGTAATCGTTATACGATGAAGATCAAGATTGTTGATACAAACGGTTTTTTTTTGTCATTAGATTTGACAACTAACTAATTTGTCAATCATTCTGTCGCACTTCAAAACACGGAGATTTATGGCTTTAATAGGTAAACTCTAAAAATATAAATAAAAAACGTAACAGATCTTTCTTGATTATAGGGCGATACGAAGTTCGCAGTCTTCTAGTAACAATATATAAATTAATATAAAAATGAAATAATTATTACAATTTATAATCGAGATAAATTTATCCTTAAATATTTCCTTTTAAAAGAAACAAAACAATTTATTCCATAGTGATACTTTATTGAAATCCAATGTCAAACATTCCAATACATTTATTATATGTAGTATGATGTATAATGTCTACTTCTTTCTTCCACCTCGCTCCTTGATCTGTAGTTGTATGACAGCTCCGGGAGGCACGTTGTAGTAAGCCAGGGTGTTAGTGTCCTTGAAGAACAGACCCTGGAATATAAACAAATATTTGTTAGACACTTCATATAAAAATATATTGCAAGACTAACATGCATAAGCACTAAGAATTATCTTTTATAAATATTCTCCATATTTGGTGATGTTTAAAAAAAATCATTAATTTGTGTTGAATGACAAATACCAGTTTTTATATGGTATCATCATAAGGTTACATTTGAAAATGTTGTTCAATAAAAAAGTTTGCACCTACACACATTTGGTAAACCTGTTATAATAGCTTCTTATAGTAATATGAATAATAAACATTAACACTTCTAATTCTATTAAATCAATGAGCAGATTCCATTTCATGATATAAGGATACTGTTACTATATAATACACTAAAAAATGTCTTAACTACCATACAATGCAAGAAACAACACTTTAAAATTCCCTATAAATAAACTTAATATAACTAATTACTTAATTAATTATTAAAGTAATACACTCACCTCATAGTAGAGCTTCTGTTTAGCCGTGGGCATGTTAGTGGCTCGTTGTAGTGATGCCTTGAGTTCAGATACTGGGGCAGCCAGCGGCAGAGACAGGGATACTGTCCGTCCATCCAAACGCCACTCAGAACGCTCTGGAGCCATCGGCACAGACACCTGGAAACATTGTTAGGTTGGAAGTAGTGATGTATATCAATAGTAAAGGCAGGGCCGATAGTTACTATAATCTATCAATAGTATTATCATGTAATGATACTATTGACAGTATTGATGGCATATAATATGTAACTATCAATAGTATTACCATGTATTGATACTATCGATAGTACTATTGTTATTCTGAATAATTTTCAAAGTCAACCATCAATAGCCAAACTATCAATGGTTCTGCCACACTAGTTTGAACTAAACTTAAACTTAAATGCCCTAAATATATAATAGTATTTCTATATGCAATATATTGTATGTACATACCTGTATAGGTACAGATCCCGGGTGAGATGCAAGCCATGATTGTTCTGGTTCCAGAGCGTCCTCAGTCCTCGGTCTCTTGGCTGTGGGTTCTTCATCATCTTGGACTCCTGGAACCCCCGGGACTGCGGGAACTCCCGGGACTGGGTAGCCATATGGAGTTGGGACTTGGGTGGCTATCAGCGGTGGTCGAGGGGCCATTGGTGGTATTACCATGAGTGGTGGTATAGGTTGTAGTAGGACTGGGGCGGGCGCGGGGGCGGCTGGAGGCTGTACTCTCGGCTGGGCGGGCGGGGGAGGTCTGATTGCAACCCCTACACGACCCGGCGGAACCGGTTTGGGACCGATTTTTTCTTTTTCCTCATCAGGTAAAAGACCTTTGACCTGAATTGCGATAAAATATTTACTTGTGATAGATATCATACAGTAATTAGTTTTTTTATAGTAGAAAATATTTATTTACAATTCAATTGCACTGCTTAAAAATAAATTGCATTGTATTAATTACATTGAAATAATTGTTACGCCTTGTTATCGTTTTCTTTTTATCATCTGTTTTGGATTCTATTGAAGTGTAATAAATATAGTGTGTATATAATTTCTTTATGTTATATTAAAATCTTCTATAATTATTAAATACGACTTAAAGCTACAAAGACGTTTCCTTTCAAACCCAGTAATTAACCACATTAGACTATTTACAAAAATTAATCCTTAAAAATTGTAAAAAAAGGTTTAATATCCAGAATTAATAGTATAAATCCCTCCCAGTGTATTCCCTACCTTATGTATCTGTTGTATCTGGTCCTCCAGTGTGATATGCGCACGCGCAGCCCTGGTCGCAGCCTCCACGCTGGATGTGTGTCCGTCCCAAGTAACTCTTTCATCGCGTCTTTTTTCTTCTTCGCCTATCTTCTTACCGATGGCTGTTTCTTCGTCACCAACACCGAAAATATCAGTACGACGCTCTGCCAACTGTGAATGTTATAATTATATGAAATTTGTAACAATTGTACCTAATATAGATATTTTAGACCCAAAAATTTGTGTTTATTAGCAGTTCGGGATATCTTAAATGCTAAATGTTTTTACTTCTTCTGTTTTTGTTTTAATTTAATTCAATTTGTTTTTCGTGTATTGGCTTTAAGTGGAAACTTGATTGATTTATGTTTTTATTTTTATAAATACAGTGTTTCTAAATTGTTTGTTTCCCGAATAAAATAAAATAACTCAATTAGGTATGTTATAATAATAGTATACTGTATGTACCTGTTTAAGCGACGCTTCAATAGCCGCTCCCGGTGCGAGTGCTTCGTCTCTATCTGACCGCTCGGCTGCTGCGCGATCTCTTTGTTCCAGCCAACGAGGGTCCAGTAAACCAATACGCACGTGATCCGTCACTTTATTCGCGGGAATCTTTTCTCCTGTGATGGGGGACACCAGCCATTCCTCGCTAGCTGGCGCAGGTTGAGGTCTAGCGCGCTTCGGGTCGTATTTCTTAACGACCACACGATCCGGGCGCGGTGGCATAGGTGCTTCCTCTCCGGCGCGTGTATCGGGAGGTCCATCATCATCTGAGGAGGACTCTTCCTCCATATCTTGCACCCTGTTGTCATCAGGTCGTTGTTGTTGGTGAGTTCTGTCCTCCATTTCCGCTAGATCTTCATCTGATTCTGATTCTGACTCTGATTCGAGCTGCATCTCTGTATCGTCTTCTTCGTTAGGTTGTATGATGTCGTCTCCTCTCTCCTGGGCCAGCACCCTCGCTCCTACCTCCAGTGGGGTCGTCGGTGGAGGGAAATCTCCCGGTTCTCCCGCGGGATAGTCCACAGTCTCCACTACTACGAAATCGTGCCAGTCTATAGAAGCATAGGCGAGTCTCTCCTTTTCTATCTTGGCTTCATCGGCCGCCTTCCTACGCGCTTGATGTGAATGCCACGCGGCTCTACTGCGAGCTTGCTCCAACACTCCACTACGAATCTCCGCTCCCAATTTCGACACTAATTCTTTTGGAGGCAGCAAAACCTTAGTGTATTGCTCTAATAGCCTCGTGAAGTACTGGAACAGAGAGTGCTGTGGACGCAGGAAGTCAAATTGATGGTTTCTTTCCTCCTTCTTCATTAAATCTGTTAAGAATTGCCGTCCATTCCGAGCAACAAATTGTGCAGTGAGTTTGACTATATCGAGCTCGAGGGCTGATATAGATGGAGGATCGGCTATAAACTCGAAGTCTGGTGGGGGATCGCGAGGCGGCGGTGGTTCAAGGGGCGCAGCCGCTTTAAGAAGCTCCTGTTGACGGGCGGCGGTGGCTGGAGCGAGGCCAGGACGTTGTATGGGGGCGACAGGAACTGGGCCAATAGCATCCCCTGGACAAATATATACATTGTACACAAAACATAACAACTGCATCTAAGGATCTCGATAAAATGCAATGCAAAAGTGATACTTCTTGTTTTGTAGGCTGATGACACTTAAAATAAACATGAACATAGATAGGTTTCACACAAGTTTGCCACCATGACAATATTAAATATTATCAAAATATTTAAGTGCTTCATTGATTTTTTTATTTTTGTTCTTCACTTTGCAAAATCTAATTCAAATATATTGCAGATACAGTAGAAACTCGATTATCCGGCCCTCAGTTATACGGATTCGCGATTATCCAGACTACGGACAAGTCCGGACAAGAAGAGATGTCAAAGCGTAAGAGAGTGGTGTTGTTGAGAGTGGCATATGTCAAATGACAATATCCAAATATTCTAAACCAAATTAAACTTAAAATAATTCATGATTACCAATTGCAAACTACCAAATACATATTGTAATTTATTTTTTAAATAAACATATATTACACTGGAAAACAGCATGTCTGTTGCATGAGATTTTTTACATGAATCTGAATAGTTTTTCCGTGCTGATTTCAAAAATATATGCCGTTTTTATGTAGTAGCTCTAGTTTTGGAGTTATGAAGAGACAGGGTTTTTCATTAAAAATGCACAAAATTTAAGTTTAAAAAAATTATTAAATATATTTAGTCTGAATAAAATTTCCTTTTTGTGGATTTTCTAGGGTGAGATGTATCATGAGTACTATTTTGAATGCTCCAACAATAACCAGCCATCATATATTCCTTCCAGTACCCCTGATACCTGTTCTCCATAGAGCGAATATCCTGTTGAACGCGCTCTCCTTGTTCCTCGCTTAGGTCACTTAGATTTTCAGGAAAATAGTCTAGATGGTTGTGAAGATAGTGAAGCTTAATAGTCATGTTGCATCCAAGCCGCTGGAAGTGTATCAGCAACTGTTCAACGTGCTGAATGTAGCCGTCAGACTTAGTATTCTCAAAAAAATTCTCACTACTCAAACAAACTCTTCTCATGCACATTTCTCAATAGCTGTCATATGGTTGATGAAATTTTTATCATCTATCAACTTTTAGGCAGGCCAAGATCCCTGATCAAGTCACTTAGATCCTCTTTATTTAGTAATAGGGGACTATTGTCTCTACCACTGTCGTCGTTTCGGTTTGTCCGCTGCACTGGTCTGGATTTCCGAATATCTACAAGGCTGCTGTGGTGTTGATGTGTCACTAATACTCAAGACTGTTCTTACGACAGATTTTTAGTTTGAATATATCCACTTAGAGCAATTTTTATGGTTTATGCCTATGATTTTCGTTACACAAAAATAACAGTCGTTATGATGGTTGGGTGGTTCACGCCATATCATGGGAGATTTGTACTTAAAATTTGGTCTTTTTTTGTTTGCCAATAAATGCAAAGATTCAATACAACTTTTACATAACAAAATTGGTATCAAAGGTTTAGCGTTTGATGGCAACGGAAACCCAAAGTAGTCAAAGTATGCCTTTTTTACAAAGTCTAACACACTTAAACAATATTTTTGGAACATATATTATCCGCAAATAGCACAAAAACACTCAGGATTATTTAAACACGTCCTTCTTGAGGAAGACATAATGAAATTTATAAAGGGACTAGTTAAGTTACACCGCTATTGGTAGAAACTATTGACAACTTATGTAAATTCAAGACGGACCTGTATCTGACTAACTAGAGCTGCTACAAAAAATCTGAGGTCAGATTTAAAATTAGCGCACCCAAATTAGTAAACAACAGTAGAAAAACTCCATGCAACAAAAAAAAAGTTTGATTTTGTTGTGCTGTGTTATGTATACTACATATGCACAAAATCGGCTTTTCTTCATACATTCGCTTATCCGGTTTTTCAATTATCTAAATGCCTATCGACAACAATTAGTCCAGTTAATAGAGTTTCTACTGTACTTAAATTATAATACATCTAAATAATTCTTATAATAATCCTTGTCATAAATCCTTTCCTTTGGAACATTTATCATCCAACATCTTCATTAACTTCAACATTTATACCAATTTTTGTTTATATACACTTATATAACAATTTTGGTTATATTTTGGTAGGTATATATTATATCCTATATTACATACTTTTTAGCAAGTCCAGAGCAGTATTTCAGTATATGTGAGTAATTCTTAACAGTCTATATATAACATTTAAATATTACCTTTGCCCTCCCGAATTTCTTTAACCTTATGCTGGTAATACGCATGGTAGGGATCTCCGGAGTTGAGAAAGTTGAATTTAGGATTGCCGAGTTCATTCTGTCTGATACGAGCCTCAAACTCGGGGCCGTTTCGGGCTACGAAGCTTGCTGTTTTGTCAACAATATCTGTTTTGGTTGGTTAAGGAAACTACGCTTTGGAAATGACACAATCTTAAACGTTTTAGGTAAATTTTTATACAATACTTACTTTTTAACAAATGTACAGGTTTTATTATAGCTATTGATATTTATAAAGGATACTCCTGACTTCAGGTGGTGGATATATGATGCCGATAACGGGTGGCGGGGGCGCTTGAGGCTCCTCAGGCAGACCTTCATGCTGCTGCCCCGGAGGCATCATCACATCTATAGAAGGCATCGTGCCTTCTTTTGTTGGACTTTTTTATTATTTTTGTGTAATTTAACGATTTTATTTACTTATAAATTATAACACACCAAATATGAAACCAAATTTTTTCAATCTGACGTAAACACTGACAATAAGTGACAGCTACAACGCTTTCCTCTACGAATTTTGTCACAGACTATAATTTCAAACATACAGATAAAAATATAATTTTCTTCTATCTCCGCCTGCAATGATAGATAAAACCTAAAAAACAAAATTATAACAAAAATATACTCGCGTTAGAAGTTATAGTTCTTTGGCGTATAGAAAAAAAACTAAAATGATCTAGTGATTAACAACATACATAAAAATGAAACAAAAAGATTTTATTTAAACAAAAAAAGGTTTTATTAACGTAAAAATATGACAACACAGTAAATATATTACCATTAATCGTTAAGGCAATGAATCAAATATATTAATAAATATTTCAAATAAACTATTTTAAACTAATAGATTCTTCTCGTAGTGGCTGAATAGGCACGTGAGTAACAAAAAGTTTGTGGTAGCTAAAATATGACATATATGGTCTCGATGAAACTGTAGATATGTATATTGTAAATACACCATCAATAGTGGCGCCATGCCGAGTTGTTGAAACTGAATAGTCATTATTAATCAATAGATTTCAATCTTCTTTAAAAAATTAATCAGTAGCTCAGAAGTCTCTGAACTAAAGTTTATATTAATTTTTGTTTAAGGATATAAATAAATCATAATTACCGATTATTAACCTCTTATCTATATATGCACACAAAACAGTTTAATCACTGATATTCAATATATATATATAATATACACACAAATTATTGGTAAATACTATTACCATCGTTTGTAAAATTGATTTAATAAAAACACCAAAATAATAATTATTTAAGTATTCACACTGTTTAATTGTACTGTTACGAAAGACATGTTCTAAATATAAAAATACTAGAATATACAACTTTAACACAGTTGTCTATTAACATGCCACCTAGAAATAATTTCACGATGTCGCTATCGGTGTATCGCCTATCATAAAAATTCACTCTCATAATTTTACTCCATCGCACCAAAAGAGCATAACTACAAAAACTAAATAAATGATTAAATTATTTGATACTCAGGGATCCAAAAATTATCGTTAAAATTGTAATTGTATAATTCGTTGACATTTATAAGTATTAAATGATAAATTATGTCATTATATTGTTTTAATTAGAGAGGTTACTTATAAATAAATTAATACAGAAATACATAGAGATATTATTAAATGTTTGTTTTTTACTGGTATTTTTTAAATGTATGTATAACTTATATCTATTACAAAAATAATGCATAACGAAACCAAAAATTGCATAACGGCACTGTAAATAAATTTTGTAAAGAAATCGTTACTCCTGACTTAACTTTACCAGAACCTATGAACAAACGTGACTAAATAAAGAATTTTTTAACATAAGTACTTCAAGGTATTCATTTAGCTCTGACATACAAACGAATTCTAAGTACCTAACTACCAATAAAATAAACATTTAAAAATAAAACGTTTATTGAATGCACCCATAATTGTTAAAATTTTTGCCACGAATACTAGAATCATTGACAATATAAAAGAAATCGTAGGCATAGACAACTTGCATCCCCTCGTCGTAAAGATACATTATTGCCATAACCACGGCGTAACTGAATATCCACAACAGGAGGGCAATCACCATCAACCAAATTACAGTTTGTAGTCGCCATTCCTTATCTAATTGCTCCGGACCGCGCTCAACTGATTCGGTATCTTTCTCCTAAAATAATGTTTAACTACATAAAAGATTAAAATCATATTTATATTGTATATGGTTATTAAATTTACATAGTACGCGCGTTCGGATACTTCCTTCATCAATTTCGTTTGGTTCATCATCTTCTGTTAAAATTCAATCATTATATTACATTAACTATAAATTTATTTTCTTAGATTCTGACCAAACTCCAAAGTAAAATTGCATCTCCTACTGACGGATGACATTTCAATATATAAAAACAACGGGCTATCTAAAAAGATCTTATTGTTAAAATTATTTTATGTACATACTTTTACATAGATTTTATAAAGCTGAATATTTATTTCCATTATTTTTTGAAGGAGAACAAATTAAGAATCACTGAAATATTCAACTAATTTTTAAATACCTAAGAAATAATAAACGTCGTAATAAATATTTCGAAAATGGTGTGATCATCATTTCTTCTGGGACTCTTCTTGGTCATGACGACGTAAAGTTATACATATTATGACCATGTTTGACATCATTCTCACTAATGAAAGCATATATACAGGGTGACTGGTGAATTACTATCAATATTTAAGGAGAATACTCGGTACATGATTCTCATTCGAATTATGTAAAAAAAATAGGTACTTAATTTTTGACCAAATTTCCGTATAAATAAATAAAGTGTGGACAAGTGTCAAGTGTTCCAAGATTTATGGCTTAAAGGGAAACTCCAAAAAAATTACTAAGAAATTGATTGATTTGTTTCTTAATTGTTTCTTGATTGAGGCAGTACGATGTCTGCCGGGTCAGCTAGTGTTAGAATAAACTCGTCGCGATTGGCAGTCCGGATAATCGCGAATTCGGATAACCGAGGTCCGGATAATCGGGGTCCTACTGTATATGTAACATAATTAAGGCACACCCTGAAAGTAATTTGTTCAGAATCGGAATCTGGATCAATTTTGATAGTTTTTTATGTAGGTGATTTTTTTTCTCAAATTTAGATAGAACTTAGTAAATTACAGTCATCCTACACACAGTTATCTAAACACTTCATAGAAACGAAAATGGATCGTAAGTTCAGGGTATTAAGATTTTTAAAATGAAATATTAAATTAGTAATCATCATTCAATTAAAGAAAACTGATGCTTTTTTGAAGGCTAAAATCAAATACCTACGCACGTGTCCATTGACCTCCTAGATCAGCTGGTTTAACGCCACTCGACTTTTCTTTGTGGGGCGAATTAAAACGCTAGTTTATGTTAATGTTTGAGGGTGTGCGTTAATTATGTTACATGTTGTATATATAAATAAAGTTTTAGTATATGATTTGGGTGAAAGCTTGTAGTGAGAGTATCACTTCTAGCTATTAGATGAATTCCAAGTCTTATTATCATAATATTATATAGTTAATATATTTTGTGTGTATTATAGATTTTGTAGTATGTTTATACCATGTATTACCTATCATATAATTAAAGGGTTGGTATTAAAAGCAAATTAAAAGGTATAAACGTAGTAAAGTGTATATTTCAAAATAGACTAATCTGCACTTTATGTTAGAAATTCTTGTGTTAGTTTACTTTCTTGTGAATTTTATAATATACATTATACCAATTTAAAAAAATATATCGATCAAATATGAAAAATATTCTCGGTCATATAATAGTCTCGGTTTCAAAAGAATCAATCGTTTTAAAAATTAAAAATTAAGAATAAAATATAAAAACCTATAAAAGTGCATTTGAATTGCACCGGATAGTTTAAAACAAAGAAAGTGGCCGTCACTACAACTAAGTGAAATGAATTATGTATTAACATTCGTAAGTCTAATAAATAAAAAAAACTAAATTTTAAACGAATTAAATTTATTTCATTATATTTATTACATAAACAGATTATTATATTTTATATATTTTTTTATACAAATGAAAATAAATAATGTCTATATTGTTTACTTATAATCAGTATAAAGACTTTTTAATAGTATGTTTATATTTCGTGACGTATATTTAATTGACTCCATTGTATGTGACATTTTCTGAACGTTCGTAGCCGCGTGGAGCTATCTTCTCTCGTTCCTCGTTACCAGCCACCAGCATTGCCAAATGTTCCTTTAGAAAATTTTAAAATACAATTTAAACATTAATATAAAATATTAAAACTCATAAGTACTTCACTGTTGTTATTATTATATAAAAAAATATTTCTGTAGGACTAGTAGCGCCATCTCTGTTTTATTCATGTAATGTTTTAGATCAATGTCAATAAAGTGTCAGTTGTTAACTGAAAAATCGTGTTTTAATAACTATCAATCATGACAGTATTTATAATTGAAGCCTAAGTAGCTAAATTAATGTCAAATAAGAATTTACTTATTGTTGGGAGAATTTTTTCAAATGGTTGGCTATGAGAATGAGGAAGAAGGAAAGTATGTATGATAATGTCTAGACAACTAACCAAATAAGTTTTGGATGTGGCTTGTAGCTGATTGAGGAGTTCCTGGAGCCGGGAGCGGAGGCTGCGGACCTCGCTCATAGCGGAGTCTACGGGGAGAGTCTGAAATATAACACGTAATGAGTAATGAGACTGTGAATAAAGAATGTAGAAAAATAGTCTTAGAATAATTTGATTTGTGTTATATTTTCGGTAGTTGAGTCTGTCTTAAGTGATCAGATCTTGCGCGAGTAATAAAACGATTTAAATAAAACTATTATTTTCGGATTTACTACGCTTTTATTATTTTGAACTCCGTACTCCTTATGTTTCGGTTATTTAACAACATGGGGAGACTTGATTGTTTTTTTTCTCGACACTTCGGGAGTATGTTATTCTGAAATAATAAAATAAAACGTAGCTATCCATATAGCGTAGCAACGTATGCTTTGAAAATTTACAATACTCTTTCACGTATTAAAGCTCGATTCTAAGGTTTACTCTAAATAGAATAGTACACTGACATTTTTCTATTACTTTACATAGTTCTTTTTTAATTGAGGCATAGTTTATATATTTTATTAAGAAATATCAAACTAAAATTCATTTACCTTCATCAAAGCGTTCGTAGCGACAGTGAGTTGCCTGGTCACCAGGTTATATCCTTGACGGATGTTTCTGCAAAAAAAAAAACACTACATAGGAACTAAATAACTACCTACATATCTCCATTCTAATTTGATTTATTTCGTGATGGAATAGAACTTCACGAAAAAAAACCATACAAATACGAGAAGAAGAGTCTGTTACATGAAAACTGAACAACTTAAGCCATCTTCATTCTGATTTTAAACACTTCGTGATAAAATAAAACTTCACGAACAAAAACAATACGAGAAGAAGAGTGTAATGTTCCTCACTTAGGCAGATCTTCTTGAGTGTAGTTAACGAGGTGTACTAGTTTCCTGGCAGACTCTCTGGCTAACAGCACGAGCAGTTGTTCCAATGTGTCAGGACGCGCCTGATTTTCTGGCTCTGGTTGTGAGAGATTAGAATACAACTGCTTGGCTTTCTTCCAGGCGAGAGCTGGGTCCGTCGCCACCTGAATAAACACCCAGGAGTTTTAAAGTCAAATAGATGATAAACAAGAGCAAGTTCTTAAGAAACTAAAAATTAGATTGAAGTTTAACACATGAATTGTCACATTGATCTCTATTTATGCACAGAAATAAAACTACATTATCTTTATTTGTAAGAAAATATAGGATATATGATGGTTAATAAAAACAATATCAATATATAAAAGAGCGTTGAGTTATTTACACTATATATTAATCAAGAAAGTTTATACGGATTTGGCTGAAAATTTGTGGCGAGATAGCTTAGAACTAGTATTGGGACATAGGATTTTTAATTAAGTGCAATCGAAAAAGAAATCAAAATCTAATAAAATCCAATATCTTCTTATTTCGCCCGGACAGCTATATATTATTAATTATGAATTTAACGCTGACAAAGTCGCGGGCAAATACTAGTAATATCCACACTAGTAATCAAATTTAAATCGTGGTTTATAAACAATGCTATGGTTTTCTACTCACCAGTTCAGCTACGTACACAAGCACGTGTATTTGTTCTTTGATAGCCTTCGCCTCAGCCAGGGCCTGTCTTGTAAGTCGTCTTTGCAGCTTGCGGCTGAGCCTGGCGCCGTGCTGCACGGCTTGTGCTGCACGAGCTCGACCAGACTCTTCATTATCACCTACCTCCGCACTAGTCACTATTATCACAACTATTAACTCGTTTACCTATCAGTTACCTTACATAGTTTTGGAATTACTTTTACCTGTAGTGTTATATTTATGAGTAATAATGAACTTGTGGCACACAATTTACTGCTTCAATTTAGTCTGACTACTGTCACAAACATTATTTGACTACCTACTATTTGAATGTGTTACAAATACTTCATATAATTGGGGACATTATTGTCATTTGATTGTAAAGCGATTGAAGCGACATCTTGTTATATAAATCTGCGTATTTATATTAGGTTAAAGTAACAAAGACAGTGTTTTATAATTAAACCACTGTTATTGAGATAAGAAAGTACTTTTTCATCGTTGGGATATTTAGTCAAACGAAAAATACAATTAAATACGACGATGATACCTTCATTATGATTAAGCAGCCAATTGTATCTTATATGTTAAAAAAGTTTAAGAAAACAATGTTTAAATTACTGTCCAACTATTCTAGGGATAAGAAAGTACCTATCATTAGAAAATTTACTTAAGTATAAAATATAGATGATTTAAATATGACTAAGCAGCCAATTTGTTTATTCAAAGACCCCATCGATAAGAACTTTTTAAATGCGTGTTATCAATGTGTGATACATAGTCCACAATCCACGTGATATCGTGACACGATAACCCTGGGCGTAAAGTGCATCCGTGGAACATTCACTATACTGATAAGTCCTACATAGACGCCAGACTGGGACTTTATCAAACATTACAACCTAGTTCCACTCCTGTTAGACGATCACCAGACAAAAGATCAAAGAAGCAAAGATCAGGAGCTAAATATAAGTTCTGTGCATATCTGCTTTGGTTGGGGAAATTACAAAGTACTATCATATAAAGTCGTGGTGGCTTAAAGGTTAAAAGCTCACCTCTAGTGTATGAGAAAAGTAGCAAGTAGCAATGTGATTTATCAGAGTCATATGTACTTTCTAAGAGTATTTAGACATCACTGATTAATGAAGGAAAACATAATGAGGAAACCTGGATTTATAATATCAAATTATAAGTTTGAAATCGCGTGGTGATTTAAGCTCTCCTCTCCATGTGAGAAAGAGCTTTGCTCAGCAGTGGGCTCTGATAGACTGATGATGATTATCAATATCCCTACTAATATTATAAATGCGAAAGTAACTCTGTCTGTCTATTACGCTTTCACACCTAAAGCATTAAACTGATTTTAATGCAATTTTGTACAGAGATAGAGTTGACCTTGAGGAAGAACATAGGATAGTTTTTATTCCGGACTTTTGAAAGGTTCTCTTAGAAACGCGATATAACCGAACTCCACGCGGGCGAAGCTGCGGGTGGAAAGCTAGCTAGAATGGTCAAAATTTATCTCACCATCAGCTGCATCTTGGTAGTCAGGTGGTAGGTACTTGTCCACGTATTTGTCAGCGGTGGTAAGTGCTCGGTCCAAGGCACTAGCTGTAGCAGCAGTCACACGTGAGTCCAACACAGCAGTTCCAAGCTGCTTCACGGAGTCCGCCCTACGGAGCACGTACTGACGCGTCTCTGAATACATCTGGCAACGGTCGGACTTGATTAACAGAACATATAAGAATAGGTTATTCGAAACTAGAAAAAATACGAAAATGAAACTAATATTTTCGGATTTTATTAATTTATTTAACTATTTATTAAACATGCCTGAAACATTTAAAACAAAAATATGTCACAGGAAAAATGAGTTTAAAAAGTATACTTATCCCTAGAAGAGATTTCTTCCAGTATTTTCTTTTTATTATTTTAAACGACATAACTACAATTTTCGGTTACTTTGCTGCAACCTTACTAAACAAATAAACCAACCAAAATTGAGATGCAGTAGTCTGAAAATATTAGTTACATTTAAATGAATACTCGGGTAAGTCAACTCAAAATTACTTAAGAAAAGGCTCAAGAAAGGTAAAACTTATTTTATTTCCATTAAATATGCTCATTTTCAATATCTCTTCTTTAGTTTATTATAATGAGTATGTGTTATATGTCCTTTCCTTATACCTCTGTTATGAAATAATACGACTTTTGATAATTTATTTACGATAAAACTTACGGCTTGTGGTGGCAGATAAATCGACGGCACCCTTTTCTCCACCACATCAAGTGACATACAGAGGAATCTGTCTAGCTGATGTATAGGCGTCTCCAGAAGATGTACTGCTGGTAAGGCCAACTGGAAGCCAGTGGCTAACGACTTCTCCCCAAATGACATGTACCAACGAATCAATGGGTTTGATTCCTAAAATAATACAAAAATTATAATCTGAATAGTTTAAGATTCTTTTAAAATTTGCTTAGGTAGAGAGAGAAGCTTGGACGGTGGAGGTGAGCGTTTAACGCGCGTTAGATAGGGGCCCCTTAAACCTACACCTGGGTCGCAAGTCCCAGACACTGTTGAAGCTCCTCTCACTACAACGATGGACCCGACACACGCACGGTGAATACATTGAATACTAAGAGGTTTCGTCTCTTGGCAGATTATTTCTTACAACAAAATACTAATTCTTAGATTTAGACATACTTTCACCAAACAATATTAAACAAAATAACGTTACATATAATAATTCGTTGTTAATTTTTCATAGTTGTACGTAAATATTTTAACAGACAATTATATTTATGAAGCTTCATTAGCAAATGCCTCGTTTAGATTTAACAAACAGAGTTTGGTGAAATTGGGTCTTAGTCCTTAGAAATATTTTTTATATATCAACCTAATACATAATTGAATAAATATATATGTGCTAAATACTTTGTTTTTATTACCTTAATTCGTGAATATATTTTCTCTGTCATTTCGATGCCAGACTCCACTATCGGTATATGGGAAACTCTCTCTAGAGCCTCCAACCGAGGAAGACCAGACTTCTGAATCTTCGTCACTGAAACAACATTTAATTTAATATTTATTTTTAGATTTAAACCTGACCCTTTTGATATTTATATATTTTATGTACATATGCACGCTAAGTATATATAACAGTAGAAACATGTGCTTAACTTATATTAAAAACAATAAAATCTAAAGTTATATATATCGGCGCTATCAGCTTTAATTACGGATGCGACATGAAAATAACTTGAGCCAGTCATCAATTCTTTTTAAAACTCATTTTATTCATGATTAGTGTTAAAAATAAAACGAAATCAAAGATCGTTTAAAAGGAGAATAGAACTATATATAATTTTTTTTATAAATATGACGTCTGGACGCACGACGGCAGATTTGAGAGTTCAGTGAGTGCGTATCATTGAAGTATGTGGTTATGAAGAACCTTCGAGAAATACAAGAACATTAAGAACAATTGAAGTTTCATTTTAAAATATCATGGAACGTGCTAGAAGAAGTAACATTAGTAACGTTAGCGAGGCTGGCGTCTCTCTCTTTAAAAACAACGAATTTATAATAAATATATATCATTTATCTAATACTTTTCCTTTGCGGTGTAATAGGATCTCATATAAATTATCCTATAGGTACCTATAACCAGAACTATTTGAAACAATCGGATAATCAGAATGCTTAGTCCGATTTGTCTTCGTCACATTACATACGGGACGTTAAAAGTTTTTCATTGATTATTACTCTTGGCACATTATAGTATTAACTTAGATTATCCCTACTAATATTATAAATGCGAAAGTAACTCTGTCTGTCTGTCTGTCTGTCTGTCTGTCTGTCTGTCTGCTACGCTTTCACGCCTAAACCACTGAACTGATTTTAATGAAATTCGGTACAGAGATAGAGTTGACCTTGAGAAAGAACATAGGATAGTTTTTATCCCAGACTTTTGAAAGGTTCTCTTGGAAACGCGATATAACCGAACTCCACGCGGCGAAGCTGCGGGCGGAAAGCTAGTTGAATATAAACGGAAAACGCGTCACATGTAGTTTGTCGAGACAAACTTGTGCTAATAATTTCATAACCATATTTACCAAAAGCGATTTAATGTACCTATTTATTGTTGATATTTTAATGAAGAAACAATTGTTGTATTTAATTTGATTAATTTCTAATAACAAGAACAAAATTGTGCATCAGAAACGATGTAGTTTTAAATGAAAATATTTGTTTTGAAGACATTAACAACAACCGCGCCACTTTTAAGTCATTTAAGAAAGCAATATAATAAGAATTTTAAACCTTTCAAATAAATCGTAAAACAATATTTAGAAAATGTATTAATATTTATTTTTTAACACGAGAAATAATATATACGAACTATTTAATGTCTAACCTTTTTGGCCGTTGCTTTGTTCAACCGCATGTAAATAGGCTTGGGCTTTCTTCGCAATTGATCCAGAAATTTTCTTATTAACGCTACCATTTTTACTCAAACTATTTTCCTTCCGTAAATACAATTCTATTGTCATTTTTAATGATATTTATTTAAAATGACAATGGTATGAGTTGAGCTGGCTAAGATGAATGACGAGAGAGACTAATTAAATTTTTAATGAGTATTGTTACAATTTCGCGGGTTATCACGAAAATGAAGGTTATTTTTTTTATGAAAAGTGACGAAGACATATTTATTTTTTGTTAATACAAAATTTAGCTTTATTTTTAATAGATGTATTTTACTTTTATAAGAGTGGTGGTATATTTGATAACAAAAATAATATATATTTGCCTAATTTTAAGCATTTTACATTTAGTTTTGTTAACATGAAACTGTGAGTCCCAGAATTGTATTATAAACAATAAATCTACATAAATTTTATAGTTTTAAATTTAAGACGATACTTTCTTATCTTGTTGTTTAGTTAAGTTTGCGTTGAAATAATATTCTATTTTTACGATAAAACATTACATTTTTTTAAGTATTTAAATAGTTATCATACGAGAATACTTACTTTCCAAAAAGTTTCGTTTACTTTTTAAAAATATCTTTATTAAAATAAGAATAAAGTGTATGTATATTATTTTTTTCAGTTTTCTAGTCCCTCTATGTTTATACAGAAATGAATTCTCAAAACAAAGATTGTAACTCCACTTACTTTTATACCCTTAAAAACTAAATCTAAAATAACGCCATATTTTACTAAATTTACAATATTTTATTAAGTCTTCCTTTTTCCACTGGATAGAAATTCCCAATGTCTCCCATAAACTATTACTTGTATTTTGTAGAACTAAGAAAACAAACTTATTTGTTTCATTATATTACTTTTATTGTTTTAATATTAAAGATACGGATCCTCATAAATAATAAATATTATAATAACCTTTCTCAATTTATAACTCTGTTTGCGTTCTCATTGATAAATTATTATTTATAAATAAATGTAATAAATTCCATCGAAATTACATCAAAACAAAAAGATGTAAAAATATTTAGAGGTAGCTTATTGAGCTGTTTTAAATATAAGCTATTGTCAGCTTTCCATTTCCATATTAAATAAAAGAAAAACTTTATAATTACCATTAAGTGTATCTTGAGCATTTAATTTAATTTTATGTACCTACAAATTGTATAAAAAGTAATATACTTAATAATTGTATAATCTATATAATACACTAGTTTTTGCTTGCAACTTCGTCGGTATTAATTTTGGAATTAGTAATATCCCTACTAATATTATAAATGAGAAAGTAACTAATTAATTTTAATGAAAGTTGGTACAAAGATAGAGTTGACCTTGAGAAAGAACATAGGATAATTTTTATCCCAGACTTTTGAAAGGTTCTCTTGGAAACGCGATATAACCGAAATCCACGCGGGCGAAGCTGCGGGCGGAAAGCTAGTTACATATATGTGTATAGCGGACCGGGCGATGTCTATTCCGTACTAGAGGCCGTAAATAACCAGATATGGAAATTTATTATTATTTTTCTTTTTCGATCGAACACAACTAAATATCCTACGCCCGTCTCCTAGTTCTAAGCTATCTACCCGCCAATTTTCAACCATACCCCTACAGCCGTTCATGAGTTATAAATTGTGTAACTAACACGACTTTCTTTTATATATGTATATATTGTACTTGAGACTATAGCGTGAGGATCCAAGTCCACATAACATAATCACAAACAAAACAACTCCGACCCGGAACTCTTTATCTTAAAGTGCATCTTTACTTTACGACCTATTTTTATTTCTTTGATATTAGTACATATTTAAGTAATTAGATTTTAAGACATTAGATTTAAGTTTAATAAATTTAAATCAAAGCAGTTTTAGTAAACCCGTGTAATTGAGGCAATACTTGACTATGAACAATGCGTGATATATTTTGAATTATTGATGGCAACAATATGAAAACTTATTCATGATATAAAAAAGAATAGAATATAGATCCGTAATAAAATCCGCCAAAAAATAACGGATACGGATCTTTCTGACGCGGATGTCCGTTGATATGAATGCGTTCTGCCAAATCACTAGATTTAAAGTTTATTTTTGTTGAAAACGCAACATTTTTGAACATAAAATTGTGGGTGCATAGAAAAATATTTCTTACGCAATCCGACATACAGTTCACAATGCTTTAAATTAAATAAAGTTTTCAAAATGATTAATCAAAATTTCTTCTTCAATTACTCATTACCTCTGTAGATTTTTTTTCATTTGCGTATCTCAAATTGCCGTCCCTGTACATATATTTAATATGTTTTATGTGATCCACAAATAAATTAAAACTTATCAAACAAAAATTTGTTTATAGGCTACGTACCCATTACTTTTAAAAATATGTCTCAATATTACAATTAGAAAGATGTTCAATCTCAACGAAGAAATAAAACCAGTAGGCAGACTCTGTATAATAATCAGTTTATAAGTAAGTATAAAATAGTAATTAATGTCTGAAATTTATCTCCACTAATGATAAAAATAATTAAAACAAAAAATATTTATACGTGTAAGTATAAAAATACACAATCAAAACATATAAGAATGAAGTTATAAATTCGTTGTTTAAAAATGTAGTTAACATAAAATTATATTAAATTGAATCTTTTTCTTTACATTATTAATAACTTAATAATAATAATAACTTATTAATATTAAGCAGCCGGTAGTAAAAACAATAAGCCAAAACTATTCACAACATGTAAGGCAGACCCTGGCTAAAAATGGGAAATTGCCAGGTGGAAGAAGAAGAATAATAATCACTTACTTTTTCTTGTATTTAATGCGTCACTGGCTCGACTGGTAGACACGAGAAACTATTCACAACTAACGCCTAACGTATAGTCTGCATACACTTTGTATAAAAACTCACACTAATGTTCATAGTATATACGATATCAATTTATAATTATATTTTTATAATAAAATATTTACTATATAATGTACTAGTTATGATATAACTCGTATCTGTAGTATAATTTTCTGCTGTATAAATATTGTATCAATTTGAGATCAAAGTTCGTAATTATAATGGATTTTATGTTAATGAGAGTCTCCTTATTGTTATTTTTTTCAATATTATGTCAGTGTTGTGATACTTTTTAGAGATTTTTGTAATTTTTTATCTATAATAAAATGTTTTTGGTCTCCGTTATATAGCTTTTTTTTATTTTATCTTTAAAATAATCAGGGGTAGTTTCAACCATTGTTTAATGACATGTCGCATACCAATTCGTCGGTTTCTGGCATTTTTCTGATGCAGGAGTATTTAAGGAATTTTATTTCTTTGAATACATTGTTTCACAACGGTTAAATACATTGTTCAGTTGATGGTCTACCTTCTGAATGCTTGTGTCTACAGATGTGGAAAAATATATTGTACGGATGTCTACCGATCACAAAATGGTGACCAAATGATAATATACCAGTCATAGTGCAAAATATTTTCACACGATTTGTCTCCGGCTTGAACACGTAATGTTTCTCTGTAATGATTGGTGTAGTGTCTAAATCCTAGAAGCTTGCAAACGTAGCATCTGTATCGTAGAAGGAAAGCTGTACAAACTAATTCAATAATCTCATTAATGTACAAGATTATGGAGCGCACGTTGAAAAAACATCTCATGATATACTTTTAAGACAATTATCTTTTTTCTGCCCGAAAATACAGGTTGAAGAAGAAATAGGACGAATGTAAATCTTCTGGGTTACACAGATTAATCGGAGAGAACTCTAGAGCACAACGGTGAAGCTCTCACAAAACTCCTATAACTTAAGTATTCAGTTATTAAGTATTGACTTATCCTCGAACCCAAAGTTTTCTCATCTGTCATAAGCACATCAAAGGATTCAAACCTGTTTTTCCTCCTACTTACAAAGAGGATATCTTTAAGGAGTAGATTGTATTATTATAGTATTATGAAATATGAGAAACCTGTCACCAAGATAGTGCATTCATCACATACGATTTCATTCTTCCTACCAATGGGCTGAATGACGGTCAAGCAATAGCCAGTCGCAATAAAGAATAAAATGTTTTAAATTCTTCATACAACAATCATTCGACGATAATTCATGAATATTTTTATTACTATGTGAAATACTTAATATATGTATCAGCGCTTATATTATATATGATAGTCATCTCTACCAACATACAATATTTCTTTGAAATGAATTCCATAATTTTAATTCTATTAAAAGAAAAATAATTACTTTTCTTGATGGATAAAATATGATCACTATTCACTAGCAGTGGCGGCTTTACCTTAAGTGCACTCGTGCGTTGAACCACCAATTCAAAAGATTTAAAAATAACACAATATTACTTCATCTTTATTTTTAAATTACCATTTTAATATTTACTTTTTAAACATATAAAAACGTATAAAAAATTAAAAATCCTAATTATGGTCAAAAAGTTTGAGCGCTTTACTAAACTCTCGTGCGCTTCGGCGAGTGCACGAGAACTGCTAATACATCTTGTATGAGATACTCATTAATACGCTTGACGCGTGAAACAAAAGATAGTTCATAGAAATGTACCGAGTAATGAGTCGGTTCTCGAGCGCCGCACGAGCGGCCGAAGATTACCGAGAGCACCCGATGTATGACGAATTGAGTCGGCCGGCCGAAGCATGTTTGACATCTCGTTATGTTTTATTGCATTCCTAATTTTAATATTTTAGTAAAGTGCACCATCAGTTTGATTACCCACCAGCCGCCACTGTTCACTAGAATATCAATTAATTGCGATATAAGACGAAACTTCTTAGCATTCAAAGCATTGACCGTGGGGAGTGCCGTGTCCATCGCGTTGCGATCCAGGTGTAGGTTTAAGGGACCCCAATCTAACGCGCGTTAAACGCTCACCTCCACCTTCCAAGCTCCGCTCTCTACCTAACCAAATTTGAAAAGCACCTACAGGGCTACGAAGTACGTTCCGAGAATGAATTGATATTAGTTCTGAACAGGCCCAAGTCTGTTAGTAGGTTGTAGAAAGATTTAGCTGTTATTCCTCTCACTCCTACTTTTACCGCTTACTAGAAGTCTATTCCTAGTAAATATTAAATACATCATCATATACTTAAGATTTTTAATACTGTGTTTTAGATTTTTTTATAAAAGATGTCAAAAATAAATTTTAATGAAAGCAATGATGACAGAAATGGAATTTGATATTAAAAATTACATATAAAAGGCCTTATCGCAATTAATCGATTCAGCCAAAACAATATTGATATGTTATCTCTGAAGTATATAATCATAAAGGAATGAAGATAATTCTATTATAATTCATATAATTTAAAACATTATTGCTTTATGTTAATTAAAAAAAACTGAGTTTTATACAAAAAAGAGGCTCAAAATTTGAAGTATTGAATGTTTTTTCTTAAATTCACTTCTATTCCTATTATATTTATCAAATAATTCAAATTTCATTTATATATGGAGTTAAATACTTGAGTATATATATTAATTACGTATTATCATTATCTTATCGATCGTCAGCTACACCACAAAAGGAACAGCATTTTTATTGTGAAACATTCGCTGAATATCGTTGTTTTTGCTAAATAAGCGGAAGTTATTAAAGTGTTGTGCTTTTGATAAATTATACCGTTTTACCGTAAACAGGTAAGATTTTTGTAACTTTTTCGTTGTTTCATATCATATCTACTGATCTGACCACTAGAAAATCATTTACAATTGCTGTTTTGGACTTATAAACGTCATAAGATTTGAACTTATTAAAATAATTTTAGTTCCTCAAGTTAAAGCGAGTGTTTGTTTGTTAAATTTTAACAGTTTTGTTAACTCCCTTTGTTACATGGCCTTACAATTGTAGCATAATCTCTTTTCTTGAAAGTTTTCTGCTGTTTTTCATAATTTTATAAATCGCAACAGTTTCTTAAATTCTTCCTTTGGTTATTGTTTATTTTACAATAGATAAGACTTCCTTTCTTCCAGATTCATCTATTAGGTAGAAATATTTTTATTGATATAACATTTCAATACCTCAATAGCTTGAAAGTCCTTCTTCAAGTATTTTTCATGAAAATCGGTGAATAGTTTGGTTTCGAGAATATTTGTTACTTTACTTTTTATATGAATAAAATTTAATGATAATTTTATTTAAAACTGCTGATACCTGCCGATGTCACTCAATACTCTTAGTTAAAACTACTTCCTCATCATAAAACCAGTAGGTAGTTCAAATGTTTTTAATTCATATATCCCTTACCTTAATTTATGATTAAAAAACTGTATAGACGCTGTAGACACTTAAAAATTAGACATATTTGAGTCGGTTACCCTTCATTATTTCTCCCTTTTCTACCTTTTCTTCCCTCTCTTCTCAAATCAAGGGTGGTAACACACATTACGGATGTCCATGGGTGACGGTACCACTTCTATCAGGTAGGTCATTAGCTCGGTTGCCCTCTTTAGTATAAAAAATGTTACTTTTTGGAAGAAAAAGTTGTCTGGGTCCGAGATTTTATTGTTTTTATGAAAAAATATGTAGCAATAGTTTCTAATAAAAATTATTTCCCAGGCAATGCTGACATACCATACAAGATGGAGGTGAGATTGTTCGTTGCTTTTATATTTATTGTGTCTGGATCTCAAGTCGATGCTCAAAATAGTAAGTCAAAAAAAAGAATACATTAAAAAACAGTTACTAAATCATTCAAAACTTTTTTAAGCAACCACTGATCTAATTAAGTATATTTTTAGTAGAGACGTAAATATTATTAAATTTATTAATATGAACCAAAAAGATGATGAGTTATGCCTCTAAAAGAAATTTTTCTATCCCTAGGTAATAGATGTAGATACATGACTAATATTCCAAGAGAATCCAAGCCTGATGACTTACCGGAGCTGGTAACAGAAGGTAAATATTAGGATAATGAAAATAACATCTCTGACATCAATTTATCATTAAAATATTCCATATTCTACTCATTTTATTAACACCTTATAATCTTGGCTTGAAACTGGATATGTAACGGAATCTCTTTCCAGAAGTTTAATAAGTTTGAAACTTTGATTTTGATAATACAATAAAATGATAACAGTTTTTCATTCTCCTTATTATGACCGTTAGAATTAATGAATTATTTTAATTCAGAGTAAAAGCGTGGGTTGCATTTGACTACATTTCATGTCTGTTGTTGAAAATTATTTTCTTTTTTTTTAGTTCGATTAGCTATAAAAGAGTATTTTTAGTTCTTTTAAACTATTATTTATTTATAATAAATTGCATTTGGAGGAATTAAATTGTATTCATTCTTTTGTGATTATAATATTTTGCGTTTTATACTCGTAGGAGATACGTGGAGCGAGCGACCTTTCCTGCCTGCTGATGACCGTGAGGAAGTTTGTTTTGAACAATATAGAGCAGATGTTAATGTACAAGAAATATTTATGGATGAAGAGAACGTGAATGAAGTACCCATAGCAAAACTGAATTATCAAGGTACGTTGTTTAAATAAAATTCCCAAAGATGCTTGATTTCAGCCAGGTGGCCGGTCGTAAAAACTATTAGCCAAAACTATTTCAACATTTATGGCAGACACTGGCTAAAAGCTGGGAAATTTCCAGGAAGAAGTTGTTTAAATAAAATGTATGTAAAATCTTGATTTATATTAATTAATTATTTTTTATGCAGGAGTTGAGACACCCACTATTGTTCTTCCCCTAACTGCTGGATCTTTTAATTTGTTGCGACCAGAATTGAGAAAAGAAAATAATAATTGGTTTCTTTACGTGACTCAGAGGTAAGGATCATTCTTATAGAAAACAGTGCTTCCTTTAAATTTCTAATGTAACGATTTTTCAGACAGGACTACGAGACGTTAGAAAGTGCTTTATACATCCTGAGAATAAGGATACAGAATGAAGCATTGGAAGGGCAAATATCTTTATGGATCGTAAACATTGACGATAATCCTCCTATCATACACTTGTTGGATGCTTGCGTGGTGCCGGTAGGAGAAATATTATGAACTAGCTTTCCGCTCGCGGCTTAGCCCGCGTAGAGCTCAGTTATATCGCATTTCTAAGAGGACTTTTCAAAAATCTGGGATAAAAACTATCCTGTATTCTTTCTCAAGGTCAACTCTATCTCTGTACCAAATTTCATTAAAATCAGTTCAGTGATTTAGGCGTGAAAGAGTAACAGACAGACAGACAGAGTTACTTTCGCATTTATAATATTAGTAGGGACCAGGGATAAATATCAGTCAAATATCAGCGCTGCCAGTCATTCCGTGAAACTTGTCACACGGAATCCTCACGAGCGGAGGCAGGCATAGCGTTCGAGATGAGACGGGAGATCGGTCCGTCTCTCTCTCGTTATACCTGCGATCGCGCTCGTGAGGTTTTGGTGTGACACAAGTTTCTGAACATGTCACCCGACTAAACCGATTTTAAAGACGTTATCACGTCAAAAATATTATTTTATAATATGTTCTATAATCTGTTAGGAACTAGGGGACCCTCGTTTGACGGATTGTACATACGAAGTAACAGACATAGATGGTAGAATCAGTACCAGCAACATGACCTTCAAGATTGGAAGCGATCGTGATGATGAAGACATCTTCTATTTTGTTGGAGAACCCGATACAAGCAACTGGAACAGAATGACAACCACTCTTGGTATAACTAGAGCACTAGATTTCGAAGCGAGCGCCTTACATATATTTACAGTTACAGCACTCGTAAGTACACTTTTAATACATACATATTATCAGTATGCGTCATCATATTATGTATAGGTATGATAACCAACCGTAATAATCTTCTATATATATAAAAATGGATTGCTGTTCCTTAGTCTCGCTAAAACTCGAGAACGGCTGGACGGATTTATCTTATCTTAGTTTTGAAATGTTCGTGGAGGTTCAGGGAAGGTATAAAAGCTGAAAAAAATTTATTCATTACTTGGAAAACCATAAAAACAGCCCTTTTCTATTTCCCATACAAACGTTTTTGAAGACATTAGATTTGACAACTAACTAATATGTCAATCATTCTGTCGCACTTCAAAACACGGAGATTTATGGCTTACAGGTAAACTCCAAAAAATATAAATAAAAAAACGTAATAGATATTTCTTGATTATAGGGCGATACGAAGTTCGCCAGATCTAGTTTTCAATAAATTACGTGGTCTATTTCTATGTATAAGTTTCTCTCATATATTTTGTTTCCTAGGATTCTTTAAACAATAACCACACAGTTACAATAATGGTGCAAGTTCAGAACGTCGAACATCGCATGCCTCGTTGGGTAGTTATATTCGCGGTGCAGCAAATAGATGAATTGGAGGCTGGGGACTTTAATGTTAGGGCAATAGATGGCGACACTGGTATCAACAAGCCGATTTTATACAAAATAGAAACTGAAAAAGGTGACATTTTAATAGTATTATTATATAGTTAACATATGGATCTACTTAAATAGGAATTCAAAGGGTCTATCATTGTTTGAGAGTTTAATTGACTATTTTGTGAAGATTAACCGATCCTTAAAGTATTGTCGAATTATATTAAGATCATTTTAGTCTATACGTGAGTAGATCTGTTTATACGATAAAATATATATTATTTTATAATAAAATATATCTTAAACAAAAAAACCTATATTTTAGGATTACCACACGTTATTTTATTATTAAAAAAAAATCTAATATTATTTCGTGTGCTTGTGATCACGACTAATGCAAAGTAACCGAAACGTCGAAAGAATATAGTTTATTAAAATAATAAAATAATGCTTAAAATCTGAAAACATTTTAATATAATGAATTTTCGCATAAGTCTTAAATCTTATATCCTAAACATTTTTGGATATGAGATTTAAAAAACTATTTCATTATATCTTTTTAACTAATCACAGGTGAAGAAAACTTATTTAACATAACAAATAGAGAAGGTGGTTATAGTGGAGGGATATTTCATATCAATCCAATCGATAGGGACACATTAGAAAAGGAACTATTTCAAGTAACTCTGACGGCGTACAAATTTGATAACGAGACATTCTCTACGTCAACCAACATAGTAATACGAGTCAACGATATAAATAATAAGATACCAGAACCTCTACACCCTGAATACAACATCGCCATAGCCGAAGAAACACCTCAGACTTTATATTTCGACAAGGAATTTGGATTTCACGATAGAGATTTGGTAAATAATTTATATTGTAAAACATTATATAATAATTATAATAAGTCGTGGTGAGCTATAGCTTAAAAGTCACTATTTCATTCATGAGATCACGGGTTCGAAAACTGGCAATTACCAATGAGATATTTTCCAAGTTATATGTACTTTCTGTGAGTATTTAGACACCACTGACAGATGAAGGAAAACATCGTGAGGAAACCTGGACTTATAATTTCAAATTATAAGTTTGAAATCACCAACCCGTTTTAAGCGAGCGTAGTGATTAATATTCTAATCTTTTTTATGTGAGAAGAGGCCTTTGCTGAGCAGTGGGCTCCGATAGGCTGATGATGATGATGATGATTATGTTTTAATTTGTTTATAAGCCAAAGTAATAATATATTTCAGGGTCCGAATGCTCAATACTCAGTCCACTTAGAGAGTGTGTACCCTGAAGGTGTCGCTGATGCTTTCTTCATTCAGCCGGAGACAGGGTATCAGAGACAAACCTTCATTATGGGCACCACAAATCACAGCATGCTGGACTTTGAAGTGGAAGAATTCCAACACATACAAATTAAGGTTCATATATAATCTATTTACATAAAAATTAATCCCTTTTTCCCTTTATCACGGCATCACGCGTTAATGACTGGTCTGATTTCACTAATTCTTTGTTGTATTTGTTATTATTAGGAGAAGGTTCTTATATAAGAAAAAAAATAGAATATTTCACTTTTATTAAAATAATCACTCGCAGTCATATTCACGTAGTTAGAATAAATTAGAATAGAATAATAAACACTTCGTTTTGGAATAATTTTGTATTGTTAATATACCAATTAAAATTCAATAATCACAGTTAAGAAGACAGAACATTGTCTGTCGGATCAGCTATACTTAATAAAGAAATTAACTTCATTCAGATAACAAGGTAACAGATATTTCTTGAGTATAGGGCGGTACGAAGTTCGCCGGGTCAGCTAGTGGTATCATAAATATATGTATATATAATAATTTATGTTATAGGTAGTAGCCACTGACTTAGGTAACCCAGATTTTATAGGAGTAGCGATTGTAAACATCAATTTGACTAACTGGAACGACGAGTTACCTATTTTTAGTGAAGGGAATCAGGTTGTGTCGTTCAATGAGACAGAGGGAGAAGGATTCAGGGTCGCCCAGGTTCTGGCACGAGACAGAGATATTGGTGACAGGGTTATGTGAGTATTGTTATAATTTTTACAATCTACCTTCATATATTTTTAATGAATATTACACAAATTAAAATTGACAGACATTCACATCTCGTCTGCCCGTGATCACGGTTGCTGAAAAGTAACCGAAACGTCGGGAGTATGTAGTTTTTTACAAAAATAAAGCACGTGTAGTATATCAGAAAAATATTAGTTACATTTAAATTAAATTAATTTTATTTAGGATAATGAAGGCATAAAGAACTAAGTTTTTTTAATCATTTTCTTTACAACAGTCACAGTGTCATGGGTAACGCGCAAGATTTTCTACGAATAGACAGTGAAACAGGAGAAATATTCGTCTCTAAGAATAATAGTTTCGATTATCAGAGACAAAGCGAAATATTTGTTCAGGTAAATTTAAACATTCATATATTTATATGCCTACTATTATATCAATTACCTTATACATATATTATAAGGTAAAGGTCATAATATTTTTTGTTAATATACCTTTTTGGGTATATTTGATTTAATTAGTCAAGTTCTACGCGTCTTTCATATATATATAAAAAATGTATAATATATTTCGTAGGTGCTAGCAGAGGACACATTGGGCGAACCGTACAACACAGCCACATCGCAACTCGTTATACAACTGAAAGATATAAATAATACGCCACCGAGCTTGAGACTGGTGAGGAAAAATATAATCATTAATTTCACCGCATTATTAAATAAAAAAATTTAAAAACTATGTCTATATAATCGTATTTGGTTCTATAATGTTATTAGAAAAGTTATCTTTTAAATAGTTTTCAATGTCTGTCTAATACTGACAGAACTTGATATTGTCAATTATATATCAACGCATGCCAATAAGTAATAAGTGTAAAGCAAACGTATATGTCTTTGCATGTACGAAGGCTATATTTAAAACAAACCTAACCTAAGTTTCAAGCATAAAGAGTAGTTAAATTCAATCACAGCGTAAGAATATTGTTCTATTCCTATAGCAAATTATATTTGTACTATATATCATATGTTAATTGAGAATATGGAGTAATATTGAAAAATATCCACCAGCCTCGAGGAAGCACGCGGGTGCAGGAGAACGTGCCAGCGGGTTTCATTATAAACGATGAGCCTGAACAGTACATCACAGCGACTGACCCTGACTCCAGCGCCAACCTCGTCTTCCAGATCATATGGGAAACATCCTACGCTATGAAACGAGGCACGGAGACTGACAAGGATGAGATACGAGGGTATATAGAATAATTACACTATGACATTATAGCTGAGAACAGTCAGTGGTGGCCTAGTGGTTGATAGGCTCGCCTCTTTTAACCTCTAATTATCTAATTTAACCTCTACACCACCGCGACCTTTTGAACTCGTGACGTCTAAGAACACTAAATACGACCAAATATCTTGAAATGAATGGGCTTAAAACCTGAGATTTATATAACGTTCCTGTACCTACTTTAATAAAAGTAATAGGTACTTCACCTAGCTGGTTTTGTATTTGATTAATCCAAATAAATCGTGAAACCGACTCGCTTGACAGCATCTTCTTCAAAAGCTAAATCTAATAACTTTACTGACAATTTTTAAAATTTAGTCCATTCAATAGCAAATTGCGATAAAATCACCCATACAAAAAATTACATCCAATTATCAAATCGATACCCTATTTCTTTTATTAACAAAAAATAAGCAAAGTCTCATTTTGTTGAATATTCTAGGTGCTTGGATATAGTGACGTCATACGTGGATGGTAATAAAGGCCAGGCGATCGGTCGCCTGGTGGTGAAGGAAATCAGGCCCAATGTGACTATAGACTATGAGATGTTCGAAGTATTGTACTTGACAGTGAGAGTTGAGGATACGGAGACGGAAATTGGAGAACCTTACGACGAATGTTAGTATAAACATCTTCATACTTAAATTATTCTTCATTCCATTTCTTAGACTTCGGTCATGGCTAATAAATCTTGCAAATATGATAGCTTTTAGATAATTTACTTAAAAACTTAATTTATACTGTCACTTCTAAAAATTCGTGGTCATATCGAGATTATGTCTATATCATCTTTCGATAATTATCATTTGCAAATAATTTTGAATCGTTGAAAAAATGAATACATAAATAGTGAGTCTATGAGAAAGATATTACGTATTCGGAACATAAATCAGCAAAAAATTCCTTAATAGCTAATTTCAATACATATAACAAAGTAAATGTTCGCTGTTTGTATGTACATAATTCAATTAAATGTGTTATATCTAAGAAAAATCAAGATTTATACTGCCTTTCATTAACCAGATAGTTTTATCGATTCTATTAAAGAGAGTATAACAAAATTTTAATTGTTTAATCATCAGTAACTTTCACGATCACGATTCTGGACATGAACGACAATCCGCCCGTGTGGGTGAGTGGCACCCTGGAACAGACCCTGAGGGTGAGGGAGAAGTCTACATCTGGCACCATCATAGGAACTGTTACAGCCACTGATGCAGACGGCCCACAGTATAACCAAGTTAGATATACTATTGTGTAAGTAGAAATTTATATCTTTATACAAAATTCAAAATTACGGTTAAGCTCTCAATTTCTGCCATACAATTATTATTGAAACACATGAAAATACTTATCAATAGTATGGATATATTGTCTGTGTTTAGAATAAAACCATTTTTTCGGAAAACTACACGATTTTATTAGTTTATTATACATTTTTCGGACGTTTTGATCACTTTAAAGCCTCATTAGAGTCAAATAAAATAAATCAATTAGTCTCATCTCGTCAATCTATATTATTAAATCCGAAAAACGGTTTCATTTTAAATGTGTACCTACGAAAATTTCGAATATCATTTTGTTTGATATATTACAAATATGTCCCGAAGTCAGTTTAAAGAAATGCAAGTAATTTTGCCCAAAGTCCCAAAATCAGCCATTCATAACGATTTTAATATACAACTATATCATATATTACTCAAGTCCCAGAGAAGATACGCCAGAAGACTTGGTGAAGATCGACTTCGAGTCTGGTCAGTTGACGGTGGACACTTCTGGGGCCATCGACGCTGATGAGCCGAGGAGTGAGCTGTACTACACCATCCTAGCCAGTGATAAATGCTCTCAACCAGATAACACAACTTGTGGACCTGATGACACTTACTTTATTACGGAGGGCAATGTGATTTGAGTTTATTGTTTACTCTCTCTCTCGCTCTTTTTATCTTTCTCTCTCTCTCTCTCTCTCTCTGTATATAAATGAATTTGATAAACGCTTCATATAAAAAGATCCACTTTTAATCATGTCCATAATTTAATAACGACTATCTATTGGTTTCAATTGATAAGTAATATTTTTTATAACACCATCCGTTGTTTCTCAAAATGTTCTGTTGGTGTTATTCGATAAATAGCTTGAAATTTTCTATGCTGTTAATTTTATGTAAACACAATACATATACCAAATTTTTAACTAACTGATTATCAACATTAAAAATGTTATCCGAAGTTAGAAATAAATATATATATTTTCAATTAAAAATGTTTATATTTAATCAGGTAACGATACAAATTATTGACACCAATGATCAAATACCAAGGGCTAGAACTGATAGATTCAATACCACGGTTTATATACATGAAAACGCTGAGTCTGGGAAGGAAGTGGTTACTTTAGTAGCTGAAGACGGCGATAGAGATGGTAAAATTAATATTCTGTATACGCTAACAATAATCCTACTAATATTATAGCTTGTGAGTGTGTGTATGTTTGTTACTTCTTCACGCTCAAACGGCTGAACAGATTTTAATAAAATTTTGCACACAGGAAGCTGACGTCCAGCAATAATACATAGACTAATTTACACCCCGGAAATCCGCGGGTAATACCGTGGGGCGCTAGTAAATTATGAGATATAACTTATTTGTATTAAAATATTACAGATATATACAATACCATACGTTATCAAATAAATTACGGTGTGAATGTTCGTCTTAATGATTTCTTCGCCATCGATCCCGAGTCTGGGCGAGTCTACGTACAGTACACCACACATGAAGTTCTTGACAGAGACGGAGACGAACCAACACACAAGATATTCTTTACGTTGATTGATAACTTCAATTTTGAAGGAGGTATGTTAAAAACAATTAAAAACAGTGTGCTTTAGACCACACGACTGAAGTAAAACTTCTTTCGCTAGATCTATATGTAATATGTATTTATATATGTTCCCCTCGCACGATCACACTTTTCGTAACGCTTTCGTCACTCATTTACCAGCTTACTCCCAAGTCAAGCGTGGTTAAAGAAGTTTTATTTAATAATATTTCAAGACAAATATGGAGTATTAACTGAATGTACTAGTCCAATTTTAAATGAAACCTATATTTTTTTGATTACTACGCGTATAATTATTTTATCAACATACTCCGTACTTTTCGGTTACTTTTCAGCAACTGATCACGGGCAGGCGAGATCTGAATAGTCCAAATTTAGTATTAAGAATGAGTATTATATGAGTATTTTATTATCTTTCAGACGGAAATCGCAATCAAAATACGACAGACGTTGAAGTGATATTGTTGGATGTCAATGATAACGCACCGCAGCTGCCAGCGCCTAATTTTATTTGGTCTATATCAGAAAACGAGACAGAGGTATTGAGAATCCTTTTTAGACCATCTGTATTTTAGTATGAATCGCTATATTATCGTATTTCTTTTTATTTTAGTCTATTTAATTATTAATTTTTTTTTATTTTTATTTTTTTTTATAGCTTTGTGGTAGTAAATCTATTTTTGTTTATATAATTTAATTTATATTAAGTAAACATAGATGTAATTATTCTTGTAAGTTAGCTATAAGTTTATTTTTTGTTTAATTATTATTATTTATTATTCTTTTTTTGTTATTTTAATATTTCCTTATTGTTTATATATTTTTTTTTACTCATGTTGTAGTGTACACCAAATAAAGTTTTACTATCTATCTATCTATATCTATATTGTTACAGGGTGTGAGATTAAAACCCGACATATTTGCCTTCGACCGAGACGAACCTAATACGGACAATTCCCGAGTAGGTTACGAAATAACCAACCTTACTCTCACGAACAGAGACATCACTCCACCAGATCTCTTTACCATCATCCACGTCTTTATATCTGGTAATAAATATAATGTTTCCGCTGAATTGGAAACAGCGAGAAATTTGAAAGGGTTTTGGGGAAATTATGATATAGGCATCCGAGTAAGTGACTACTAATATTAATAAATGATTCAAAATCCGTTTCTATGTAAAACATTTGATAATTATGCATCCAGGCCTACGATCACGGCGACCCTCGAATGGAATCCAGCGAAATTTACCAAATAACTATAACGCCATACAATTTCGAATCACCAAAGTTTGAATTTCCTTTAGACGCCACTACTCTAAGATTTTCAAAGGTAATTAACATGTTAAAATAAAATATTTGAAATTGATGATTAATCTTATTGTATGAAAAACAATTTTTGTGACAAAAAAATACAGTATGTTAACTAACAATTCAAGTTCCCATTAATCCGCAATAATGTAGCATCCATACATCCTAAAAAAAATATTACCAATCGAAAACAAAATGTTTTTTATTTTTTTTTATTTAAAAAAAATCATTAAAAATATTAAATTTACATGTAAAAGAAACATCCTGTACACGCATATTTGAAGAACGGCAACGTCGCAACTTACTTATAAAAGACGGGCCGCGTATGCGGCATTCGATTGATCTACGATTTTAAAGTGTCACCCGACCCCCGCCCCCGAACGTCCGCGAAATTTTATTTTTTAGTATTTACTATTTAGTAATCCCACGCCGCTGACCGGGATCGCACGTCTATTATTTCCGCATTACTACGTCTACGTATTTTCGTGTGAAAGATGCCGCGTTATCAGTTCAGTGCGCAGAGTATGTGAATATGGTGCTCATTTATGCTGAGTGTGACTATGATGGTGCACGTGCTCTGAGGATGTATGCTGAGAGGTACCCTAATGCACACCAACCGCGGAATTCTCGTGTAATTGTGAGTGCCCTGGTGCGTATGCGTAATAATGAGCCGGTAGTGCCGCGTCGTTCAGGTGGCCCGCGACCCGTGATTTCAGTGCGACAGGAAGAGAACGTGCTAAGGCATTTTGAGGAGGAGCCCGGTTCAAGCACCAGAAGAGCCGGCCGCCTGTTCAATATGAGTCACGTCGTAGTGTTTAAAATATTAAAGAAAAACAAGCAGCATCCGTACTCACTTCAAAAAGTGCACGAAAATAACCGTCGGCGATTGCAACAATGTGTAGACAGAGGAGGTCAGCATATCGAGCAGTTCAAAATCTAGGTAAGTTTTAACATTATTTAAATGTATCATAATACCTTAAACATTTCGAGAACATAAAAAAAAAATAACACTAAACGAGTGTGCCACAAAATTAATAAGTTCAGAACTCTTTCCTAAAACTGCTTAATACCTCCATGTGAACTGTAAATAAATTGTGTAATACCACCATGATCATTTAAATGCTAGCCTAAACTGTGGTTTAAATAAACTTTCATCCAACTTAATATGTAAAGCAAATTCATGTACCCAGCGAGTAGACCTTCTGTATTAACTAGTATTTGAGTCGTATAGAATCAAAGGCGGCAATCTGCACATTTTATCAAAATAAAGATTTTTATATGGACACACAGGAAATTTAAAATAACGTTACGTACTTAATTTACTTTATAACAAAAACGACTATCTCGGAGTGAAATCCCTTTTGAAAATCAGGTTTAGCATCAAATTCGGCAATCTTCAACAGCATAAGAATCAAACCCGGCATTCTAACTCATTCCACCAATCACAAGCGTCCGTGAGGTCACGTGATCTAATGACGTCTGTATGAAGTTTCTAACGAATTTGTGTCCGTGTTTTTATTGAATTATTTTATTTATTGTGATTACTGTTATAAAATAAATGTATAAATTGAATCATGGATGTACATTCTAAGCCTGTAAATTTCTTCAATTTGTTATTTTTATAGTACACAATGAGAGTTTAATATTAAGCGCATCAATACTTACATCACTTAAAATAAAGTTACGTAATATCATTTTTGAAACGGACGACACAAACCGAAAATTTTCAATTCTCTGATTTCAGTCTAAGTGTAGATTGCCGCCTTTGATCCTATACGACTCATTTGTTTATTTTGTAACAACGAGCGGGCGGCGACATGACGGCGATGTGTCGGCAGAACTCAAAGGCGCTGCCGCCCCACCGCCCCGCGTTCATTACTCGGCCGTTGCGTGCAAATTCTGTCTAATTCTCTGTATTATTATTGTAATGTTATTGAAACGTGGCTTAGATATGATAGTTGAATTTGTTTTTTTTTTATTTACTGTTTGCGAATAGGTACCTCAGTGACACGTTCCTTAGTCAGCAATACATTTGAGACGGGTTAAGTGTTATTTCTAAAACTAAACATACATTTAAAATGTTTATTTTTACTGTTAACAATCCGACTACGTGTCTTTATAATTCAATATGCCGCCACTACAAAAGGCGCCGCTCGGCATCGTGCGTATTGCGACGTTGCCACTTTCGGCAATGCTACTACGCTAGATACATACGTTCTATTCCGCGCCACATACATATAGGAGGTTTCGAAATTATTGTGAATAAATTATTATTTTTTTATTTAGATTATTTTGTGCTTATTTTTCTATGCTGATATATTAATTTTAATCTATTAGTGATATATATTAACGTGTTCAAGGGAACGCCATTTGCTGTATTACATACTGTATATACACATACGTAACTTTACTTGAGAGGTAAAGTGAGAATGCGTGTTTTTGTAAAACCTTCTACCAGCTTTATAGGAGTTATAAAAATATGATTGCATTACCAGGAACGTGCGCTAGTGAATAGTGTTTTAGTATTGGCTACTGGAGAGCTACTGGAACGAATCAGTGCCTCTGATTCTGATGGACTACAGGCTGGCGAAGTCACCTTCGAAGTGGTGGGAGATGGTCTGTATAAACTCATTAACTTATTTCCTTTGTTTCTTGCCTTTATGAGGTCATGATATGTGCTAATGTTACTGCATAAATAAGCAAAAAAACAAGATAGACTTTGTAAATACTGTTACTTGTATTGAAATCTATGATGATTTCAATTCAAAAAAATAGCCGTCTTAAAAATTAAAAAACCTCTGTTGGTATTGAAATAATCTAAAATAAATCGAACAAATATATTAACAATTGAAATAGATTTTATGGAATTTCTCCAACATATAATATATTTGTATCCATTTTTCTCAATCGGTGTCTTCTTGACAAAAATACACTATTACTATATATTTGTTCTAAATAAGTAATAACATTAGATTAAAAAAAATACTTTTATCATATTTATAAACTAAGAATGAAGAGAATTTTCAATAAGTATTTAATTTGATTCACAGAGCTAGCGAGCCAGTACTTCCAGATATTAAACAACGGTGATAATATGGGAACTCTTTTATTGAAGCAAGCGCTACCAATAGACCAACAGATTATACAATTTGAGGTATGTTTTATATATTTTAAGGCTTTACAAGGGACAAACGATCGCTTGACCACTGTAGCTATAATTAATGAAATACTGGCCTTATTGTTATATGTAGAATATTTATGACGTTCTGCATCTAAATACAATATTTATAATATTACAATTGTTATTCTCTCAGTATAAAAAATTATATATCATGTTACTATATGGGCTAAGATGCTAGTTTTTTAATTATTGTATGTACATAATTTGATTAAAATATACGATACAAAAAGCCATCGAAATTCAAACTTAGCTGATAATCCATGTAGGGGTTCAAAGATATTGTTTTACCTATTTGATTTCTTAAAGCTATTTCAATATGTAAAATTACACTGTCCGTGAAATATTTATACATATGTATGTATATATATTTATAATAAAACTATAGTTTTCCATGCAAGTCCTATTTTCGTCAGATCTAAATAATTATAAATATTTAGATCGTCAACAACAACTACTATACACGACATTTCTTCTTAAATTTTCCTTGTACCTTACCCCATATCAGATATATTATTAAACTAGCATTTTTTGTTCATATTTACAGCTTAAATTGAGAGCTACAGACGGAGGATTGGATCCGGGACCACTCTCAAGCGAGGTAACCATCCAAGCGGTTTTCGTGCCAACTCAGGGAGAACCAATATTTCCATCAGCCACAGCCAGCGTCGCTTTTGTTGGTCAGTTATTATGAACCCATGTCCATATATTAATTATATAATATTCATAGAATTAAATATGTTTATTTGTAACTTCAGAGAGGGAAGTCGGGCTGACAGAAAGACAACAATTACCACTGGCCGAGGATCCGAAGAACCACCTATGTGATAAAGACTGCAGGGATATTTACTATGCTATCATCAGTAAGTGTTTTGCTATGAAATAAATTTTTGATGTAAATGTCAAAAACATGATTATAAGTTAAGTATATACAAACATATATATTATATACTAGATTTCCGCCCGCAGCTACGCCCGCGTATAGTTCGGTTATATCGCGTTTCCAATAGAACCTTTAAAAAGTCTGGGCTAAAAACTACCCTATGTTCTTTCTCAAGGTCAACTCTATGTCTGAACCAAATTTCATTAAAATCAATTCAGTGGTTTAGGCGTGAAAGCGTAACAGACAGACAGACGGACAGAGCTAGTTTCACATTTATAATATTAGTAGGGATAAATATTAAACGAATAATTAGATGAAGTGTCAATCAATATGGATGATACAGAAAAAATAAACAAGATTCCTATAGAAAATTTCCTTAGAAAATATTCATTGAAATTCTTCCCCAGGTGGTAACAGCGATGGTTTCTTCGCCCTGGATCCCGTAACTAATGTGCTGACTCTGAACAAACCCCTCAATCGTTCGGAGAGCGAATCACATGTATTGCGAGTGGCCACCAGCAACGAAAGAAATATATCACCATCACTGGCTACATCCGTGATTATTGTGACAGTTAATGTACGATCATTTATTTAATTAGATCTAAGACTACTAAGTATTCATTTAGATGAAACTAATATTTTCGATTACTATATTTTATTGTGTTTATAAAACTACATACTCCCGACCTTTTGAATAAGGAACCGTGATGCCGGTAAACGAAACGTCAGGAGTATGTAACTTTTTTTAACCATTTTAAAATACTCTTAGTAATCAGAAAATATTGCTGTCATTTAAATCATTTACTTTTTCTAAATTCTTGATTGTTTACTGCTTTTACTAATTGGGTTGAAATCAAAAACGTTTACAATTTTATTTACTCTTTTACATTACACTCTCCATTGTTTCAGGTTCGCGAAGCAAACCCTCGTCCTTACTTCGTAAGATCACTGTACACTGCTGGGATATCTACACAGGATTCTGTTAATAAAGAACTTTTCACTGTATCGGTAAGGATCTGAACGTTTCTTGATAATCACTAATTAAAATATATATACACACTAGAAGACCCGGCGAACTTCGTATCGCCCTATAATCAAGAAATATCTGTTACGTTTTTTTATTTATATTTTTGGAGTTTACCTATTAAAGCCATAAATCTCCGAGTTTTGAAGTGCGACATAATGATTGACATATTAGTTAGTTGTCAAATCTAATGTAAAAAAAACGTTTGTATCAACAACTACTAATAAATTAAAAATTAATTAAAAAACATTGTCCAGCTGACAAAATTGTGAATCTAAACCATTCCCAGATCCTCTTGAACACACACAAAAAATTTCATCAAAATTGGTCCAGCCGATTGAGAGAAATTCAGTGACATACACACTCACAGAAGAATTATATATATAAAGATATGCATGTTACTATAAAATATTTTCTAACAGGCGACGCATTCAGAAGGAGCTCAACTCACATACACAATAGATTTTTCCTCCATGCAAGTCGATCCAAGTCTCAATAATGTAAGGGACAACGCTTTCAACCTGAACCCAACCACTGGGTTAATGACCCTCAACATACAACCGACGGCCAGCATGCAGGGAATGTTTGAATTCAACGTACTAGCGACTGATCCACGTAAATATTATGCATATTTTTGATCTGTTCACTAATAATATGAATTTTTTGATTAAAACCTCTTTGGTTGTATAGAGGAAGCGTTCGACACATCGGCTGTAAAGATCTATGTTGTGTCATCACGGAACAGAGTCTCATTTTTATTCCTCAACCCGCTTCAACAGATCGAGCAAATGACAGACTTTGTAAGTAAACTACAACTATATTTTAATAAACAGATATCTAGAGAAGATATAATGTAAAATACTCGTGGATTTAAATTTCATATTTTGTTCAAGTTGTAAGGAAATTCCAAACTTTTCAATCCAAATTCCAAACAATTCATCCCGTCATTTTTATATTTATCAACATATGTATGACTAACATAATCTGCCGTCCAAATAAATATATAACTTTCATATTCATTTACAATAACATTGATGAATATTTAGTTCTCTATTTGACGTACTGAATATTTTTCTTGTATCCAGATAGCGTCAACCTTCACTTCTGGTTTTAATATGACATGCAATATCGACCAAGTGTTGCCGGCGACTGATGAAGCAGGATCTACAAGGAACAACGTCACTGAAGTACGCGCACACTTCATAAAAGATGACGTACCCGCTGAAGCTAGCGTCATTGAAGCGTAAGTATAAGGATTTCACTGAGACGAAACCTCTTAGCATTCAATGTATTCACCGTGCGTGTGTCAGGTCCACCGTTGTAGAGAGGAGCTTCAACAGTGACTGGGACTTGTGAACCAGGTGTAGGTTTAAGAGGACTCTGTCTAACGCGTTAAACGCTCACCTCCACTGTCTGGGCTCCTCTCCCTGACTATGTAAATTAACCAACTATTTAGAGAGTAACTAAAATTTATATCAAGGACGTTTTATTTTCTATGTAGAACTAACACGTAACATATTAAATACATACTTAAAAGCAGTGGCGGCTGTACCTTAAGTGCACTCGTGCGCTGAACCACCAATTCAAAAGATTTAAAAATTACAAAATATTACTTCATCTTTATTTTTAAATTAACATTTTAATATTTATTTTTTAAACATACAAAAACGTATAAACAATTAAATTTCCTAATTATGGTCAAAAAGTTTGAGCGCTTTACTAAACTCATATCGTGCGCTTCGGTGAGTGCACGAGGACTGCTAATACATCTTGTATGAGATACGCATTAATACGCCTGACGCGTGAAACAAAAGATAGTTCATAGAAATGTACCGAGTAATGAGTCGGTTCTCGAGCGACCGAAGATTACCGAGAGCGCCCGATGTATGACGAATTGAGCCGTTTTTGACATTTCGTTATGTTTTGTTGCATTTTCAAATTTTAATATTTTAGTAAAGTGCACAACCAGTTCTATTACCCACCAGCCGCCACTGCTTAAAAGTAACGGCGTTTATCTCCAGAACAGTAGTCTTCTTCTGACAGATTTTCAATTTATAATCACAAACTAAATGTTATGTTTTTAATTTGAAGTCAGAAACACGACGACAATTGATATAAATAATATAGAAGGTATAAATCGCTTACGATAAAAATTTATCGTAGTGTCCTTCACAATTCAAAATAACATCAGTTTTTTGTGTTCTATCTTACTCTTGATAATCGTAATTTTGAATGACATATTTTATACATAATAATAATCCTATTAATTATTCAGTGGTGGCCTAGAGATTAAAAAGGCCCGCCTCTCAAGCACGAGGGCGCGGGTTCGATCCTGGCCCGGGCAAGTACCAATGTGATTTTTCCGAGTCAAATGTACTTTCTAAGAGTATTTAGACATCATTGATTAATGCTGATTCCCAAAAGAGGGTTGATGTCAGGCAGGCGGCTGGTTGTAAAAACAAATAGCCAAAACTATTCAGAACATGTAAGGCAGACCCTGGTTATAGCTGGGAAATTGCCAGGTAGAAAAAGAATAATCCTATTAATTCCAGTCTCCGCGGTGACATCTCTCGTCTGCGTTTGATCCAAGGAACACTGATCTCCAAAGAGCTGGTTCTCCAAGACCTGGTAACAGACATCAGCCCCTCGGAGCTGGCGGACGGCCGAGCTCTGCTCTACACCTTAGCAGCTGTGGCTGGTGTGATGACGATTCTATTACTGGTCACTACTGTAGTCTACTTCTGGAGAACTAGAGTGTATGTATAATAATAATGACCTAGAAGTTTATTATACACATATATATATGTATACTAGCTTTTGTCCGCGTGGAATAATTCCTTTAGGCAGAGTTTTAGGTTTTTAACTTTGTTATCGGCTTTTTCATAGTCTATCGATTGCATGACTGTTTAAACAAATATTTCATAAATCATTTTGTCTTACTTATATAGTCTTATATAGTCTTTTAGCTGTGTGCAATGTCCCTTAGTGAACTCCACTAAAACACTGCAACCATTTTAATGTGCTACTAATAGCAAAAGTTTATTTTCCTTTCTTTCTCTTAATTTTCAGTCTCAACCGTCGCCTACAAGCGCTATCAATGACCAAGTACGGTTCCCAGGATTCTGGGCTGAACCGTTTGGGTCTAGCAGCACCGGGAACTAATAAACACGCGATAGAAGGATCCAACCCGATATGGAATGAAACTATTAAGGCACCAGACTTTGATGCCATCAGGTAACATATACATCAACTAAATAATATTAATATTTTAAAATCAGTGGTGGCCTACTGGTTAAAAGGCCCAACTCTCATGCACGAGGGCGCGGATTCGATCCTGGCCCTGGCAAGTACCAATGTAATTTTTCCGAATCATATGTACTTTCTAAGAGTATTTAGACATCACTGATTAATGCATTCCCAAAAAGAGGGTTGATGTCAGGTAGGCCGGTCGTAAAAACAATTAGCCAAAACTACTCAAAACTTGTAAAGCTGGGAAATTGCCAGGTAGAAGAAGAAATAATATTAATATTTTTGAGTCTACTATCGAATTTTGTTATTAGTTTTAACGACATATTCCCGTTTCAGTTACTTTGCAGCAACCGTGATCAGGGGTCCTCTGTTTTAGATCTCATTATCTTGGTCATATATTTTATGAATAGTTTCAAGTGAAACAGTTAAACAAAAACATCCTGTTACTAACCTAACTTAAAGGCTGACCTTTGCATCTTTAAATTCATAAATAATAACGGCATCATTCTCTATTGTTGTTTTAATTCAAAATAAGTTTCTTTATCATCTTTTAGTGAGACGTCAGATGATTCTGATCTCATTGGTATCGAAAATCTGGAGCAGTTCCAAGATGATTACTTCCCTCCGGTTGGGTCGGACTTGGTGGAGGGAGTTACAAACACAGTAAGTCGTTTATATGTATATCATTCAAAATCAATATCATTTTTAATATCTTAATTCTAATTCTTTTTTGGACTTTTAAAATAAATAACGTTTTCTTCAGTTATTTTTGTGTACTGTTTGAAAACGAACTACATTTTGATCTGTCAATCAGTGAATTCCGACTTGCGTGAAGCACATGACCGTTTAATCAGATTTATGTATATAATATTTGAAACACTTGATTATATTCGACTTTTCTAATAAATTACAAATATAATACCTTAAAATGAATAGAAGAACAATCTTTTTTGAACATAGTTTTCTTCACAATAGCCTCGAAATTAGTTTGTGTAAAACAGAATATACAAACCTATATAGAATTAAATAGTCCCTATAAATGTCACTGTCTTAAAACCCATGTGACCTTTTTATTATATTTTTGTTTTTTTCCAGCAGCCAGTGTCGACGCATCTTAATAACTTTGGTTTCAACCCTACCCCTTTCAGCGCAGAATTCGCTAACAAGCCGCGACAATATAAGATTTAATATAAATACTATTTATTATTGTATTATAGTGTAAATATTTATTATACTACGGTATTCATGATATTAAATAAATATATTTAGCCATTTACAATTTTGTTTTTAATCATTTTATCATTAGTTACGCTGAGCTAATGCTAACTTATCGCATTTCCTTTAAACGCATTGAAATTGATCAAAGTATTTTGATAACACATTGAAGTGAGAGAGAGAAGGTTAAAAATCATGTAACCTTCGTGGAGGTCCACCAGTCGATGGCAGAATAAGTTAAGTACATTAAAATGTAATTAGCATTTGGGAGAAGACTACTAAAATTTACGTTATATTATATATAGTAGTAATACGATCCCATATCTTGTTAACACGCTTTTTTTTCAACAAGTTTTAATAAAACTTTTCTGACAAACAATATTTGTCAGTGCGCGTCTTTGAACAGATGAAAGTCATACGAGTATATACATACAACGCACAACCAAATGAGGCAACTTATCTTAAGGTTTTATTCTATTCTTATTGCCACATACAATGGTATTGGATATTCGTACATAAAATGTCATTAATTTAGGAAAATATAACATTATTTATCTGAAAAGTTCGTATCCCTCCAAGTATTAAACTACCTCCTATATCTATTCTTTCTATTATTGTTCTTCGGAGTTATCGAATTCATTTAAATGGTCGAATTGCTGCTAATTGTAAACCAATAAATAAGCATCTCAGATTATATTAATAAAAAAATATTTTCGCCTTAAAGATCTTGTAAAACAACAGAAGTAATCATTGAAATAATATAGAGATTTTATTCAGAAGAAACCTTCCTCAATGTTTTTCAACTTTAAACAATTGAATCAATACCGTAGCTATATATGTCAATTAGACGTATTATGAACGTTAAATATTCCTGTTGACTGTTCTAAATCTATTCTTATTTGAGTTATTGTCGTTTCTGTATAGATATCTTTAATCCTGTTACAAATACAAGATTTTCTTGATGACTATGATGTCACTCTCTAATCACAAATGTTCGTTGGGTCTTGGTAAGTATATGTACTATTGAAAAATATTTATATATTTACACGACGTACTATTCCCACCACGAGTTCGCATCGTCAAACATATACAGTTCCCAATATTTCTTTAATCATCGTGCTAAAATAATATTATACATACAAATAAAAGTATGCATATAAATTAACAACTGCAGGTACTTTTAGAACAAGTTTAGTTTTTCACACTACATACAAATCCTTTTCTGTTTTTCATTCAATAACTTCAATACTATAATGTAAGAAAATATATGAATGAAAACTATTAACGCTCTGAATGTAGTGTGACAATTAATCTTAGGGTAATTGTATTGGATGCTCTATGAGTTTAGCATGCATGCATAGTCTGATATGAACACTTAAAGAGAGTAAGGACGGTTACGTACAAATAAATATTATTTATATATAAATGAAACTAACATTGTCTGATAGACACTCACATCTCGTCTGTCCGTGATCACGGTTGCTGTAAAGTAACCTAAACGTCGGGATTATGTAGTTTAGAGTCAAAAATAAAAACGCGTAGTGAATCCGAAAATATTAGTTTCATTTAAATGAGTACTCGCGAAAATCTTGGATCTCATTATTATTTTTATATTTTTTTACAGCAACTCAAGTGGAAATCCTTGCAAGCGTTCATAGCAAAAAATCCCTTATTTCACATATCAATAAAATCTATTATCCAAGACGATAAATCAAATTATAAATCCGTTTGTGATCTCAGATTCGAGCAGCTTCCTACCAAAGAAAGGTGCCTTATGGTCGAGGTTGAAGCGTTTCATGAAAAAACTCTCCCTAGTATCATTCGACCACCCCGACACCTTCGAACACTTCCGAAGCTACTCCACTGTGGTGGCTGAACAACAACGCCAGATCCTGGAAGGCGGGAATTATATTATACATCCATTTAGCCAAATTAGGTTAACATTTTTTGGAAGTTAATTCCATACACGTGCCTATGAAGCACTTTGTTCAAGCTCTAAAAAGTCTAAAACCAGGATGTGGTATTTGTTCATGCCTGTCTCTTCTACTTAGTCTTAATTATCGTAAATACTTATCTAGAAACTTTGACGTTACAAATATAATTAATTTGTAGACAGTCCGAGTGTAATGAGGCATCATAAATGACCTTATACCGATTATTTTATTTCATTTTATGATAGTGCCTTTATCTACCAACTCTTTTTCAGTTTATTTTGGAACAGTACAATAGCAATAGTGGATATATTGCACATGATTATATCAACCTTTCGTCTGTGTTATATCCTGGAGCCCCCCCAGCCAGCATTGCATTGGCTCGACGAGTTTCTTCTTGTACTCCACGGCATTTGCTTCTTTGATATCTTCATGAAGTTCAACATTGGTTTTAAAGAAGAATATTTTGCTAACGTCGTGTTTGACAGACGAAGGATTGCTGCGTAAGCTAATAAAATATATATTAAGATTTTGTCAAATATTTAATCTAATCGAAAATTGTTGTAGAAACTAATTTATATTTGAATTTTCCGCTAGAAGTTGATTATAGCAGATAATGCTAAAATTAATGAAAATGGTCGACACTGTTATCTTAAATTTCTTTCGTTCATTCATTTAAATTTAATTTTAATTAAATTAATTAATATTTTTCGGATTGGTTTAGACCTACTAGACATTCACATCTCGTCTGCCCGTGATCACGGTTCCTGAAAAGTAACCCAAAAGTCGGGTTTAGTTTTTATAATAATAAAATACGCATAGTGTAATCCGAAAAATAATAGTTTCATTAAATGAATACCGCGAAAGTCTTAGATCTCACTATAAATTTCCGATATTGTAATCGAATTCAATATTTCTGTTTTTTTTGTTATGATGAACTTTGATAATTTTATTTTAGCCAATATCTCGGTCGTTGGTTCTTGATGGACCTCATATCGTGTCTTCCGATCGCGTACGTCATGCTTTACCTCAAATTTGATAAGAGTCGATATGTACTATTCGCTCACCTAATAGCCATCTTGAGAGCAACAAGACTTCGGAAAGCTTTAAATGACATCGTGACTCTGACAAAAGTAAGATCTTTTTTCACTGAAATATCGCTTTTATTCGATTTCCAACATATTAGAACGAAAAATTTATTGTAAATTACCATTAAATACTAGAATTGAATAATGACCTACAAAAAAAAATTTTTGTCATACAAAATTACGTTAGGTATACTAAACAAAGTTTAATGCAAATAATGTCGAATATGCTTCGTTCTTAAACGCTATCCGTCATAGAATTATTATTATTATTATTAACTTGTTATTTTGCTTTAGGTTTTATCCGAATACTACATAATGCGCCACACAGTTCATCACTTTCTGTTGTTCCTTGTGACAATGCATTGGTCATGTTGTGTTGTCTACAGCGCGCCCATCTTTGCATATTATTGTAAGTATGTAGTATCCACTTAGTTCTTCAATTATTAAATAAAAGAATAAAAATAAAATCCTTCGATAATTCTAAACTACTACAAGTATCAAGCTGAACAGTAAATAATTAGATTAATGACTAATTTTATATTTTTCAGGGAAGGGTCAAATGGCTAGAGGTTACAACGCCTTTTTTTTAAACTCCACGGACGGTGATTTAGCTAAATTACCTGAATCGTACAGATATCACAAGGCTCTGTTTCTTAGTCTGTCTTCATTTTTTGGTAAGTAGTTCAGTGTCACGTATATACCTAATAGAAAGTTTATATGATAAAGTATTCACAAAGCTGGGCCCTTACCAAAATTTGAATACTCAAACGAAACAAAAACAGCTTCCACATTTCCATTAAGAAATATTTCCATATTATATCTGTTGCATTAACGTAAGTAGGTATAAAAAACTTTAAAATCTTTGTGCTAAGTTTGATAATGAAAACTTGTAAAAAGAATTCTGTAAATTGTCTTATAAATTTAGAATTTGATTCAGAACGATACTAAAGATTATGGTTTTGTGAAGTTTTCAAAGAAAAAAGGATTTACGAAACCTTTAGCTTGACTTAAGTACACCACAAATACAGACTGCTAAAACGTTATTCATTCTTTTTATAACTCCCGGTTCCTGAACTTACACTATGATTCTACACGGATTTTTTTATAACAAATAGGAACATAATTACTTAATAAATAAAGCATTTCTTATTCTAAAAATATTTATCCATTTTGATAAGTACTTTACATTGAAAATTCTTCAAAATTCTAAGGCTTTACAGTGTAATATAGTCTTATTATAATACAAATAAATAGTTTACGAACTTTAATGTCTCAATTAGCCATATATATACATATATAAGTGTTTAAGAGGTATATAATATTCTTATTTTCTAGGTACAAGTATGTCCATGTACAAGTTTTACAACCCAGACGAGTATATAGTGCATTCCTTCATAACACTGTACGCCGCCATGTTCATGATCTATTCCACAGGTAACATAAAAATATATTTACATTTTTGTGTTTAAATTTATGATTTTTTTAATCTATGCCAACTTAAAAAATATTTGAAAAAAACAATATTTTATAAGTTTTGCCTTTGAAAGTAATATTCTAGTTATTTATCATTATTATATTTTAAAAATAGGTTTTTGTATTAGTCAGTTACTTTTTAGTAAAATAGAACCTCTTTATTACAGTTCTCATTTTAAACATTTACATAACGGCGTACAACTCCAAAGTACGTTATTACGGATTGATAAATCAGGTTGAGGTAAAAATGTACAAAGTTTTTTAACAAAAAAATATTAAAATAAAATTATAATATCGTAAGAATTACGATACTACGTCACCGTATTGATACTTATGGTACTATATATCCCCTTACGGTTTCTAAAAAACTAGCTTTATAATGATAGTAGTAATGTACCTACATTGCAGTAGTTACAGCCATACAGTAGGAATGCTCATAAACATCGTCCAACAGTTATATCTATACCAAAATTCCGTATATATATCTTACAACGTTTCAGACATTCTTACATAATAGACTGACAAAACCTATTTATATTATTTTTTGGAAATAAATAATCATCTGCATTGTATAAACTCTATCAATAAATATATTTTAGTAATTTTGCTTTGGAAATAAATAATCATCTGCATTGTATAAAATCTATCAATAAATATATTTTAATCATTCAATTCTCAACAGGCCTACATGCGACACAAACAATTCCCGAAGCCCTTAAAGAAACGCGTGCGTATATTCTTCTCTCATAAATTTTCAGAACACTACTACAAGGAAGATAATGTGTTCGAGAGTTTATCAGGTTATTATTATCTTTACATACATGTAAAACCCTATTAAGACAATATTCTTAAGCTATTGACATGTTAAAGTGGCCTTTTTTCTTAAAACAAATGCTTATAAAACAATCGTCACCACGTATTGTATAAACTAGATTACTCATTCATTCATTCACTAATTCATTCATTCACTCACTCATTCATTCATTCATTCACTAATTCATTCATTCACTCACTCATTCATTCATTCATTCATTTACTCACTCATTCATTCATTAATTTCTTTGGGTAATCCATCAATACTTATAATAATGATGTTATAAAATATAACTAAATAAAACTGAGACCAATATAATTTATCTAAAAAATCATCAGATCAACTTCGCTACGAAGTAATACTACACACGTATCACAAATTCGTGAAAAAGGTGAAGCTTCTTGACGGTATGCCGGCCGAGGTGATTGGAATATTACTGAGCCACCTCAAACCTGAGGTGTATCTGGCTAACGATCTGGTTGTTCGAGCTGGCGACTTTGGTGACTGTTTATACTTTATTGGTTATGGCACAGTCGCTGTCTACTCTTTGAAAGGCGCTGAGGTTAATATATATTTTATTTTTAACTCAGTCATGTAGAAATCATAAAAATAAGTGGTCCAAATATCAATAATTGCATGATCATTACAAGATATACATAATATCTTCTTCTACCTGGCAATTTCCTAGATTTAGCCAGGCCAGGTATTGTGAATAGTTTTAGCTAATTGTTTTTTACGACCGACCGCCTCCACACATCAACCCTCTTTGGGAATGCATTAATCACGCATGTGTACTATGCATTAAATTATTTGCATTCTTAACTCATGTACAGTCCATTAGACTTAAGCTGAGCTTTGCATTTGTGTGAGTGAAAGTAAAAATAGAGTTAGACAAAAAACTTTTGGAATTAAATATGATTATATTTTAAATATATACATAACATAAGTGCCAGAGCTATTCTAAATTAAAAATAAAATAATCAAAACTTGTAAAAGGCCAAATGGAAATTATGAAAAAAAATATTAAGTAATAATTTTTTTAAAAAAAACAATACAAATTTTTCTTCACTTGACATTGCGTTTTCAACAATTGACGCTGCTACCATTACAAAGGGTGAAGTGTGGAAGGTGCGGGTCGGAGTAAAAGCAGAATAAACCGGTTCAAAACTAGAAAAGAACCTGGCATTCAAAAATTTGACATCACACCTACACTATCCGTGTACACTCACACAAATGCAAAGCTCAGCTTAAATCAAACGCACTATACACGGCTTTAGTTCTTCCGTTCTTAACCAGATATGTCACATGGAAGACGGTGATCACTTCGGTGGAGTGGCTCTCCTCATGAAAGACAATAAACGTATTGTCACTGTCGTCGCCATAGAGATATCACAGTTATATCGACTGGACGCTGCACATTTTCAGTAATAATCTTCTTCTTCTATATATATAAAAATGGATTGCTGTTCCTTAGTCTCGCTAAAACTCGAGAACGGCTGAACCGATTTGGCTAATTTTAGTCTTGAAATACTCCTGGAAGTCCAGGGAAGGTTTAAAAGGTGAGAAAAATTGGAATGATTGCCGAAAAAAACCTAAAAACAGCCCTTCTCTATTTCCCATACAAACGATTTTTTGACATTAGACTTGACAACTAACTAATATGTCAATCATTCTGTTCGATTGAAACAGTAGAAATTTAATAAATACCAATACCGGGTTATTGAAGACGGAATAGAGTTCGCCCGGTCAGCTATACCTATATTACTAATGACGAAATTAACGCGGACGAAGTCGCGGGCAAAAACTAGTAATATTATAAAGTATTTGTTCTAGCCATGTCATAGATAGATAACTTATACAAAACGATGGATTTTTATTCTTAAGTCTTGAATAATAAAAGGTACGTGAGTCCAAACCTTAAGATGACCATATTCGACCCAGGTACTTTATATATAAAAGAAAGTTGTGTTAGTTATACTATTTATAACTCAAGAACGGCTGTAGGTATATGATTGTAAATTGGTGGGAGACAGCTTAGAACCACGAGACGGATGTAGGATATTTAATTTTGTTCGATCGAAAAAGAAAATAAATAGTTAATTAATTTCAAATATCTGGTTATTTATGGCCTCTACGGCGGAATAGACTTCGCACGGTCAGTTATTCCTTATTCCAAAATTAACGCGATAACATAGGTACTAATGAACTATACATTTTGTTATAATCTGCAGTAAATATTTAATGTCAAATCCCACTCTGCGGGACCGTATGGAGGCGTGGACGGCTCAACAGATGCACGAGACTGTTCTACTAGACGAAGCGTTCCGTAAGCAACAGAAAAGAAAACAGGAACAACTGTCTTTCGGACTTCAGTCTCTCTCGGAAATATCGAAGGAGAGTAATGAGATCTAAGATTTTCGAGAAGTCTTATTCATTTAAATGAAACTAATATTTTTCAGATGTACACTATGCTCGATTTTATTTTTGATAGAAAACTGCATACATCTCGTCTGCCCGTGATCACGGTTGCTGTAAAGAAGCCGAAACATCGGGAATATGTAGTTTTTTTTATCAAAAACAAAATCGCGTAGTACATCCAAATAATATTAGTTCCATTTAATCGAAGGACAGTCTCTGAGGCAGTTAAAAATATATTTAGTGTCAATAAATGTTCTTTTAATTAGGTGAAAGTTGAGGTAATTAAGTTTATATTAAATTTAAGAGAAGATTGTGAATTTTTTCAACAATGTCACAGTATAAAAGGAACACTGATGGCATCATGTCGATTGCTCTATCTCTGTTCTTTTTCTGTAGTCGCAATAAATATTTACTTTAAAATGCTTATTATTCATATTCCATTGTTATGAATAATTAACTCGATATTAGTTAATAAAAAAATATAATACTAAGTTTTTTTCTGCGACTTTGTCCCCGCGGACGTCGCGATTAGGCTGAAGCCCGAGAGCCTGAGATAAACATACCTATTTAAATTTTAATGTGTGGTTGATATGACGTTAGTCAATGACAGCGACTTCTATAGTCTGTCACGTAACTTCACGCATAATACAATTGTTATGACTTGGTACCTACATTTTATTTTTCCAACAATAATAAATATTACATACCTAAATCGCTATAAAAAATGTTATGAAAACTAGGGCCATATATCCTAATGCCCTAAATAGAGACTTGGACTTCATTTAATCGGTGGATTGTTACAAGTGGCGCCATCTGTGCCGTGGCAATTATAATTCAATCCTTTGAATTGTAAGTCTGATTATAATAAATTATAATACTGAACCATTGTAATTTTGTATGCAACATTTAAGTATCAACCTGTATTTGAAAACTATAAATACTGACTTCAGCCATTTTGTAAGACATTACAGGAAGTAAACAAACATTAAAAAACAAATCTCAACCTGTATCTTGAAAAGCCTTATTGTTTATCAGACTCTTCATTGCTTTTCCCTGCAGATGTTTTTGCTAATAATTTAGGATCACTCTCTTTAATATTCATCCCTCTCGAGCACTTCATTACATAGTTATAAAAAACCTTTCAATTGATAAATGCTAACTCTATACTTTTATATGTTCTTGATCTCTCAATTATTAATAAATGAGTAGTATTCACTCATTCACAATATTAATATTTAAATGAGACCCTCCAAATTATTTTAAGGTAATTAATAATTTGATATTACTGATTACAACATAAATCTTTATCAGATTAACTGCATAGAAACATTTTGTTATTCTCACATTCGTTTTTTACCTTGAGTTTTAACATAGATTTTTCAAAACGTTTTTGGATTGAATTGTTAGTATTGAAAACCAGATGGTAAATAAACATGATACAATTTGAAATTTAAATTTATTATATCTTATAATATACAAGTTTCATTAATAAGGAATGATATACTAGGTCTTATTATCTATTACACGTAAATGCCCACCCACAGCAGGAGAAACAATATTCCAAAACCAGAGAACAGAGCGGCTACAAGAGCTAATAATAGTTCTTTAAAGAGATGCCTGGATACTTTCGTACTTGTGACTTCGTATACAAAGAACCAGGCAGTAAAGAATATGCCTATGCCCAGCAGAAGCATTGTAAGATGTGGAAATACCGCTGGATTGATAGGCGAGGCATAACGCACCATGGATTCAATTTCCAACTGGAAACAAAAAAAAACTTATTACAACTCGATTAATATATGAAAAGAGAACAAACAAGTAAAACTTACACTCATTTTGTATTATAATTTAATATTTTTCTTTTATTCAGATTAGCTTACACCGGCCAATAACCAAGCAAAACGTTGACCGAAAACGTCACAACTCACAATTGAAATGTCAAATGCTTTACGTCGCAGATAAACAAAAATGTACTCTAAAAAGAAAAAATTCAAAAATTTATAACTATTAAATCTCGGTTAGGTAATGAAAAATATATTTTTTACTCATGATTATAATAAATTATTTCATGATCACAAAATTATAATTATAGTTTTAGCCTCTGAATGTCTTCTGTCACTTAAATGTCATTCCTGAACAAATATTAATATTTACAGCAGGGGCCAGCTAAGCGATGATTAAAAATAAATGTTTTTTCTAAATAAAAGTAACATTTTCTATAATCTCAACATTGATTTAAAGTAACTTATACGCTAAATGCTAAACGATGAATATAAACATGACAGCAGGCGAAAATGGGTCAGGAAAAGTAAATTCATCAATATCACAACTAAAGGAAAAAGTGATGTCTTACGAAGAGAAATCCGTCGGATCGACACCTTTTTTTAAATGTGAAGCCTGTCCCTACATGGCTCTTGCAGAGGATGATATTAAATTTCATTTATTCACTGCCCATCCTGATTTAGCAAAAAAAAATGGTCTAGCAGACAACATACAGATTACATGTCCGGGTTGCACGAGTGTATTCGAAGCGGAAGAAACCCTCAGAACCCACCTTCGCAACCATCATAAAATGGGTATCAAGGATGTTAAAAAAATGGTCAAAAGTTTGGTTCAAATTGCTCTCAAGAATGCCAAACTCAAAAAAGAAGTAGTTTCAAATAACCCACCAATACAATTACAGTCCAGCATATCTGAAATGAAAATACCTCAAGTCATAGAAATTATACCCGACAGAGTAAATGTTAATAATGACCAACTTCCAAAGGGTGTTTCATTTATATCTGTGGAAGAATTAAACAAGATGAGTACCCCGAACTTCGAAAAAGTTGACCCCAAAGAGGTCATCCAAGAAGCCAGCATCAATATTGTGTACACAAACGATGTATCTACCCAATATGTTAATGTTTCAAATCACGGAGTATCGAGTTCCACTTGTAATTTAATTCCAGTAACAAGTGTGACACCAGACTTAATATCTTCGGTACAGCCTCGTATACCCGTCACCGATATAAACCAATCTCCACACAAAGAAGCCGACTCAAATATATCGTCAACTATAACAGAAAGTACTAGAAAAACAACATACACAAACCCAGAGGAAAAAGGCACTTTGTGCTCGATATCAAACTGTGTTGTTCGGCTAAAAGATCCCAACAACCTGGCTTACCATAGGAAATGCCATCAAAACGGTAAACTGCAGTGTCCCGAGTGCACTAAGAAGTATTCCTGGGTTCATCAATTACACATGCATCTATGGAAAATACATGCGATAGATCTAGAACTACCTACATGTACTATATGCGGATATAAAAATTACAAGCGTCATATACTGATCAATGTACATACAAAATGCCATGGAAAGAATAGGTCTTATACATGTAAGTTAATTAAAATTCATCAATAGGACTAAGTTCTAAAACCAATTCTTTAGTGATATCATAATGTACATGCTTTGAAAAAGCACATATATTTTTTATATGATTTTGAAGTCCAATATTAAATTAACATTGCTTTAGTTTTCAATATGTATTTATAAGTATTATCAAAATTTTATAAAGCATAAATAGATACAGGATCAAAGACAAGACTCCAATTTTTTTTCCAGCACTAAGGTTTAAGTTTAAAAACAATATGTTTCCATGCAGGTTCTATATGTCAGAAGAAATTTAAAACCTCCAACCAGTTATCCAAACACCGTATGATTCACAAGTGTAATGTGATCCATCAGTGCCAGATCTGTCAGCGAGAGTTCAACTTGGAACGGCATTTGAGAGAACACATGGCCGCTGTTCATGATAAATTAAGGCCTTTCAAATGTGGTCATTGTAGTTACATGGCCGCTAGGAAATGTGAACTTAAACTACATCTCAGATTACACACAGGTGAAGATACAATTTGTTATTTTAATTTATTGCGATTTTTTGTACTAATATTTCTTTCCCATCACTGAAATCATACAGCATTCCCATTAAAAGTTAGAATGTATGTAAAATTGATGAACATATTAATGTTTATTTTTTGAGACTAATGAGATCTAAGACTTTCGCGAGTTTTATTCATTTGAATGAAAATAATATTTTTTGGATATACTATGCTTGCTTTATTTTTGTAAAAAATTATGTATTCCTGACTGATTTAAAAAGAAACAGTAAAATCACCATACAACACTAGAATTATTGGCACTTACTTATTTTTCTTTCTACATAGCATTAGTATTGTATTTTATAAACCGCATAATTTCCTCGCTTTAATAAATACAGGGAAAATGTATAAATACCCTTATAAGATGTCAAATATAGGATAATTTTTGATCTTAATCCAGATTTCCTTTCAATTATTGACTTAATACTTAGAATTATATAATAATATTCGTTTACAGGTGATAAACCATACGCGTGTGATCAATGCGACTATTGTACTCGCGACCACAACTCGCTGAGACGACACAAGTTGAAGCATTCCAACGAGGGTGTATACAAATGTAAATACTGTCCGTACAGCGCCATACAGTCAACTGCGTTCGCTTCCCACATGATATCTAAGCACCCCAACATGAATTTAGGAGATGTCCACTGTTGTCCCTTCTGCAGCTTTAAATCCGTAAGCAGGAATAACTATGTAGTACATCTGACGACCCATAGAGACAAAGAAGGCATCAAACTCCTCATAGACATTGCTAAAAGCGTGAAGAACAAAAAACGTAGTTGGACCATACCCAGCGAGAATACAGAAAAAACCAATGCAAATAAAGAAGCAGATGAGAAGAAAGAAGATAAAAACTCATCAGACAATATGCCGATAGAAGTTTATGATTGTGATAGCTTACCGGAAACAGTGCCTCAGGAGTATCCCAAAAACTACTGCACTACTACGTCCAATGATACTCAGCAGTCGAATTTCAACAGCGAAGTAGTCACAGACTTGAGTAAAGAGGACAATAACTCAGATTACCTCATGCCCGAAGGTTACACCATACAAGACAGACATCAGTACAGCTCGCAGCATCCCTTGCAAATGTCATACGAAACTCCCCAAAATAATCTACATTTCTTAAATCCATCAGTTAGCCACGATCAAGGATTATTAGCGAACAGCATAGTCACTTCCAGCCATTCCCCTATAATCAACAGTATAAGCAATAATATCATGAACAATTTCCCTATAAGATTGCCTCCAGCACCGATTTCAGTGCGCAACAACATTACTTTAAAACCTGTTGATAAAATTCCCTTTCCCGTCTCTAAAGCCACCGGACCTATAATAAAACCGATGCAGATTCTTCCCGTTCCATCCTCAAGTAATTCGCCTTTCGATATACCAAACGAAATAGACGGAATGCCGAGGAAGAAACCTAAAATATCCGTCAAAAGCAATTTAATATTGAAGGGACCGGATCAAGTGAACATGTTCCATTCGCAACAGAAAATGGCCTTCAAGCGACTTGAAGATAACGAGAGGTTCGGTTTAAGCGGGCCGGTCACATTCAACAACTTAATAACCACGCAGTTTATGCAACTGCAACCGGAACCGACTTTGAGCGAGTCTCCCAACACAATCATGACATACCCTCAAGACAGCATGATGGTGGAATCAGCAACTACTCCGGTTGACAACGAAATTAACGACAACCCTCAAATTTTTTCATTCAATCAACAAATGAACGCAAATACCCTTTCCATGATCCCGCCGCCGCAGAAAGTACAAAACAATGATCCCAGCTACATCAAAATAGAAGCGACCATCAAACAGAACACACAGTCGCCAAGCTTGGAAAGAATGTGCAACGCGAACTTATTAAACAATCCGGCAATAACCAGGGAATATAAGGCATCCCCGCCATTAGAAGATATACACAAAAACATGAGCGAGATAAAGAACGAAGTGAAATCTGACGCGTTTTATAACATGGCGATCACTAACACGGCGACCAACCCACCGATCATAGAACAATATATGATAGACAACATTATACCTGAACAGTATCCAGCACATCTTGACCTCTCCACTGTAGTGCTATCAGAAGTGTCCAACCAGCAGAACGACGTCATCGAAATAGACGATAATTCAGACGACAACAAACTATTGAATCGCTTCGATATGAACTTCTCCCTAGAATCGCTTTATTTGATGCAAAACGATTTCCATTTCCTAGAAAACGACCTTCCATCGAACATGTCCGAAGTACCGGTTAACGAAATGAACAGAATGGTGACTGAAGTACCGATTATAAACCAGAAAGATAACTTGGAGGTCGTCCAAGTAGAAGCTGCGAATGATAGCGCTAATTTCATTCAAGGCAAAAAGGATCCCATGATGAACACATCCGTCAGACCCTCGACGAATAAAATTAACGTTAAAAATATAGAGCTCATGAAAAATTAATACAATATTCAATATAAAAATTTAGTTTTTTTTATAGATTACTAATAATAATACTGCAATAATTTGTTGCTGTTTCTGTTTTATTTATTACATTAAATGATGCACGAAATGTTGAAATCAACTGTCGTTATTCGCCCAAGATTTTTAACATTATATAACTAACATAAAAATGTTTAGGTTCTTTAATACATACATTACATTTTTTAGAACTTTAGAACCATATTATGATTCTTCATTTTTGCAATAATAATCATTTGTTCACTTTAATCCCTTAATCGCTGTTTCTACGATATATAGCTATAAAATCCTTTGTGTTGCCAACCTCCTGATGTACGTCCAAGGTCCAATTAGACGGCATGTCTCCAAACGGTTTGGGATCAGTATGTACTCCTTTACCATCCGGGCCAATTATTATGACTATTCCACCCAGATATTCCTTTAAATACTGCTCGAAGGCTGGTCCATTATTAAAATAACAGAACAATAAAGCAATGTCTTTCCTTTGTAGCAGTCTTCTGGCATCTTCGTCTAATTTGCTTGGAGTAAAAAGGAGAGGTATAAAAGTAGGCGGGGCATATTTGCTTTGCCACCAAGCGCCATCTACTTCCAAGCCATATACCTGGAGCCCTAAAAATTAACAAATACATACTATAAGTTCATCAATTCACAAATATAGTATCCAAATATTATTAATGTTCTTATACCAGTCGCTGCCATGATCATCCACTCGAGAAGGCCACAACCACAGCCTATGCTTAAAATGTTAACGCACTTCGACTCATCCATATATTTCTTTATAAACACAAAGTTTTCTTCCGTTGGATAAACCCATAATAATCTGTTTCTTCCTGGATGTTCCCGGTACGTTCTTACGATAGATTTCCAATTACCTTCTTCATACAGACGTCTTACTTCATCGATCATATTATCCTCCATTGATAAAAAAAAGGACAAGTTTTCGCGCCAAAATATATACTTAAGAAATTCTTAAAATAAATTATATATTAAAATTCTACTGCATAGTACCGCTAAATATAAACACAACCCTGACAATAAGCCGGCGTAGTTTACATAACTAATGCTCATTGATTGTGGAGATCAGGGCAGGACTGGAACATAAAATATTTCATATGAAAATACTCCTAAAAAATACCTTCAAAATTACTCACATTAAATGAATCTTCTCTGTAAAACATATGACTTGTTTAAAATAACATTTTTTTGGTAGCAAAAATTAAATATCACACTTCTTAATACACAATACATCTCTGTTAATTTCCTATATTGTATAAAGAAAAACTGGCGAACGCCCAATAGGTAGTGACGTTCATATATTTTAAATATATAAACTGCTTAGTGATAATAAGCAAGGTTAAGGTAGAAATATACTAAAATCTTAGTCTAACAATGAACAAACAAAAAAAAAATACAGATATTTATAAATTCATTTTATTCGTATCAAAGTATTGCATATTACAACGAACGGTACATTCGCAATAAATACAAAAATTAACATCTTATGTAAAACTATACATTATGTTAGAAGTAAAAATATGAGTGATTCACTGACACGGTGGGTTCAAGACACACCCGCGTGTCATAACTAGTATCAAGTTTTAATGTATCATTAAAAGACTTTAATAAAGAAAAAAAGAAAAGTTTTTGTTTCACGGTACGCGAATAACATGATAATAATATATGGAATAATGCTGTTGTATTAAGCTCTTAAATAAACTTTGAGATCAATCTCGAGATCACAATCAGTCATCACTATATACTAAAATAAATTTTGAACGCATCCAATGTATATATGTATCACAATTAATTTTTTTTTTTTGGCAGACCAAGCTCGATCAAAGTACGGGTTTAGATGTAAAGTTTAAAAAAAACACGATTTAAATATAGAATGTCAAATACCGCGACTTGAGTAGGGACGCTATAGTTCAAATTTCGAATGTCTGTAATATGATATCCTAGCCGCGATAATTTCGTATCCCACTTATGCCGATTAATTTTTCATTCCATATAATTTTAGTGTTATAATTAAATATATTATGCTATTGTGAGTTATTTATAAAGAAGATAAAGCCATATACATTGTAAGACGATTCAAAGTACGACGCTAACTTAGCCTGGATTCAGTTTTCAAACTTTGTTTTAAAAAATACAGTTACACAATAATTTGTACGAATCAGTGGTAACTGTTTACGAGGAACATTCTCTGGATTTCATCTCAATAATAAATTTATTAATACATTATAATATAATGATAATAATCACCAATAATTATGATTTTCTTTAATGACTTAAAAGTACATAAAGTTTCTAAATGGCCCAGCCATTGAGTAACGAGAAAATAATAAATATGACAATATCAAATATGTATAGAGATCAATTAAAAAGTATTCCGTCCAAAGCCCATATAATATTATAGATACCAATTTTGGCGGCAAATAAAGTAATAATCGGCTATCACCTAAACGTCTTGGACGCAATTTAAAACTAATTTTTTCAATAATTTCTAGCACAAGTATCAAAACTTACAGAATATTCAATCCGATGACTTAGAGGCACATATCTCAATCACTCACCATATTGTCATATTCTTACAAACATTACAATGTTAATATATACCGATAAAAATTATACATATAAAAGAAAATATTGAATACTTGTAAGAAATGACAATTAAAATTAAACATGTGTTATCCTAAGTCAGATATATAGCTCCATACATATCCATGGTTGAAAATGATGCTGAACCGTACATTCCATTGTATAAACTAATCTATAGACATTACAGTTTTGTATATTGTATAAAAGTAAATGGTTATAAACATCAGCAGTCGGGATCGCTTAGCCATCCAAATCAGCCTTAACATTTTCACCTGAAATTATAGATAATTAAATTAATATACAATCAAAAATAACATAGTAAACTTCTAATTGGGTAAATAAATGTCCTATCTTGACAAAATTTTGTTTGTAGTTCACACAATATCATATACTTCTACTTTAAGCTTATATACTTTTTTAATATTATGTTTAGTTGGTTTGATATATACTTTCCAAAAAAGCTATTATTGATACAGTTATTTATGTATATACAAGGGGCTGTTTAAGTTAAGATTCTACTCCATAGTATTATGTTTAGTATTCTTAGACTGACTGTCTATCTGACTGCCTGACTGACTCACTAATTGCTATCCTGTTCCATCTTCCTCCTCCAATGCATCTTGGGGTTCTGAATGACCTCGGGCGAGTCCTTTTCTATCTTCTCGTACAATATCTTCTTGTATATCTCCATATTCTTGATGGGTGCAGCGGCCACGTTGTCCGGTAGTAATCCTCTTTGCACGCTTCTGAACTTCTCCTGGTCTATCGGAGGTAGAGGTATTATGGCTTTCCTTATTTTATGTACATATTCGTTCTCTGGCGTAACGATCTTCTTTTCTTCGTGTTTCTTCTCGACTATGACGCTCTCCCTGGCGTTGTTCGCTTCTATGATTGACTTTTTGTCGACGATCTCCACGTCTATGTGTTTTTGGATGACTTCTTGAGGTAGTGGTGGTAGTGGGTTTAGTATTTCTAGGCGTATTTTCTCGTGTATTTCATAGGCGTGGTGGGCTACGCTCTGGAGGGCGGTCAGATCGCATTCCAGAGCCGTGGCGGGCGCGCAGTTGGGATGTGCGTTGCGGATGTGCCGCTCTAAATTATCTTTGCGTCTGAAACGTCGCTCGTCAGGACAGGCTTTGCAGCGGAACGGTTTGGAATCTGGAAATGAACGGAATTATTAGAGAGCAATTGAAGAAATCAATTTATATTGAATTATATACAAAGTATTTCCTGGATATACTATCGCGACTAGAAACAATTTCCATTTAATGAGTACAAAGATTTTCTTGAATTTTATTAATTTAAATGAAACTAATATTTTTCGGAATTACTACGCAATTTATTTTTGTGAAAAAACTACATGCTCCAAACGTTTGGGCTACTTTTCAGCAACCGTGTTCACAGGCAGACAAGAAGTGAATGTCACGAAGTATAATCCGAAAAATATTAGTTTCATTTAAATTAAATTTGAATAAAATTGAAATGCTTACATTAATAGAAACTATAATGAACTATTTCTATACCTGAGTGTATGGCTGCATGTCGTCTCATATCCTTCCTGGAGTGGAAGGCTTTCCTGCATCGTGGGCAGGCGTGAGCGCGAGGCCCGCCCACGGTGGGCGCCCCACCGTTGCCCATCCCACTAGGACTGCCACTACCAGCCTCCCCACCACTACCTTCGCAGCGATGAACACCATTCGCCTGAAGCTCTATTCCACACGACTTGCATAGTTTCTCTATATAAATATATTGCTACGGTTAGTAAAATCCCTACTAATATTATAAACGCGAAAGTAACTCTGTCTGTCTGTTACGCTCTCACGCCTAAACCACTGAACTGATTTTAATGAAATTTGGTACAGAGATAGAGTTGACCTTGAGAAAGAACATAGGATAGTTTTGGTCCCAGACTTTTGAAAGGTTCTCTTGGAAACGCGATATAACCGAACTCCACGCGGGCTAAGCTGCGGTCGGAAAGCTAGTACATTTATAAATTCCTGAAATCGTGTTAATTAATAATTTAATCGATCATTTCAAGTTGTAATAAACAAATAATATACACAATTTGGAGTTAACGGATATGATATGACGGAGAATGAAACACTTAATCACTGCACTGTACTAATTACAATTGTTTAAATTATATGCAGTGTTTATATTATAATACTAAGATTTCATATAGATAATGAAATAACAAATAAATTAAAGGCCATTTAAATCCACTTCTCTTTTTCAAGACCCCAACTATTTGTTACTCTTAGGTCACAATTCAAATATTTGAACTAAGACTTGTCTGAAATTTTGCTTATGGTACACAGCTAAAACATTTGGCTTATCTTTTCATGGATACATGCCCAAAAATTGTTTTATATTATAATTGTTATACTGACTGTGTTTATCAACATGTTTCTTATAGTTGGAACTGTCTCTGAATCGTCTGCCACATGTATTACACGAGTACGGTCTTTCCTCTGTGTGTGTGCGAGCATGTTTTCTTAGTGAGGACATGTTGTTGAATGCTTTATTGCACTCACTGCACGAGAAATTCTTCTCTTCTGTGAATTATAAAGTAATTTAAATGCATTATTATATATATTATAGTGTTTACTGACCTTTTTTATCAGAATATTACTGGTTTAGTTATGATTCAAAATTGTGTGTTAAAATGTAAGTTATATTGACGATACAAACATATTTAAATGTCCACTATTCATTAAACTCTCACCTAATATGAATTGCTTTTAACATAGGCATATAGTCAAAGGTACAACTTAGTATCAAAACAAAAAGAAATTTAAAATATTCACTACACTTTTATAATATTACAGGAATAACTATAAATTTTATTAGTCTGTGATAAATATACTATTATTTGCAGAAATTATATAATATACATATATTATGTACTAGCTTTTGCCGCGACTTCGTCCGCGTGAAATAGTGACTTCCGGCAGATTTTTGGTTCTTCCCACATAGTTCCCGTTCTTGCGGGGTTTTGGGAATGGTCGAGTTCCCGTAGAATTTTCAGTATGAAACCTATGTTTTTTTAATTCACAATGAAGTACTCTTAACCAACAACACATTTATTTGTTTATTTGAATAAAGATTAATATTATTATGTTGATACAACTTAAACAAATTATTTCGACCAAATTAGGTACCATAAAAACGGTTTTTGTGAGTTAATCTTAAAAAATAGACATATACTGTCGCGGACTGTTCTTTAGATTATTAAAAGAGCTATTATTTTTTAAAACATATTTTTTGTGTATCTTGAACCGTTTTCACGGCGCACCCAACGGAAGGCTTCAAAGATGAAATAATTTCCCCCGTTTTTTACACATTTACCACTATATCTTTGCTCCTATTGGTCGTAGCGTGATGTTATATAGCCCACAGTCTTCCTCGATAACTGGACTACCCAACACAAAAAGAATTATTCAATTCGAACCAGTAGTTTCGGAGATTAGCGCTTTCAAACAAACAAACAAACAAACAAACTCTTCAGCTTTATAATATTAGTATAGATTAATAAGTTCCACAGAGAAGAACTGACAAAAAAAATCCTTTCCTGTAATTTATATATATAATAAATTATAAACAAAGGGTCAGTGGTGGCCTAGTGATTAATAGGACCGCCTCTCATGCATGAGGACGCGGGTTCGATCCTGGCAAGTACCAATATGATTTTTCCAAGTCATATGTACTTTCTAAGAATAGTTAGAAATCACTGATTAATGCATTCCCAAAGAGGGTTGATATCAGGCGGCCAGTATAAAAACAATTAGCCAAAAACTATTCACAACATGTAAGGCAGACCCTGGCTAAAGCTGGGAAATTGCCAGGTAGAAGGAGAATAAATTATAAACAAAGTTTGTACTAACTGGTGTGTTTCAACTTGTGCCTCTTCAGCTTAGACATCTGATAGAAGCCTGCTCCGCACACATCACAACTGTAAGAACGTTCCTGACTGTGTACCCGAGTGTGGTATTTATAATGTGATAGGGACGCAAAGCTCTGGAAATATTTGTCCTATATTAATTTTTGCTCGGAAAAAAATATTAGCAACACCTATAGACTATGTCATGTGACATCATTCCCTCAATAAGTATGAGGAATCCCAGCATAAGTAATGCCCAATATCTTATTCAAATATATATATTAATATAAGTTCTATCAAAATCTGTTTAGTAGTTTTTGCATAACAAGTCTCAAACATACATACATCTTATAGATCACAAATATTTTTACATTTAAGTTTAAGTATTATATTTGAGTTCATAAAAACAATATTATCATAATGAGATCTAAGATTTTCGCGAATTTTATTTATTTTAGTGAAACTTTTTTTGGATATACCATGCAGTTTATTTTCATCAACTGTGATCATTAGTCTCCTATGCCCGTGATCATGGTTGCTGAAAAATAGGCAAAATGTCGGGAGTATGTAGTTTTTTCAAAAAAGTAAACTGCATAATATATCCAACAAATATTAGTTTCATTTCAACAATATTATCAACTAATTGTCAGTACAATTTATTATTTACACACCTGCTTACAAAGTTGACAATTATATGGTTTTTTCTGACCATTGCAATAAGCATGATATGATACTTGGCTCCTAGCATAAAACTTTTTCTTGCACACTGTACATGTATAGCATTTTCTGTCACCATCTGAAATAAATGAATTGAGAACAGGCTATAATTCATTTCACTTAAAATATACATAAACGGGAATAATTTGGTAGTTATGTCTTCATACTAACATAATTCAATTGTATATACTAATCAAATTTTCATATTTTTTGTCTTATTTATTCTAACACTAATATCTTATATTAAGTAATTAGTGAGTGTCTTTTTAGGGTGAAAGTGGAGTAGATGTGGTAAGTTAGAAAGATTATTGCAATGCTTTGTTATGAAAATACAAACATTACCCATTTCTATCTTAATGTGAGAGATTTCTAGTTTTTTCTTAGAGTTGGGATCTACGATGTTTCCGTTATCTTCGTTAGAAACATCTTCACAGGCTGCTGGTTCTTCGTAGCCTTCAACCGGCGTCATCGGAGGATTCTGTTTTGAACTCTCGATTATTTCAGGCTCGCTAACGTTCTGCTTACAGGCGACACAACCCGATTTTTCTTGCAGAAGACAATCCATACACTTAACATGACCGCAACTCTCCGTTACTAAACGGTTGTCAGTCGAATTAACAGCCTTTTTATTGTAACAATTCACACAAACTTGGGTATTCATTTTTGTAACTTATATATAGGTTATGTACATATTATTTTTTAGTTATTCAGACGTCCTTACACGTCAGAATTTTTATTATAGAGATATATGCCTATAACACTAATGTTTACAAATAAATATTTACGTTCAGCAATATATAAACATAACATTTTTAACAAATATACGAAAAGCGGATTAAAACTTAAGAGTACGTTCTAAATTCTAATGTCAGACGGTGACTTCTACATTTAAAACATAATATTTGAAATTCTTTCAATTTAATGTTAGTAATTTATAAGAAAAGAAAAAACTGCAAAAGAGTTGAAAATATTTATATATATTTAGAAAATATTTTTTATTGTAAAGGTTTAAAAATATTTTTCATTAATAATTGACTTATAGAAGGAAGTATTCGAACGAAGGGAAGACGCCGATTGACAGGTATAAGCACAATAAAAAGTAATAGCGTTCAATTAATGCTCCATCGGTTATTCAGTTTTATTTCGTTGTATAATTAAAATATTTATTTCATAAAGTTAAACTTAATCAATTATTAACATAATACATTAATAACTATTGAATTTAATATTTTACAGAAACTCTAAATTTGAATGTATAAATTCTAATATTGCGATTAGTCATCGCCAAAGAAAAACATCTATTTTTGCAGTCTGTGCAGTTAGTTGTCATTCAATATTTAATTTCGCTTCGTACTTTTGTAGTACGCCTTTAAGCGTTTTTTTGTATAAATTAACTAATAGTTTATAGTTTTTTTTTAATTATAATATCAAAATGGTAAGGTTTTTGTATACAACGCTTGTAATTATTGTTTATCCGTATTTATATTTACCAAACAGTGTGTACATTTAACTCGTATAGACGTAACCTCAAAGAAAATTTTGTTTTAGGATGTCTTTCTTATGATTAGGCGAAAAAAACTTACCATCTTTACGGATGCCAAAGATACAACAACTGTTTTGGAATTGAAGAAAATGATAGAGGGTATGTAGGTTTTGTGCAATGTATGAAAATTCTATTTTTAGTCGCATAATTATGTCCGTCTTTGGAGTGCAGTTATTGTTTTTACAGCAATAATAAACCCGACCTTATCAAAACATTTACACGATTTTAAAAATGGTGACCTTTGTCCTCATTTCCATATGACACATAGGTCAATAACCAGACAACAAAGATGTAAATGCAATGAAACCTTTAATATCGCAAATACCTGTAATATTATAATATAATATACACATTTAATACATTTCTCAAGAATACTATAAATATAAAATGACCTGTACATTACAATATAACAATTGTTTATTAACTTTTGAAACTAATGTACACAATCACTAAATGTTTTAGACTCATAAATGGAGTATTTCAAGAAACTCCTGTTTCAAACTAATATGATGTCTTTATATTAAAAAGTAACAAATCAATACTCTACATTTAATGCAATATAATATAACATACATTTAATTTATTTACTTTAAATACATATAATATTTTATTTCAGAGATTACAAATTTTGCCTTTAATGTTATATTTTTTTAATTTTCAATATATCTAAAGTAATCTCAGTATTAATTTACAATAAATTGAAATACATTTTACAGGCATCTTGAAAGTACCTCCACCGAGTCAAATGCTTTTTAACAAGGATAGTCAACTTATGGAAGATGATAAAACTCTGGCGGAGTATGGTCTTACTTCGGCAACCGCCAAAGCTCAATGCCCGGCACCGATTGGACTTGCTTTAAGGTAATTTTATTTATTTATATTTATTTATGACACACCAATATAGACAAAAATAATAGGAGAAAAACAAAGAAAAGAAAAATATACAAATAGGGGGCCTTATCGCTAAAACAGCAATTTTAATAGAACAGAAACTTTGAATTGAATAAAATTTAGATATCATCGGGCGTCGGAATGTATGTGGTTTTATAAGATTAATTACAGTCATTTCTCTGTGTATAGTAATTTATTATTATAATGCCTTTTTATAGGCTGTAAATATTTCATATTTTAATGAATCATACATATGTAATATGGTAGTTTCTTACACTAATGAATATGCATACTAATTCAAAATTATGGATTCTTTTGTCTTAAAAATGAAATTCAATTTTAGCACTTCATAAATATATATTTTGTAAAGTTTATAGTCTCCAAATGTTTTAAATATTAATTAAAACAAATATTTATTATGAAATTTTACTTATATGTATATATCACACAATTATTTAATATTTAATTTGAATGTAAATTGTTCTGTAGATAAGATAATTTTTATCTTTACTGCATGTTCATTGATTTCATCAACACTGTTGCAGTAACATATCTTTAAAGATCTATAGATAAATTGAGATAATGTTAACATTATCTATAGATTTTGAATTTAATTACTTATACTTAAATGAAACTAATATTTTCGGATTTTACTTCGCGTTTTTTATTTTTGATTACAAACTACATACTCCCGACGTTTCGGCTACTTTTCAGCCGGGTTACTTTTACGAGTATGTAGTTTGTAATCAAAAATAAAAAACGCGAAGTAAAATCCGAAAATATTAGTTTCATTTAAATGACTACTCGCCAAAATCTTAGATCTCATTATACTTATACTTAAATTAATTTAATAACATATTTATGATCTATAATAATACTATAGAATTTTTTTTTTGTCTTATTTTCTTCAGAAAAGAGAATGGTGAATTTGAGGCTCTAGAACTGACTCCGTACTCGTCTCCCCCTGACTTGCCCGATGTTATGAAATCCCAGGAGACAAATGGACAGGAACAGGTGAAAAAATATAATTTTTAATATATCGTCGAGAATAGTGCAAATCCGCGTTACTATCATTGTATAAATCCGCGTATCTACATTAGAAGCAGGTTGATAGAAGAAAGTTTAAGTTGAAATATTTTCTAAATTAACGACTTTTAAAGTAATTTTTGCATAGTTAGTAATTATTATTTATTGTTTTATTTATTACTAATTGTGAAAAAAAATTCTTAAAAGTCGTTAATTTAGAAAATATTTCAGCTAAAGCTTTTTATGATAATCTGCTTCTAATATATCCCCGACTATGTATTATTTGCATATATATAGTATATAAAAAGAGTTATATGGAAAAGCAGTTATTACATGGATCTCCATTTAAATATACTGCTGTTTCTTATCAATGAATCTGATGACACTTCGAGAGTGTAATTCTTTATTTCATCCAATCCATACATGTTTGACCAATTGACATAATATTGTTATTTGGCATATTGTTATTGTTCTTTTATTCTTTGTAATATATTTGTCGTAAAACAAATATTGTTGACTCCTGAAATAATAATCATGTATTAATATTCCAATAGTATAAATTAAGAAATGTGAAAAAAAAATATATCATCGAAAAAATATTTCAGTTTCTAAACGTTTATATAACGCCACGGTTTCTAAACGTTATATTAAGATTTATGTTGTAAATACAGCTATTATTCTCCACATACAAATAATATTAAATATGTTTCAGATGGATCAACACTAAACAACTCGGCAGCCAAAATGCTAACATCAGATCAGTGTCGGAATGATTTTCATACATTTGTTTTGAATTCGCTGCTATTGGACGGCGATCTTACTTTTGCATATGAACATGTTTCTTTATAAAAACGATTAATTCTAATTAACAGCTAGGTTATAAACAAATTGTATGGAGGGTGTATAAGTTTGTGGACATAAGTTCACTGTCTGTTTTAATTTAACTTTTCTTTAATCCCTCCGTCCGCATTAATTTTTATGACGCTTCACACTAATGTTTTTTTCGTAGTAATGTCATGGAATGCAGGTATAATTCTAGTGTCTTTCAGACTCAACCTGGCAACTCTGCTAGTTGCAGAGTACGGTGAAATATAATTTTAATGATAGCAACACTTAGTCAGGGCTAGTATCGTGATACTTGTATTTATTGCAACAGTCTGTTGTGAAATATCTCCGTAATAGGTTATATCACTTATATATTAGTAACAACATTTTTTTATTAATTTCTCATATCGATCTGTATATGTTGATTACAAATTACATGCTTATTATTTAGTGCCTTTATAAATCAATGTCCCGTTATCTGTGAACTATAGTACAAGTTAGTGTCTTTGTCTGTTTTTTAACATTGCTTGGTACTTCTCCGCTTAGTTTGAATAGTACACCTGATGATATTCACTAGTTTTGATATGTTTTGCTGGACAAACGAGATGCCTTCGTAATAACAGTGGCACATTCATTGCCAACTAACTGTGCCCCAACGCGTCGATGCGTGAAGCGTTCGTCAAACAATAATAATTGTAACGCGTTATTTATCTGAATATAGTTTTTAGTATGGACTATAGTTAATAGCTAAATTAATAGGGTAATATAGGGGCTTTTTATATTTTGGGAATCCAGAATGTTCGGTAGACATTTTAGTTTGGATTCATTTAAATGAATTTTAAATAACTAGTTCCTGAAAAAAATTTGTGTTGAATTATTATAACTTTTTTTTTTTCATTTTTTAAGTATTTGGAATTTTATATTTTTTATGTTCTAGCCTTTGTAAAGTTCAGTATGTTCATAGAGTATGTGAAAGTATGTAGACTATCAAAGCTTAGCACACGACAGATGGCGCTGTAACATATTTATACTTTTTTTGTCCCGTTTCGTAAACAATTCGCATATGTTGTTTATCACCATCCATTTGTATTTTTTAATAATACTAAACCGTAGTGGCGTCAATTTGTGTGTTAGCTAGATAGAAAAGAAAGTTAACGAATCATTTGTTACCAAATAGGTTTATTTAGATTTTTTCTTAATAAATTACACATTGCACCGTAAAATAACTCTAGTATTATAAAAATTGGCAAATATTTAACATTGATTTGAAGAGATTATCGTTATTCTCGGGCTTGACATATTTGCTGGTTTTTTTAATGGTATCAACATTCAAGGCAATAAAGAAATGTCCTAATATATTGTATTTCTCTTATAATACCCGTATATAATAAACGACTGCGAACAAAACGTGTAACTACCAACAAATGTGACTTAAAATAATTAATGTAGCGTTTCTTTCATGTGCATTATGAAAAATCTTAAAATACCAGCGGAATTAAAGCTGTTTTCATTTGTTCAAAGTGTTTTATTTTTATACCTCTATACAAAAAATCAACTACTGTTTGTATGAAATAATTAAAAAAAAATTGTAAATTAATAAATCTTTCCCGAACCATAAATAGTTGACAACATGGCATCGAAAAAATCAGATATTGGTACTGAGACTTTTTAAATTATAAGGTTATTTGATAAAGAGCAAATATTTATCAAAACTTTTTAGTCCTGAGAGTATTGTAATATGTTTAGTAAAAAAGCTATTGTTTTATAGGAGATAAAACAATAACTTTTTAATTAACATACGGTATCTTTCGTTAACCTTTATATAAATAAGGAATCTTAAAATTATTACTAATATTTTTATTTCATAACACTTGAAATGTAGCAAACTGATTTCATTAGTGTTAATTTATTCTTAAGAATTTCCTATGCCTATTCATTGAAAGTATCAAAACTTTATACCTATTGTGTGAAACGTAATTTATAAGTATTAATTACTTGAAAAAGCAACCTCATTATTTCATTCTTCTTCCTGACAATTTCCCAGCTTTAGCCAGGGTCTGCCTTACACGTTGTTAATAATTGGCTAATTGTTTTTACGACCGACCGCTTGCCTGACATTAACCCTCTTTTGGAATCAACCTCATTATTTGTATATTGTAATAAATTTTTCAATGAAAACAAAATAGTATGTATTATCTGTCTATACATATCATCTCATTTGGACAATGACATTGACATTTGTCATATAAATAGTATTTATATTTGACTTCAAGAACGCAGCGTGCGAATTAACCTAAAAAAAATTGTTTATAATTATATATTGTAAAAAAAAAGCTATATACAAGTATAGTTAGTGTTTATTAAGTAAAAAAGTACAAAAATGGGCAAACGTAAAGGGAAGTGTGTTAAAAAGAATAATCAAACGAAAGAATCTTTGGAGCCGGAACATTTGATAAAAGCACCACATTCATTCGTAATCCACCGTGGAACATGTTCTAAGGATCTCACAGACTTAACAAAAGACTTCAGAAAGATCATGGAGCCTTTTACTGCTTCACAATTAAAGGTAAATATTACATTACACAAAAATTTTCGGACCCTATCGATGTCAGTTTTGAAAAGAATATTTAAAATTATCTGTTGTTTATTTTAGGAAAGAAAGAAAAATACTATAAAGGATTTTCTGTCAGTGTCTGGATATTTGCATGTTTCTCATATGATGGTATTCACTGAGACAGAACTTGGTACATACATGAGACTTGCTCGTCTGCCTAGAGGACCTACACTCACCTTTAGAGTACACAGTGTAAGTATTTCGATACCTAAAGATGGGATTTTCATATTTTTCTGTACAATAGTGAAAGAGATTTACTATGTTTAAGACTCGGCATGTGTATATACATCTTGCTAGCTACAGCAAGCTCAACAATCCTAATTTAAGAAATACATAAAAATTTTACATAATACGTAAAAAAAACTAATTTAACAATAAATCCAAGTTCTTTATGAAGATTTTACTTTAATAATCCAAGATGCCAGATTTTTTAATTCTCCTTTGCTTCTTGCCTCTTTACAGTACAGTCTAGCTCGTGATGTAATATCTTCTCTCCGGAAACAATATGTGATCGAGAAAGCCTTTAAACATGCACCCCTGATTGTTCTGAACAGTTTTTCAGGGGAGGGTATGCACATGAAGTTAATGGCTACAATGTTTCAGAATATGTTTCCTACGATTAACATTACTACTGTAAGTATTTCAATAAATAGAGTAAGAATATTTAAATGAAGCAATTGTGTAAATTTCAAATAGTAAATTATATTTACAAGTTTGTATATGAGTAAACAAGCAAACCCTGGCTCAGAAATAGTTCAAAGAAAAATGTTGCTATATATCAGGGATTCCTTAATACTTGTAATCAGTGGCGGCTGTACCTTAAGTGCACTCGTGCGCTGAACCACCAATTCAAAAGATTTAAAAAATTACAAAATATTACTTCATCTTTATGTTTAAATTACATTTTAATATTTATTTTTTAAACATAAAAAGTATCTATAAAAAATTAAGTTTTCTAATTATAGTCAAAAAGTTTGTGCGCTTTACTAAACTAATATCTGTGAGTGCACGAGGACTGCTAATACATCTTGTATGAGATACGCATTAATACGCCTGACGCGTGAAACAAAAGATAGTTCATAGAAATGTACCGAATAATGAGTCGGTTCTCGAGCGCCGCACGAGCGGCCGAAGAATAACGAGAGCACCCGATGTATGACGAATTGAGCCATGATTGACATGTCGTTATGTTGTTTTGCATTTTCTAATTTTAATATTTTAGTAAAGTGCACCACCAGTTTTATAACCCGCCAGCCGCCACTGCTTGTAATCATTTTTGGGTTACTTTTAGGTGAAACTTAAAAATATTAGACGATGTGTGTTGATGAACTACAATCCTTCGACAAAATTAATAGATTTGAGACATTATGTTATCAGAGCGACACCAGTTGGACTTAACAAAGGAACTAAGAAGGTAATGACAATAAGAAGTACAGATTAGGTTGCATATAAGCTGAATTGGTTAAGCAACTGTAATGTACGTATTAGAGGTAGCAAGTTTGAATCCTGTTTGTCTCAATTAATTTTTTACTTTATATTTCTTAATATAAATATTAATTTAACTAATAAACCAAAACTGCTTTAATTTTAATAACATAATAATTGTGTGTAAAATGGATTTTGAGTATTTTATAATTAATTTTATAATAATAATTAATAAGTTTTTTATTATGTTATAGAAATTAAAATGTGAGTGTATATGTAATTAAACTAAACTATTAAATTACAGATGGTACAAGGAAAGATACCTAATTTGAACAAATGCAAGGACATGTCAGAATTTTTTGATAAGTAAGTTAATATTCTATTTTAAAACAATTAAGCAAAGAATCATTAATTCTAATAAGGCAACACAGAACATAATTAATGTTTAATTTAATATATATTCATGGACAGCCTAAATTTCTTTGTGGATTTTATTTTTTAAGTTATTTATAGTTGTAGTTATTTATAGTTTAAGAAAACCTATAAATATAGCAATTTTTTTTTATATTCCAAATTTTATTATCAATGAAATTGTTATTAAAAATGCAAAAATTATTCTTACTAATATTTAAATAAACACTTCTTTATTTAACTTCATTTTTTATACAGACAACTCTATCAATTTTGTTTTTGATTCAATCACACTAATTCATTTATTGTTACTAAAGAAGTTATTTCTGAAATTTCCAGGGCTGCGTTATTATCAGAGAGTGAGTTTGAAGATGATGGTACTAACCAGGTTGTTTTACCACAAAAGTTATCAAATCGAGCTGCAGCAATGCACACCAAGTCTGCACTTAGACTTGTAGAGCTCGGCCCGAGGATGTCCTTGCAGCTTATAAAGGTATAATATTTGCAACTTTTCAATAAAACAATGTTAAATTCGTCATGTATGTATTGTGCTAAGTAGCAAACTGAATGATAGGAACTAATATAATAAAGTAACCAACCTACATTACATTTGACATCATATTATTATTTAAACAATATCTAGCAAGTATAACTAATACATAACAAAAAATGTAATATTGCTAGAGAACAATACTAGAGTCGTCGTAAGTACGGCTTGTTAGGCTTTCTTAATACGAGACCTAAATCTAAAAAAAGTTATTCAAAGACTGTGTTGTATTATATTACTATGATAATAATTTGGATATTTGTTTTAATACTATTTTAAAGAATGAACACAGTTAATAATTAAGACAAATAATTTCCAGGTTGAAGACGGTCTTATGGATGGAGAGGTTTTGTTCCATGAACTTATTGAGAAAACAGAAGAAGAAAAGGCGTTGATTAAGAAGAAACGTGAAGAGAAACGGTTAATATATATTTTAATTAAATTTAATTATTATACGTTCGGAGTACAGATTCAGATGATTTTTAATGTTCAGTGTTACTTCTAATTGTCTTGCAAAATAGCTGAAGCCAGTATTTAAAGTTTTCAAATACAAGTTTTTACTTAAATTTAAGAGCATGAATGGGGCCACTAGTATATACAAATTAAATTATATTTTTTTGTTTTTAGACGTTTGAAAGAGAAGAGAAAGGCACAACAAGCAGAGAATATTAAACGAAAGGAAAAGGAAAAAGAGGAATTAAAACAAAAAGCGTTGGAGGGAATTAAAAAGAAACAGGAAATGACTGAAAATCAAAGGTAATCATGAAGAGTTTATAACACTGAAAAACATAATCTTTTTTTTTGGATTACTCACCTGTTTTAGTATTATAAAAACTACATAATCCTTACGTTTCGGTTACTTTTCTGCAACCGTGGTCACGGAGAATGAGATATCTTTATGTATTCGAAAAATATTAGGTTAATTTAAATGAATACTTGCGAGTCTTCAAACTCATAAACAGTTTAGATAAATTATAAGCCTAATGACAAGGGCTTTATTATTTAAAAGATATTGTTAAATTATGAATTTCTCTATCTTGATTGAAATTGAGCACAAGTTATAGCATATTGTTCGAAATAAATCTATTTAATAGTTTTCTTTCCAGTTATTATTAATATATTGATATTGAAGGCTTTACATTTTAATTCTTATTCCAGGTTAATGGAGCTGGCGGCTGCGGAAACTCAGGATAATGATCAGGAGGAAGATGACGCTGATTACTACAGACAAGAAGTGGGAGAGGAACCCGAACAAGGTTTGTATTGAATGATATATAATAGATTGAAATATAATAGAATGAATATAATAGAATGATATATTGGATATTACGATGGCTCCTAAGTATAAGGGTCAATGTGCAAAATGACAATGTATCAGTAGAGGCGTTTTAAGTTTGAATTCAATGTATCTTTTACATGAGACAATTGATGCTTTTGAAACTTTGCATAGCATCTATGACTTATGTACGTCACTTAAGCTTTATAAACTTTTCTGTAGACCTACTAGTTTTTTAGATATACAGGGTGACTGGTGAATTACTATCGATACTTGAGGACGTGATATTTGACGATCATATATGACAAAATAAAAATTAATATAACGTAAATATTAATAAACTTCTAAGTAAAGTTAATCAAAAGTTATGTAATTAATTACGCATCGTGTGAACACCCTACAGATTAGGTATACACTCACACTCACACATACGCGAGCGGGGCGTGGTGTTGTATCAGCACGCCGCCGCACGCGTCCACACTTGGAACACTTGGAACGTGTACACACTTTATTTATTTATACGGAAATTTGGTCAAAATTTAAGTACCTATTTTTTTTGCATAATTCGAATGAGAATCATGTACCGAGTATGCTCCTTAAATATTGATAGTAATTCACCAGTCACCCTGTATATTTTATAATATATATTATATAAGCTCTTATACGTTAAAAATTGTGTTATTTATTTTTTATTAATGCAATAAAAACTAAGTCTTACCAAAACATACACATTTTTTTTAAACAGATGTAGAATACAGTATTATTGTAAAACATTTATATATATATATATATATACTATTTATAATATAACCGTATATATTTTGTTACTAGACTTAAGAGATAATTGCTTTCAGATCTGTTCAGTCAAAATCCATCAAGAAAAAGGAAATCTGATGATGGAGAGGAAGCTAGAGGGTTCAAGAAAATGAGATTGGATAAGAAATTAAAAAAGAAATATCAAAGTGGCTCTAACAACAATCAGGATAGGGACGGCAATAGAAAGTTCAATCAAAGACAAGATGGTGAGAGTTCATACAAAAACAAAAGGAAAAACTTTAATGACCAAGACAGGAACAAATTCAATAAAAACAGGAATAATCAACCTGACAGGAATAAGAAGGTGTTTGGTGGAAAATTTAATAAGGCCAACAAACCTGGCAAAAAACAAAAAGGTGGCAAAGGAAAAGGGAAATCCCGAAAATAAGTATATTAAATAAATATTACACAAATACTCTTGTCCTTTTATTCGCGAGTATGAATAATAGTGGGGTGAAATATATAGTCATTGTATTTAAAAAATCATTTATTATCTATTTGTAACTTAACACAAAATATCATCCAAAAAGAGAATTACAATTACTTGTAAGGCACATGATTTGTACTGATTCATTATAATGATATTTTTTATTAAACCACAATCAAAAAATATTATTCATAGAATTTTTATTTAACAAACAGGTTGTATATCTGATCTAAGAAGTTCAAATTGTTTCAATACTGATCTTATTTAGAAAAAATAAGAGAATATGATTCCAATAAAAACTTTTTTCAAGTTGCTCATTAATTCTGATGTTTAAAAACAAAACAATAAAGTTAAGGATATTAATGTTATAAAAATTAGTTAAAAAGTTATAAACTGTACCAAACAATTACATAATGTGATCATTAAAGTCTAGATAACAAGCTAAAAATAGTAGAAAAAGAGAGGTACTACTCTTAAATTTATGTGCCATGGCTAATTGAATCCGGAACGACGCCTTTATAAATTTGACAATAGATTTAACGAATCATCGCACATAATTTTAAGATCCATAGGTAGGTTCTTTTCAATTATGGTTAGGTAGAGAGAGGAGCTTGGACAGTGGAGGTGAGCGTTTAACGCGTTAGATAGGGTCCCTTAAACCTACACCTGGGTCGCAAGTCCCAGTCACTGTTGAAGCTCCTCTCTACAACGATGGACCCGACACACGCATATGAATACATGGAATAATGAGAGGTTTTGTCTCTATTTTTTACCATTTTCAACCTGTCGACTAGACTATTATGTAGAAATTTTTGATTGTTAAACCTATCACTGCTATGTCAATGTGTACTTATTTAGTAATATATTATATAAGAAACACTATATCATCAGCCATCATAACCTGGTTGTCTTGCGTCATTCTTTCCAGGGCTGCATGTATTTCTCCACTGTCAAATGTCTCGTGGGAGTATTTCTCGTTAATATAACTGGTTATACGAGCTAATGGAAGGGAATTGGCTCGCTCTTCGCGGTACAGTTGCTGTAATGCTGATTTGAATTGGGTTAATCTGAAAATAAAATAACAGTTACAACAATTATACTAGAATTTTTAAGGTAGTAGGTTCAAATCCCATTTGTATTGTTGAATTTTAATTCAAGTACCAAGGCAATAGTGATTTGATGTAAAAAACATAACTATAGGAATTATTATATCAGTTGCAAATTTTTTCCTATAATGAGCTATTTATATTAATTTTTTAAATAAATGTTAGGAAATATTTTCACTAAAAAAATTTAAATAATGTTTAACAGCATGTATAACTTCTATCAGTATGACATATGATAAGCAATAGGTTATTACAATTGATAACAAAGTATAATATTAACAGGAAACATAAAATAGCTAGTATAAAAAAAGCTACAAATATATATACATACAAGAGTACATAACTATACATTCAAATAAAAATCAGTCCAAATAAGACAAGTAAAAGCTAAACTAAACTAAAAGCTCACGCTCAAACGGCTGAAACGATTTTGATAAAAATTTGTATACAGGAAGCTGACGCCCAGGAATAACACATAGGGTAATTTCCATCCCGGAAATCCGCGGGTAACACCGCGGGGTGCAGCTAGTAATAAATAATAATTCAAATACAATATAATCAACTTGTATAGTATGTACCGTGTGTTATCAATAGTCTTCTGGGAGCGAGTGACCCTCGTACTAGATTCAGGTTGTGCTGAATGAGCAGCTCTGAGAACTGGCTCAGCTTCTTCATCTGATGAGAAGTCATATGGATCTTGAGCCTCGCCTTCCTGTACATAGAATATACAACAATTAATTTTCATTAATATCTTATACGTTTATATAGTTACATAGTAATATTTTTTATTTTATTTTGTTATTTTTACGTAATATTTTTATTTTATCTTTAAAGTTTATAGTTAGTAAATGTTATGTACACTTGTCATTGACGTACATATCTGATGTTTTAATACAGTCACTTTAACTGTACATATTCAATATGTATGTTGTAAGTGTGCTTGTTGTAAACAAATATCTATTTCGTCATTGGCCCACTGCTGATCAAAGGCCTCTTTCTCACATGAAGAAGGTTTGGGCATTAATGGCCACGCTTGCTCAAGACGGGTTGGTGATTTAAAACTTATAATTGTGAAATTGTAAGTCCAGGTTTCCTCAAAATGTTTACTATATATAGACGGTGAAGGAAATCCTTGTGAATATCTATTTATCCAGTATAATAGAATCATAGATGGCGCTACTAATTCTTTTCATATATTTTAAGCTCACTTTATTGGTAACTAGCTTTTGCCCGCGACTTCGTCCGCGTGGAATAGTGACTTCCGGCAGATTTTTGGTTCTTCCCACATAGTTCCCGTTCTTGCGGGATTTTCGGAATGGTCGAGTTCCCGCAGAATTTTCAGGATAAAACCTATGTTTTTTTTCGAGTTCCAAACTATATCTGTACAATTTTTACAGTAAATTTAATTATTTTAAAGAACTTCTGCATATACTAGAAAAAGTGTTATTATTGTGAAACTAAATACATACTATCGTAGAACAAATAAAGTACCTACTATATAGAAAACAACTACAAAATGAAACTGTGTTTAAAAAGTAATAATACGATGATAATTATATCGCATAAACAAATTAGCGCCGCATTCAACCGTTCAGTATGGAGCCGACCGCGGGAATGAGCCGCGCGGCATGGTATCTCGCGGAGCTATACCCCCCTCCCGGCTTGCCCGCAAGCACCGCCTCTCTCCCGCCACGCCGGCCAGCGCAGAGAGCGAGTTAGTTTTGTTTCCGAGTTATTTATCACTACGCACAATAAACATCGCGACGCGATGCAGCGAAACGCTTAGTAAATTTTTAAGTTACCCAAATTTTTAAACTCGCTATATCTTTTGAATGGAGTATCCCATTCAAATAATTTAAACAGCAATATAAAGGTATTGAACTACTGTTAAATAAAAAGTAAGTTATTTAGATAAATATAAATACCATGGTATGAATATCGACATCTTATTTTCATTGCCGATTTAAATAGTTTGTTAAACTATAAAAGTTGTTATATTGGCGTTACTATAATACTTAGATATACACTACCGCGGACTTTTCTGTAGATAATAATGCGGTCAACAAAATCGTAGTACATTATTTTGCTCCATCATCAATAGTTATTGCAGCGCACGCGTTTTAAGGTATTTCAATAGTGATTTTTATCGACCGTGGTTTATGTTATCGAAGTTTTCACAAGGATCCCTAATTTTTTTTTTCATAATAAAATATAGCCTATGTTGCTTTGAAAGATGTACAATCATAATGGTGAAAGAATTTTTAAAATCGGTCCAGTAGTTTTTGAGCCTATTCGTAACAAACAAACAAACAAAAAAATATTACCTCTTTATAATATTAGTTTAGATTGTACATCACACTACATGTGGAGCCATTTCATTCATTAGTATTTGTATATGATAGTATATATGTATGAATGATTCTGGAAACACAAAGCATATATTGTGAGCATGTAAACTAGTGGTAGTAGAAGTGTTGTTTATAAATTCTTTGATCTAGTATTTTAATTAATGATTATAGTATGAACATGAATGATAATATTGGATTCATTAAGTATATACTGTAGATTAGCGTATAAAGTAGTGGTGTAATGTGTCGCTTCTAAATTAACTGATATAATATTTTAATTAATATTTCAACAATCAAGCTTATATAAATGCTTAAATATAATTATTTTCTTCTCTAAATCATACCGTTCGTTTAGTTTTCTTGGCTCTCGGCTGAGTTTGTTCATTCTCTGAAGTGTTACCTTCGTCGCCTGACGACGCGCGCCGTTTACGACGCTTCTCTTTAGTAAGCACCTGAAATATGATAATTTTTTATTATTACCATTTGATTTAGCTTAGCTTACATAAACAGAAAAGATTAAATAATAGTTCGAGGATGTAATGAATCCTAATAAAAAGATATATTTTTCTCAATACAAGATCTACATAGAGGAATAATTTGATATATGTTTTTATAAAATATAATTGATTTAAAAACATTATATATTTCATTAAAATAAATTATAGTATTATTTCATAAAAAATTGAAACAATCATATCAAATTAAGATTTAAAGAAAAAAATATTAAATATTCTTCCTATTTTTCCAAGTTTAATCTTTTAAAATCATATATTTAGATAGTGTGTACAGTTAGTATATAAATAATTATAAATTATTAATAGAATATTTATTATAACGACTATCATAATGATAAATAGGAACAAGCTAGCTGTTATAAATATACCTCTCACAATTCTATTGTATAAAATCATCTTTAAATAAAACCTTGATGAAAATCATTATACTAGTTGGTAACTAATGTGATTTTGATGTGATAACGTCTTTAAAATCGTTTTAGTCGGGTGACATGTTCAGATACTTGTGTCACACCAAAACCTCACGAGCGCGATCGCAGGTATAACGAGAGAGAGACGGAGCGATCTCCCGTCTCATCTCGAGCGCTGCCAGTCATTCCGTGAAACTTGTCACGCGGAATCCTCACGAGCGGTGGTAAGCATAGCGTTCGAGTGAGTGGACCGATCTTCCGTCTTTCTCACTGTAGCGGCATACAAACGAATGAATACATACAAACGAATACACCCGAAATTTATCATCAAAAGTGTGAATAAAACGATAGATGTAATTTAAAATTTGAAAAAATTGTTATCTTCATTAATTCCTTACTTCCCAAAAACTTATATCACCCATAAAACGTTATCACGTAAACATCTCGATCGTAAACCTACTTTACAAACAACCAATTTTTTTATTGTTTATTTATATTTATAGAGAGGAGCTTGGACAGTGAAGGTGAGCGTTTAACGCGTTAGATAGGGACCTCTTAAACCTACACCTGGGTCGCAAGTCTCAGTCACTGTTGAAGCTACTCTACCTACAACGATGGACCCGACACACGCACCGTGAATACATTGAATGATGAGAGGTTTTGTTTCATACCTTCTTGAAGTATGCGTAGTGTACTAAGTCTATAGCGGCGAGTGCGTCCGCCTCGCTCACTGTGAAACTCAAGCGGCATTTTGCATGAGCTGTGGCCAAACGAATGAGAGTTTCCAAAGTACGGGCTGTCACTGGTTGGGTCTGAAAAATATATATACAGGTATGTACCTAATGAGATCTAAGACTTTCTCGAGTATTCATTTAAATGAAACTAATATTATTCGGATGTACTACGCGTATTTTATTGTTTTAAAAGCCTTATTATAGGCAAGATGCCTCATGTCACCATTTATAAAAATAACTTTTAATTCAAATATTATTCCGTACAAGGGTCCGAAATATATAAACTTTCGGTTACTTTGCAGCAACCGTGATCATGGGCAGATGAGATGTGAACATTGTTTTAAATTAATAAAATACGCGTATATAGTAATCCGAAAAATATTTGTATCATTAGGGGCCATCCATAAAGTACGTCACACGTAAGGGGGGGGGGGGGTCGACAAAGTGTGACATGGTGTGACAAGGGGCTGGAGGAGTTCTAAGTTTCGTGACATCACATTTCAAATTCTAGAGGTACTAATCGCGTAATTTGAAATTTTAATTAAAATCTTTAAAACTGAGTGCGTCATCATATACTATATGTATATTCATTAGTTTATTTTTTTGTTATTGTTTCAAATATTTGATACTGTATTGATTTCATAAGAAAGTACTTAATTTAAATGGAAATAAAACTAATTTCGGAACTGCTGTTTTAATTTAATAATTTTTCGATGTTAAATTGCAAGACATGTGACGTCACACTAGGGAGGGGGGGTCTTAGAAATGTGACCACCTGTGACAAGGACGGGGGAGGGCTCAAAAACTCATGAAATTAGTGTGACGTATTTTATGGATGGCCCCTTACATATACAGTTATAGAAACAAGCTCATCTATAATATATATGAATAAGATCTATGTAGATTAAGTTTACAAAAAATATACAAGTCCCTAAGCAAACAGATAAGCCTTTAAGCTAAATTTTTAATCTCTTGCTTAGACTATTATTCATATCATTCGATACGAATATTTATATAGATTTATGATCATTCGATGTATGAATTTGTTGTTTTAAATCAATCTAAGAAATTACAAATAAACAATAATAAAATCAATTGCTACATTCATGACGAAGCGATTGTATTGTAAGCTATACCTATTTTAATTTTTCGATTAGTTAAGATCGTTGTAAATTTTATGATTACAAATTCAAATATTTTTTTCGCTGTTTTATTTCGAGTACTTTCGAATAAATTGTACTTTTGTAATTAGTGATTTTATTCACGTATTACGTACAATATCTATGAGCTGTACAATGATAATGTGTTTAAACAATAAATACGATAATATATTCTACATATAACCCCAAAAACTGCATATAACTGTATTAAACCAATATAATTTCTTACCCTGGCCACATCACTCTCCATCATATCCTGGTTCCTCAGCCGCGCGTATTCATCAGCTATCACATCAGAAGCCTCTTGTGTTAATTTAGGTTTCATTAGTTTAGCGATGTGTATGAACTTCCTCATAAACTTGGTACTGAGTATCTGATCCTTTTTGTTACGGAGATTTCCGTGAAGTAGCGGATCGTATTTCTCATAGATAGAGTCTTTTGTATCCTAAAAGTATAATATTGGATATATTAGTAATATTATAAATGCGAAAGTAGCTCTGTCTGTCTGTCTGTTACGCTTTCTCGCCTAAACCACTGAACTGATTTTAATTAAATTTAGTACAGAGATGGAGTTGACCTTGAGAAAGAACATAGCAAAGTTTTTATGAGAGACTTTTGAAAGGTTCTCTTGGAAACGCGATATAACCGAACTCCACGCGGGCGAAGCTGCGGGCGGAAATGTAGTATTAAATAATTCTTAATTTAAGTTAGGTATTGTAGAGTATAACAAATAAGGATATCTAATAGCGTCAATAGTTTTAAATGTTTAAAGGATCCAGAACCAATATGGCAACTGATATTGTGCTAGGAATTGATGACAATGTAGTTGATTTTATATTGAGAAAGATGTTTTTTATCTATTAAAGTATTTAAATGTATTACAATTACTTGATGATTAAATTGAAGAAAAAATCATCTTGATTTGATGTACAATCCAGCCTTGATAGCAAGTGTTAATGTTTGAAATTGAATTGCTATGAAATTTTAAAAATTAAGTCTTTTAATGATACCTCAACTTCATCATTGTCTGGGTTTTCTGTAGAGAGCATTTCAACTGAGGATCCCATTGGCAAAACTTCACCGTCCTGTTCCTTAGGGTTTCTGAAAATATTGACAAAAATATCATTACATATAATAGACTATTATTTCTAATATTACAATTAAATGCTGACATAAAATCAATTAAAGATTTTTCTGTATAATTTTATTTGATTAAAAAAATTTATTTAATTAATTTTTATAACACAAGCATAGTCTAAAGCCTTATATAAAACCTTGTTAGCCATATCAAATGACCTCTTCAACATTACATATAACTTATAAGTATACATTTAATACCTATATCTATGCATCCTAAGCACGTGTTCGGAGATCATGTTATCGTGGTCTGCATCCGCGATGTCCAGCATCACGAATAATAGGTCGAAACGAGAGAGTAAGGAGTCTTGAAGACCGATGTTCTCCATCGGCGTCTTGTATTGATCGTACTGAATGATATAATTATGACATATTAATATAAACCCTAACATATAAGAGAGTTTATTATTACTAAGCCAGAATACTGTTCAGCGATATTAGGAAAAGAAAATACTAATATGCTAAAAAAATTGATTTTATATTTAGGGTTGGCACTAAATCGAGATTGGTGGTGTGATAAGGGTTGGCGATAAATCTCAGTTGGTAGTACTATCAGGGGTGGCAATTAATCAGATTTGGAGGTACAATCAGGGCTGGCAATAAATCTTATTTGGCAATTAATCAGATTTGGACGTAAAATCAGGTTTGCCAATCAATCAGATTTGTCGGTATAATTATTGTTCATATCAACTAACCCGTCCGTACACAGGGTTGGCAGCGGCGAGTACTGCGCAGCGTGCGTTAAGAGCCGCGTGTACACCCGCCTTAGCGATAGTGACGCGACCCTGTTCCATCACTTCGTGTATAGCTGTCCGGTCTATGTCGGACATCTTGTCGAATTCATCAATACACACTACACCACGATCAGCTAAAACCATGGCGCCGGCCTCCAGTCTGGAAATATAAAATAGTAATATAGTAAAAGGAGATTCTATGTTAGAAAAATATATTTATATGATAAGTTCGGAATTTATAATAAATGTGGTAATTTTTAACATAGTTCCATGTAGACTAAACCAAAACATAAAGAGAATGTGCTTTTAAATTGGTATCATTGATGAAGTCGGTAAAACAAATTTTAAGTCATACTCAACAATAGTCCCTACACTTCCATAATACAACACAAATCCTACTAACATTATAATTGCTAAAGTTTGCGAGTATGTGTGTGTTTGTTACTTCTTCACGCTCGAACGGCTGAATCGATTTTGATAAAATTTTGTATAAAGGAAGCTGACGTCCAGGAATAACACATATACTTTACATACCGGAAATCCGCGGGTAACTAGTATATTATGAAAATCATTGAGTATTTATTTTATTTGTTATAAAAGACCTTCTATCGCCAGTTTCCGGGTCGGTAGTAACGGCTGCTGTAAGACCAACGCCGGAGGAGCCTCGCCCCGTAGTAGTGATAGCCCGAGGTGCCGTCATTAATACATAACGCAGTAACTGGGACTTCGCCACAGATGGATCGCCGATTAACAGAATGTTGATGTCACTGTAATAAATATTTGGTGGAAATAAATAATTATTATATATTGCATTAGGAATACATTTGTTATGTATGAAAAGCTGCAAAATTTCATAAATAAAATTGTTGCACACTGTTTTATAGGTAAAAACTTGTATAGCGAGTGACATTGCTGAATTAACACCTGGTTATATTAATCAGATAATATACATTCATATAAGTAAATTACGTTGTAGTCTTGGAACCTCTGTTGGCAGTGAAACACCCTATATAACTCATTTAGTAATATTTCTATTTGTATTTTAGATTCTTCTTCTTCTTCTAGAAGAATTATTATGAATATATTTCCAATAAAACTGATAGAAATTTTATTTCATTCAATTCAAAGTCACCTCATTCATGTACAGTTTAAATATGCCTTTAACCATAATATCAGTTTTTTTAGAGGCAAATTTAATAATATTAAAAATTACCATAACTTCATTGAGTCTCAGATCTGAGTTATTTAGTAAGATGGGGTAAAAATACCGACAAATCTTGCTATATCTGTAGAACGACGGTTAGAACTACCAAGCATTTGCTGGTGGAATGTAAGGTATTCCAGGATAGTGGTCAATACTCAGAAGTTTCATCTCTTCTCTTACAATATATACATTTTCTTTAAATAATATAGATAATACTTAATCACTAGTAAATAAATTACCCTCTCAATCTCGTGCCATTAGGTAGAATCTTTTCCATTCCTCCCAGTAACTGGCACAATATAGCTTTCTTGATAAAGTCGTGTCCATGTATTGAAGGCGCCAGTGACTTTCCGAGCAATTCAAACATATCGGTGTTTGATTTTTTGGCCAGTCGTTTACACAGCTTGATGTCTTCTATAGTGATGTTGAGATTCATGTCTTTGTTGATTTGAGTTATGTTGTTCGCTATCAGAACAGTCCTGGAAGTAAATTTTATCATATGTAAATATATATTACAAAAAAGACTTTACACACAATTTTAGATTTTATTATGGTTATTAAGTGCATACCAACAATATAAAAGATGTATTTATATGTACAAAGCTAACTAGACCCAAATGATTAGTTAAAATGTAGAGATAATTAATAGTATTATATGTAGAATAGCAAGACTGAATGACTGAGCTTAAGAAATAAAGTAATCTACCTACATTACACTTGAGTCTTGACATCATATTATTATTTAATAATTACAAGCAAGTATAACTAATACACAACAATTAGAATGGAACTTAGTGGCTCCAACATACTAACTCCCAAGATAATGCAAATTTTTTTTCAAACATAACTATACATTATATGTTAAAAATATTTAAAATTATACAAATATATTACCTAAATGTACCAGCGGTGAAACTCCCCTGTTTTGACGGCAGGCACCTATAGTTGCCGACTATTTGCACTCTGTCTCCTGGCTTACATTTATCTACCAGGTCATCATCACATACAACGTCCACACTCCTCGGTAACTGGCCTGCCGGAGCTCGTTCAGGCATCTCTTGTACTGTGAGGGTCTGGTGATCTTTGTATCGGGATAAACCATACTCTGTTTCTAAAGGATTTCCTTCATCATCCTATGAAGGAATTGTTTGTCATTATTATAGGAGTATATTAATCTATGCTCGTAATTATGAACCCATATAAAAAGTTAAATATTAATTTTTTACTCTGCTAATGGCAGTACAGTTGTAAAACTAAAGAGAACTGTAGATGGAGTTACATATTTATAAAAACTCAATACTTGAATACTTGAATTTGTAGACATATTTTAACAAAAAAGCCATAATTCCATTAGTTTATATACTGCAAATATTTAACACTATCGTTAAGATCTTTTAAAAATACCCTATCATAAGAAAACTTCATAAAGTGACTTCTTATAGTTACTATTACCTTAGTAGGGTAAATTGCTGAAGTAGGGAAAGCCTCAAACGAAGTTAAGTCCGTGTACTTTCTTTCCATTACTTTCTTGGTGGCCGGGCAGTAGTGAACACTTCTCACCACCTTGGGCCTCACTAAGGAAACTCTTGTCACTATGCCTTCCACACATATTAGGTTTCCTAAGTAACTGTAAAACAAAAAATATAAAACAGATTAATGAGAATTTAAATTACAATATACAGGGTGACTGGTGAATTACTATTGATATTTGAGGACGTGATATTTGACGATCATATATGACAAAATAAAAATTAATATAACATAAATATTAATAAACTTCTAAGTAAAGTTAACCAAAAGTTATGGAATTAATTACGCATCGTGTGAACACCCTACAGATTAGGTATACACACACACACACACACATACGCGTGCGGCGGCGTGGTGTTGTATCATCACGCCGCCGCACGCGTCCACACTTGGAACACTTGGAACGTGTCAACACTTTATTTATTTATACGGAAATTTTGTCAAAAATTAAGTACCTATTTTTTTTACATAATTCGAATGAGAATCATGTACCGAGTATTCTCCTTAAATATTGATAGTAATTCACCAGTCACCCTGTATATAAAGAAAACTTCTTTAATGCATGCAGGATTTGAACTTGTACACTTCATTGAGTTCTAGTTGCTTTAAAGCAATCTTGCTTGTGTCTATTAATTGCCAATTAGACTGTCATATTTAAATTGAAATTGAAGTATTCTCTCAACATTTCTCTTATGTAAATATATATATTTTTATATAATAACAATTTTCTAATTTTGTAATGTCGTTAAAATACCTTGATGTTAAACTTCTAGGCGTCACATGCTTAGTCCCGAAACTTCCTGAGAAGGCTACGAAGAATTCTTCTTGCGCCTTAGCATAGCTGGGATCGATGGATGAAACGTATTCTTTCAGAGCTCTTTGGAAAGCTATCAACTCCTCAAATGAATTTTCTAATAGACTTTTCACACGCTCTGGATTTTTACGTCTCAGATCGTTTATGTTTACCACTAATCGTTTTGAATTCTCACTTACCATTTGTTTCACTTTCTCAGTATATACACTTTGATCTTCCTGAAGTTTTGAAAACAGTTGTAAATTAAAATGCGATACAAAAAAAAACGAAATTGAAAAGGTTATGACAATAAAATTACTTCATCATCTAAAAATTCAAGGTATTCTCTCTGAAGATCTCGTAAGCGCTGATCAAAATCACCTTCTTCCATTATATATTATAACAAGGAACAGAACAAAACTTAAGTTACAACAAACTTTATCAAGTAGACAACAACTATCAAGTAACAACAATTTTAAATTCGTTTGACAAGCGCTGTATATTTTGGCGCCAGAATTTGTTGCTGTCAAATAAATGCAGATTCTTATATTATTGTCAGAAAAATCATTTCCTAAAAATGTAGATCTAAAATAATTAAAAAAAATAAGTGTTTCACAAGAAAAACTTTAAATGATTTCATAAGTGTAACAATATATCTTTAAACATTAAGTTACTTTTCCATATTAATATAACTTTTGTTTTAAAACAGAATTTATGTCATTTGTCACTTATTGTTCTTGTCATTATCTACTTTGACAGATAAACTATACTAAGGGTTAGAATTTCAAAGTTTATACATAAAAATCTTTTACAATTCTGTTTATTGAATTAAGTTAATTAAATTATTACCACAATTCTCAAATTTGCGCAAGTTGGCGTGATTTTCGCGAAGATACATGGGTCAGAGATACTTCTAATAAAATCTAAAATGTCTTTAAATATGTCTGATCATAATTCTAATTCTAATCAGTCTTCAATAAGCAAAGAAAACAGACCGAAGCTAAAAATTCTAGCATTTCATGGCTATCGACAAAATGGTAACATGTTCAGAGGAAAAATTGGTTCGTTTAGGAAAGCAGTTTCAAAATATGCACAGCTAACCTTTATTAGTGCTCCTCATAAGGTACATAGTGAAGAATCTAGTGGGGAAGAAGGTATGCATAATTTAATAAATAAAACCTTATATATATTGAATTAATATATAGGCACTGAAATAGATTAACATATAAACTTTATTATTTTTATTACATGTAAATCATTTTGTACCTAATTTTATAGTATATAATATTTAATTATACACAGATGGTCGTTCTTGGTGGTTCAATGCTGAAGACAACACATTCAGTGGCAAGTGTCTCGGAGGTCCGGCGATCGGATTTGAAGATACATTGGATCTGATAAAAACTGTTGTGAAGGAACACGGCCCTTTTGATGGTTTTATGGGGTTCTCACAGGGAGCCTGTCTCGTTGGGTTATTAGCTGCTATGCAGCAGAAAGGATGTTAGTATGTTTGAATACATGTTTCCTTCCATTAAGCATTTATCTTGTTTCTAAGTCAAGAGCGAATCTTCTAGTGTATGTAGAGTATACTAGCTTCTTAATCTTTCATTTCTATCAATTATCTGGTGGTGTGATGATCAAGCACTCTCCAGTCGAAATAAATAATATGTATATCTCATGAAGAATATCATTAGTTGCTAAAATGCTTATTTAGTTTATTTTTAAAACATCAACTCAATTTAATAGAATAATAATTTTTGTATTAGAAATATTTTGGTAATTATAATTGTTTTATTGTTAACAGATTTAACATACTCATTCAAATTTGCAATATTTGCGTCTGGTTTTCGCTCTGGAAGTTTAGTCCACAAAGGATTTTATGATGAAGAAATAAATCTACCATCATTACATGTTTACGGGGAAAGTGACTCTATAATTCCCAAAGGTATATATTTTTATTATAATAATTATTTGTATGAAATTAATTTAAAAATAAACTGTTCTTTTTCATTGTAATGTTTCAGAAATGAGTGAATCGCTTATAAATCTATTCACAAAGCCAATTGTCGCTGAGCATTCTGGTGGACATTACGTTGCATGTTCGGGCTCGATAAAAGATGCGTATTTAGATTTTTTACACGACAGGTACCAGGACCTCATAGAACAACCGGAGGCTGATAATAATAAACAGTCTTAGTTATCTAAGATTATTCTTATTTGATAGATGTAAATAAAGATTAAGATTTAAAAATGGTTTTATTTTGTCTTATACTCTTTTATATGGACTTATTTGATGTAATGAATATTATATCGTTTAAATTAATGTAAGGACCTTTAATTATATTACTAAATACACTTTTTAAAGTATTTTTTAACTTATATAAAATGTGGTATTCGTTTTAATTCAATATTATTGTAGTGTTGAGTAGGACATACATGAGGCGCTTCATTTGTCCCGGACATGACGTCAAAATGTAAGAGTGCCTCGAAATTTAAAATTGTACTACTTCAATTTTTTTGTCGCGGTCGAGCGAGGCAGAGAAACGTCAAACGACAAGCACGTCTGACGTCACGGTCGTCGCGTCTGACATTATGAGCGAGAGAGAAATATATTGTCTTTCATGCGAGGCGAGGCGCCAGCCAGGAGGCGCGTATTTAAAAATTTAAATAGTAATAATCTTATCGTTACATTTTGGATAATTAATTAAAAAAATTGTTATTCTGATGCAAGTATAAGTTATATTCTTGTAAATTTTGATTAAAATCCATTTAGTAGTTTTTGCGTGAAAGAATAACAAACATACATCCATCCATCCATCCCACATCCATCCTCACAAACTTTCCCGTTTAGTTTTAATAGGTATATTAGGTTAGAAATTTCATATTCGTAATCATTTGGTTAGAGTACCTAACAGACTATAAACACATAAAATTCATTTTTTATACTTGTAAGATTTAAAATATTTGTACTAAACATAAAACAAACAAACGACATGACAAAAGCACGTCGCGTCTGACATTTGAGGCGCCAGTATATTTCGTACTATAACTTCATATGGTTCAATTCGCCTCGCCTCATTTGAAGTGGGACATTGTACTGGCTCAGGACAAAAAAGAGGCTACTCTTACAAACTCTGTTTGAAGTCGTGTCCTACTCAACACTATATTATTGCCATACCAAAAATAACGGTAACTGATAAGCCATGACGTTTTGAGCTGACATGTAAACAAAAAGTTAGGTTATTAGTTTTTATGAACTTTTGCAAGAGCGATACTTTGTGATTTTTATGTACAGTAATTAATAAGTATTAAATAACAACAATTACAGTAGGTTTTATTTATGAAAATAAAATGTGGAGGCGGTATTTATTGTGGTTCGCACACGAACATGTCGACTTTCGATACGCTGTAGGTAATTGTATGAAATGCATCATAACATGTTATTTTTGTATTATTTTCTACAGTATACAATTATCATATTTTAGGAAATGCAAAGCATCATATCTTTATTAAAAATACCTATGAAATTCATTGAAACACCTTGTGTGAGCAGACCCTATTGGATCGTAGAACTACCAGAAGAAGATTGTATCAGAAAGATCGCTTCTAGGTCTGTGTTACTCAAAAACTGTATAGAATTGTGGTCAAGAGCTAAGACGGAAGATCGTTTACATGAAAACCTTAAAAGTGCTATAAAAAACGTCAGCTGTAAGTGGATAATACCTGATGGAGGGAACAGTTATATTAGTGATTCACATATTTGTCCAAGCGAACTTCTAGAGGCTTGTAGCGATGCAAGTAAATCTTTTAAAATTGACGTAGAGACCTTCTGTAAGCATTTTAGTATTAAAGAGAAAGTTGAAAAGATAGAGGTGAGGCATAAATTTGGGATTATTATACAATATAATTCTTTTTAAAATGTTTTCCTTTACAAAATTTTATTATTTCAATGAAAATTCTTTACAATAGTCATAGAAAATGATAGTTTTAATTGTTTTTCACAGAAATTTAGTTACTTACCATTAGAAGGGCCGGTTAAATTGAAGAATCCCGATGTAACACTATCCTACATTGAGTTCTATGGTATTGATCCTAATAATGTTCCAAATCAACCACATGACCTATTCTTTGGAAGATGGGTAATATACATTTTATTTAACAATGTATACCTTTTATAAATATTTAACATTGAGATAATTTTCAGCTAATACATAATTATTATGATACATATTTGTACTTATTATATACTTAACAAATGCATCACACATAGCTTAACTTGAGAAACAAACTTATATATTATATAATTTTATAAATAGAAAATAATCTTTTTACTATTGGAATAAAATTCAAATCATTAAAGTTCTAACCACGAAAATAAATCTGATAGGATAGGATTTCTCAAATCACTTAAGATCCAAATTTTTATACTCAAATTAAATTCTGAATTACAATATTTCTAATGTTATAGTATTTTACACTACCAAGTCTACATTAAATTACCAAAAAGGTTTAATATTTCCATAGTATATAAATAAAAATGTTATTTATTAAGTAAATAGAGTGATAAGTAAACTGGTGAGCAAATGGTACAAGTACTTCCGAGGTTGTAAGATATAATACTATTTAATATATTAGTGGATATGTGTGTATTATTGTATACTAAAAATAAAGATATTTCTTTTGTATTAACACAACATTTATATCAAGGTAGTTGACGGCCAGCGAGAATTGATTCAGACCCATTCTCTCAAGAAGCGACATTTCATTGGCAACACCAGTATGGATGCTCAACTAGCCCTGGTGATGGCAAACCAGGCTCGCGTCAGTCACGCGGATGTTATATACGATCCGTTCGTTGGATCCGGATCCTTGTTTGTCGCTGCCGCGCATTTTGGCGGTAAGTTATCAAATAGAAGTTTCTAGTATTTATTATAAAGCATTTGTTTTAAATACAGATAAATAAAGTTATATTATCTGTTTGAGATATTAAAATAATAGGCTTTTGTTAAATTAATAAGGTTATACGAGAGATATTTATCAGAATATAAATTTTAATACAAATTTTGTTTGTCTATTTGTTCCCGCCATTTTTTAAACTTGGACCGATTTTAACGAAACTGTCTCTGATATACGGCCGACACTTAGGGAGTAAATTATGCTATAGTTATTTTAGAAGTTTTATCTGTTTTTATTGTGCTGGTGCTTTCTAATAACGTATAATCAGTAAATATTAATTTATCTCTATACTTAATACATGTTTCCATAAACACACTACATACGGGGCGTTAAGTTAATATTAACTATAATTCGTACTAATTAAAGTTTATTATTGGATGGGAAACGAGAAACGCTTGTGGTGCGTCGATGAAAACTTGGACTAATCAAACCAATAAAAAGTTACAATATATCCTACTTCTATATGTATTACGAAATTAATTATATTTCTATTGTAATCTTTATCCAATCATATATTAACTTAATACAAAATATTGTTTGTTTGCTTATAATGATTAATGAACCTTCACTGTCAGTATATGGCTGTGACTTGAAATAAGTAATTTAAATACATTTGCCAAGACTTTGCAACATCACACTAAAGAGTCTCCCATTTTTCACTCATACTTACGTTAATACTATCACGTCTGAAAATTTGTGTTTACTATCACGATGTTAAGCGAAATACCGTCTTATCTTACAAAAACCCGATTCTTTTAACCAATTTCTTCATTAAAACCATAATTCTATACTTTGTAATCGATTAATATGAACTAATATGAAGTCGTACTAAGTGTATTTTAATTTCCAGCTTACGTATGGGGAAGCGACATCGACTTCATGATGCTCCACGCTCGCACGAGACCGACACGAGTCGGGAAAAAGGTTATAATTAAATATTCAAGTTCCCCCCCAACCTTCCCTTTTCCCTTCCTTTCCCATCTTTACTCCCCCCCTTCAACCAAAGGTGGCAACACATGGACAAAATCATTATGGATGTCTGCTCGGTTGCTCCCTTTATCATAACAAAAGAATAAAATTTAAAACCCAGAATCTTTGACAAGCAAAACCGCGCGTCGTAACTAGTATTCATAGCTAATTTTCTTATATTCCAGTCGCGTGATAAAGATGAGAGTATAGCGGGCAACATGCGTCAGTACGGCACGTCTAGTAGATACTTGGACGTCATAGTCAGTGACTTCTCATTACCGATGTGGAAAGACAAACTGACATTCGACGCCATTATTACTGACCGTTAGTATTAAATATGTATTATAGGAGAAATTATTGATAGATAATGTTAGAAAAAATAATATGAAATGTTTATCATAGCAAGGTGAATATTCTTCTAAATTATAATATTTAAACTGGAAATATTTTTTTTTCAAAATATATTTGAATGTAATAAATTTTTATATATAAATACATGAGACTTAGCACACTGTTTAAAACAAAGGAATGTGTATTGTGTATATTCATACATTCATGAAACTACATATAGCGCCATCTAGTTCGTTACAAGATACACTACATCTGATTTCATTATAATATAATATTTTCATTAATTAACATTTTTTATATTAACAGCGCCCTACGGTATTAGAGAACCGACTGAAAAAATAGGTATAGAGCGAGAGAACTACACGCTGTCAGAAGATCACCTCGTGAACCATATACCTGCTAAGGTTGACTATGAACTACCCCATATGTACAACGACTTATTGACATTCGCTGTTAAACATTTGGAAGTCGGAAAAAGACTTGTCTGCTGGTATCCTGTTATACGGTATTCAAAGTAATATTTAAATTATATAAAACATAATATATCCCTACTAATATTATAAATGCGAAAGTAACTCTGTCTGTCTGTTACGCTTCCACGCCTAAACCACTGAACTGATTTTAATAAAATTTGGTACAGACATAGAGTTGACCTTGAGAAAGAACAGGATAGTTTTTATGACAGACTTTTGAAAGGTTCTCTTGGAAACGCGATATAACCGAACTCCACGCGGGCGAAGCTGCGAGTGGAAAGCTAGTATACATATATATATATATATATATATATATATATATATGATAATTTCGAAGGTCGGTGGGAGCAATGAAACCAAAATTTAAATGAAACTAATATTGTGAGACAGACATTCACATCTCATCTCCCCGTAATCACAGTTGCTGCGAAGTAACTGAAACGTCGGGATTATGCAGTTTAAAATTATAGAATACGCGTAGTAATCCGAAAATATTAGTTTCATTTAAATGAATGCTCGCGAAAGTTTTAGATCTAATTAAATGAATTAATTTAATTTAAAAACTAAACTAACATTAATTGGTTCGACTACATTGTACGAAGTGTGAACAAGTAGTGACACATTCTAAAAAGTCTGTTCATACGGAACTGCTGAGCCAAACCCGTTTAGAACGAACAATTTTACTTAAAACTCATAGAGTGACCGGCGGTTACACCGTAATTCTCTTATTATTTAATTAACTACCACTAACACCGTCGCGTAACACAAATAAACACATACTCAACATATTAATAACCTGGTATAGGAGAAAAATAATAAAAAACTGTTCTTTTTATTATAGGGAAGATTACAAAGAAGAAGACCTTCCTAGTCATCCGTCTTTAAAACTGGTCGCGAATTCAGAACAGTTATTATCAAAATTGACCGCCCGCAGACTACTGACATACGAGAAAATAAACGACCAACTACCCTCAAATGTTGGTGATACGATGTCTGGTACACAAAACTTTAGGTATGTTGGAAGAAAAATAATCTTATTAAACAAAGTAGCATTAATACAATTATTTGTATTAAAAACAATTTTCTTAATCTTTTTGAGTCTTTATTGCTAACTAATCTAAATAAATAATAAATTACTGGTTAAATTATTTAAATATATTATATAAAAAAAAATTCATAGATACAAGGATTTATAAAATAAGGAATATTTGGTCTCATATACTGTGAATGCTAAGTTTTTACAAGTGCCATATATAATGTTGTCTAAATAAATACTTATTCCAGAGAAAAATATTTCGCAAGTGGAGACGCGACAAGAAAACAGAGACACGAGAAAAGAATACAAGAGATGGCTGCTAATATATTCGGAAAACAACAAAGTATATTGAATGAAAATGATTTAAAACATAATAAATAGACTAAAACTGAACTTGTTTTATTTGAAAGAACGTGATTTTCGGGATCAATAATAAAACGTCATATACAATAACTACATTAAAGATTCCCACAAAAACCTTTGATATTTATTATAATTTTGAATGTTGTAAAATAAACACAGTTTCTATTAAAATTATTGATCAAAACACTTTATTGGATAGAATATAAATTCAACGCGGTGGCTGATGCCAGTCGCTGTTTGTTATAGCTGTATGAATGAATACCTTCTACATTAACCCTACTCTACACTTGGTCTTACCATGACATGCAATAGATGAGTAAAAAAATGCAGGTTATGTAGTAAGTTTAAATTTTATAATGTTCCGGACTGATCTCCTTCAAATTGTTGTAATTCAATTTTTTGTTACTCATTGTCATCTTTACCAAAAATGTATACATACACATACGTAATTGTATTGAGAAATGCATTGTCTGTCTATAAGATATTTTTATAAAAAAGACTTGTTAATATAATTTAAAAAAATTTGATAATCCACTGCAAAGAATTCTTCATACAACTAGACTAAAAGAGATGATTTTGAAGACTGGAATGAAAATAACGAATTTTGTTATATAATAATTATATTTCCATACACATAGCTTGATACCCACACTGTCCCCTACAAATTATTCAAACATATAACTAATATAATGGTATTCACTCTTACATAATATATAAATAACTAACACATATCTGTATGAATAATTAAACTAAAATATTACATATAGATTCTTGTATGTCCAATATTTCATTTCCACGGTGCTAAAGATACTTTAATGTATTAGTTTTGTAATATGTGAAATTATTCTTAACATATTTACATGTGTACAAGATAATATTGTTAATTAATCCAATGTATAAATTTTCATACTAACATGAAATAATTTGTATATAATATTACACTGAGTAAAATATTTTAACTTCATACTAGAATCTTAATGTAAATATTTTTAACTATTCCGTTATAGCCAGAGTTAACATTAAATTGGTTAAAGTTGGTACGGAGGCTGGTGTTTTGGCTTTCTTTTGTCTCTTTGAAATCTCTGATTGTACCCATTGAGATAGCTTCCATATTTCCTTGCGTTTTGTACTACCAGATGACTTGTATTGGCCCAGTAGGTTATTTGTCACCTAAAATTATTATTTAATACAGTATTTTAACATTATTCTCTATATAACTTCCATATTAATGATATATTAGTGGATATTAAAATTATAGCTGTATAACTCTGTATAACTGTTTGCCTCTAAGTGTTGTCAATTCGAAATCTCTAAATATATTTAAAAAACGATTAAGAACCCACATATTAGATGATTTCACTGATCTTGTTTAATATCACTACTGTTTCATCATCAGCCTATCAACGCCCACTGCTGAGCATAGCCTCTTCTCACATGGAGAAGGTTTTGAGCATTAATCACTACTGTTTATTATTTGTAATTTTAATTGTAGTTATAACTACAATTAAAATTACAATTTTCAAAATTTCCTTTGTAAGCAAACTTTGTTCTTTTTGGAAATAAACTTCTTTAAACCTTTATAATACACTATACTTACTAAGAAAAGTCCCAACAAAGCCCGCATATTATCAGGGTTCAGTTTCAATGCCTGGCAGTAATATGTCTTTGCCAGTTCCATGTTTTCAACTCCACCCTAGAAATTAATGCATTAAATATTAATATATTTTAAGAAAATAAATAAAATGTAAGACTTTATACAAATCAGTAAATTTTTTTGTTATATAATAACAAAGCTTGAATACACATGAAAAACCTTCTATATATTTTATAATAGACTAGCTTTTCACAAATTCAGTAACCTAATGTCAATTTATGCAAAACTAAATCAGTCAAAACGTGTTTATTCTGGATGCAACATTCATATAATACCGATCATATTTATTACCAGAGGATATTTGTATATATATAAATATCAACCAGGACAATGGTATATTATAATACACTAGCTTTTGCCGCGGCTTCGTCCGCGTGGAATAGTGACTTCCGGCAGATTTTTGGTTCTTCCCACATAGTTCCCGTTCTTGCGGGGTTTTCGGAATGGTCGAGTTCCCGTAGAATTTTCAGGATGAAACCTATGTTTTTTTTATTAATAATGAAGTACTCTTAACCAACAACATATTTATTTGTTTATATGAATAAAGATTAATATTATTATTTTGATACAACTTAAACAAATTATTTCGACAAAATTAGGTACCATAAAAACGGTTTTTGTGAGTTAATCTTAAAAGATAGACATATACTATCGCGGACCGTTTTCTAGATCATTAAAAGAGCTATTATTCTTTAATACATATTTTTTGTGTATCTTGAACCGTTTTTACGGCGCACGCAACGGAAGGCTTCAAAGATGAAATAATTTCTCCCGTTTCTTACACATTTACCACTATATCTTTGCCCCTATTGGTCGTAGCGTGATGATATATAGCCTACAGCCTTCCTCGATAACTGGACTATCCAACACAAAAAGAATTATTCAATTCGAACCAGTAGTTTCGGAGATTAGCGCTTTCAAACAAACAAACAAACTCTGCAGTTTATATTAGTATAGATATAAAAAAAGAGTTTCTTTCGCCGGTTCTCCTCAGGTCAGGGTATTTTCTTTTCCGAACCGGTGATAGTGTCTCAAGTGACCATCAATAAGAAAGTGTAATGCTTCTATATTGAATAAAGTTATTTAAGTTTGAGTTTAAACATACCATAGTGTAGCGTATATCAGCAAGACGTTGATGCAATAAGTGATGATGAGGACTGTGTAGGATCTGTTCTTCAGCACAGAACACTGCCTTCGAGTACTCCTGGATCACCAAGTACATCTCACACAACTCCTGCCAAGCTTCCACATCAGATATGAATCTATGATAGATTAAAGTTATGAATAAAGATTTCATTGCATATAAAACCAGCTATTTGTATGTCTTTTCATATAATTAAAATATTTGAATCCAAAAACACTTATATAATATAAAGAAATAAATTAATTATTATATAAATTATTCTTTAACCATGCAATATAATGGTAAAATTCTAAATTATTGATTGTGTGTAATATTTACTGTTTAAATGAAACTAATATTTTTTGTTTGTAATATGCATGCCTTATTTTTGTAAAAAACTACATACTCCCCACATTTTGGTTACATTTCAGCAACCGTGATCATGGGCAGTAAAGATATAAGTTTTATTTAAATGAATAATATAGTGAAAGTCTTAGATATCATAATATTTACTGTTTCAAATAAAACACCAGTTCCTTGATAGCTTCAGGAATAAGTCCCATAGCTTTGTAGATGGTCACAAATCGTTTACACGCTGGTGCTTGTGTTCTATCGATTGTTGTGATATTTTCTAATTCACTTCTAGCTTTTTTATATCTGAAAAAAGTATAGAAATTATTCATTTAGTTGATCATTACTTCCGATTTTATTACAATACAGTTTGTAAATAACTAGCATTAATAGATAACATAATGGGGTTAGAGTTATAACATCATTGTTAATTTAGAATTTCAAACTTAACCACTGTATTTCTCCATATAATGTCCATATATTAACTTTAAATTTGTCTTTCACTAATTTATTTCCTACTTATAAGCATACATTCAGGCACTAGATAAAAGATTTTTCTTTTATGTCCATGGCATATTCTCATATTATATTTAACATTAATTATTCTATCAAATGGAGATTTTAGTGTAGTAACTTACTGGCCCTCTGCTTCTAAGCATAAAACTCTGTATCTCAGAACTCGAAGGCTATTGGGAAACTCATCATTGAGTTTCAAAGTCCACATCTTAGCTAAACTGTAATAGTGACAATCCAGTGCTGCGTAGATAATTTGCTCAATTATGACATATTCTGGAAAAATAAATATTTAGTTAAATATATATGTATTGCATCAATGAGATCTAAAATTCGTGGATACGATTGTTTTGCATTTATATGGCATTGATATGAGTATTGAAAATATGTTAAGTTTAAGCCAATTTTCTCATATATAAAAATATTCAGTAGACTTACTTTCAGTTCCAAGTTTTTGAAGAGCGTTTTCATCAATCGAATGTTGTAAATACGTGTTAATGATGTCTTCGCTTCTCCTTTCATTATTTTCACGCCATTGACGGTATAAATCAAATATTTCTGGAATGTAATACATATATTCTTAATTCTATTCCAAATAGAACTGCAAAGCAGGTTATAATTTGTTTATATCTTATTACCATTCACACTCATATTCTCGAAATTGTAAGACATTTTAATTGTAATTTTAAGTATTGATACTATTTGTAATTTTAATATAAGTTTAAAATATGATTATATGGTGAAATATAAATATTAAATTAGTCTTAGTTAGAACGTTTGACACGGACTTAGGTCTAATTTCAATTAATAATTCAATTTCATTGATATCGTCAAACTCAATTATTATATTCAGACTTCAGTGCTGAATGTTGTCAAATCGACTGATGTCATTTGACATCTATTTTATTGCCACTATGAAAGCTTGAGACTTTCTTCCATAGGTGTTATTTGTATTTCACGTAAAAATTTACTAAATTCAACTTTTTAATAATGAATGCTAACTAGAATGTTAAAAACATTATTATAGCAATTGTTGTCGTCTCGTTTGCCTGTGATCACGGTTTCTGTAAAAGGAAACCAAACGTCGGGATAATGTAGTCAGAAAATAATAAAAAACGAGTAGTATTATCAGAAAATCTTAGCTTTATTTTAAATGAATACAGGCCATAATCTTAGAAGTCATCTATGATTTTTGTAGTGGAGGTAGGATATTGTATCATCCCTATATTTTAGTTTTAAAGTGATAGACTTTTAGTTCTTACAATAGTCAATACATTAAGACAGGTCTATTTCTGCCTCTATTTTTATTTTATAATAATTATTTTTAATTAACATTATTCAACTCTAAAAAAAGATGTAACTGATATAGTCTTATAGAATAGTGTTTTTTTATTCGTAAAATTGAGACCCAATTTTTTTTACTTATAAAACACATGGTCTATAACATTGCCAATGTCATAGAAATAACGTTCCATTTTACGCATTCAAACAAATGATCATATTTATTTATTGATTATTGATTTCTCCGGCTGCCTACGATACTTGGAAATGCCACAGACTATACTTTAGAACTTGTATATATTGAAGTAGTACGTAGATCGGAGTGTGGTGTGTAGTGTGAACATTCTGTGGTGATGTGATGTGAATTGTGAACCTGTGATCGAGACGTCTGCAATATCACAATATGTCTGACTATTTGGAAATATTTTTAGAATAAGCGTACATGATACTAAATAATTAAAGGATTCATTTAATAGACGTCCATGATATGGACAATATATGACAAAGGTTTAAAAAAGGTGAGCCCTGTTTTTAATTTAAAACTACAGACGTATTCATTTCTTTCTGTTCGCGTTCGACTTTTTTATGTATCAATGGCCTTTATCTCGAACTTTTGTTTTCTTTTGTCTGTTCGCGGTGCGTTGAACGAGTTTCTGTTATTAAGTGATGCAAATATGTTTATAATACATTAACCTAGCTGTATTTTGTCCGACAGATCGATAAGGAGGCGAGTTATAGTGGAGATATGTGTTGTGGGCAAATCGCCTTACTTGTGTGTAGTAGTTATGCGCGTGACGGGCACCGAGCAGAGTGGTGCTTCGGTCTGAGCGCTCATTGGACGATATAACGATTCTCGCATCGCCAGGGTCACCCTGTGCGACGCGTTTTTGTACATATTGTTACACTATAGACAACAAATATGGATCAGAGAGTGCAATGCCCCGTGTGTACACTGTACCTACACAGTGGAATGTCCTTAGAGACACATCTGGACACACATCCGAAAGATCAAGTTATTAAAGCATTGTGCTGTCTCTCAAAGAGCGGCAGTAGTAGTAGCAGCAATACCTTTAGTAGTAGAACACCTACCCCTTTGACCTCAGAGAGATCTTACCGGAGTAGGTCGAGAACCCCTGCCACCGATGACAGTGGCAGATGGGCAGCAACGCATCGTAATAATGAGAATGAAAGGTTCTGGAGGAGGACTCCGAGCAGAACAAAGTCTACACCAACATCTAATACCTCAAGAAATGCAACACCGGATCTTAGAATCGGAAGTATTACATTTGAAAATGCCTCAAACAACAATTCCACTCAGTGTTCAGACTCTTATACAGTGAAATCTGATAAAACTCCGACATACGGCTCTAATGCACCATCATCTGACTTTGATCAACCATACCCCTTCTTTGCTGAGCAACAAGATGATCCTGAGATTAAATTTTCACGTAGTTCTGAGTATAGTCCGCAGATTGAAAATACAAGCAATATTTTTGGATATAACATGCCAATAATGGGGTCGGCCTCGAAAATACCTTCTGCCAATCCCATAGCATCTAGAAGGGGGAGTGATTATGTTAAAATAGTGCCAAAATCTGGTAATGTGCTATTAAAGAGTTATGTTGGAGGAATGCCGTACCTGTCTCCAGGGGGGAAACCAATGCATGTTGTATTGCCTAATACTCCACCATTTGCACAGAAGAATTTGCAGAGTAATTTGGTTATGCCGGGATCATTACAAGGATCGTCGACAATGGACCCGAAAACCGTAACATCAAATTCTAGCCAGTACAACCAATTAACGACAGACACATTCACACAAAGCAGTACAGTTGTCACTCAGAATTCACAAATTATTTATAGGGAAATGGTTCACAATGTTGACGGCAAACCATACATTTCCAATTTACCGTCCACGGTTGGAAGTCAAGAAAATACCACAAACGTAGCACAATCTAGTTCAATGTACCAAAACGTGATGGTCGTCGACCAGTTTGGCAACACGTCATGTATGTACACATCCCCACATTTATTACCTAAAACAAATAGTTCTTTTAATGAAAATTTATCATATGTTCAAAACGTGCCAGAAAAGTCTGTTCCTAATGTAGTTAATGATGCAAATAAGACTCTGATTATCGAAGTAAGCCCGATGTTACCACCAGATACTTCTAGCAGCGCAAGTGTGAGTCCAAGTCCACAACGGACAACACCACAGTCTGCAATAAAGAAAAATGATAGAGAAAAATCAGAATCTAAGAGTGATACTTCGGGATCGACTAAAGGTCTAAAGATTCTAAGCAATATTAAGGTAGAAGTTCCTGTGCAGCATCACAAAAATATGCTCAACACTGTAATGGATCTTACTGGTTCAACGGACTCCGATTATCCTGAACAGTCAGTTACACCGGAAAAGATATTACCAGATCTTGATAATCCAAGCACCAACGATGACTGTACTCAGCCTTCGATCGCAAGTGTTGATAGCATCGGTTCAAATTCATTTTCGGTCATCAAAAATTCTAGTAATTCATCGTTTAAAGAAAGCGTCAGTAAGACGGGTAGTATGGACAACAAATTGGATACCGAGTTCTCGGATAGCTGTCCCGTTCCTGATCTGATATGCAATGAGAAACCATCGATATCGCCTTGCAGCGAGCTATCAGAACACGGGGATAACTCAACTGATAGAACATCCCCCATGCCCAAACCAGAAAGCAGTCAATCAGTCATCTCAACTAACACCACAGACAGCGACAAAAAACCGCCGAACAAAACAAGAAACAATTTACTCAGACTAAATAACATATTCGTCAAAAAGCATAAAAAAGTCCTCCAAATAAAAAACGCTAAACTCTTCCCGCCCAATCACAGTCAGATACAAGAAACAAGAGAATCATCCTCATCTAACAAATCACCAGAAAACTTCAGCATCAATAAAATTCATTCCGAAAACGGCAATACGAAGCCTGGTGGAAATTTACATAATATTAGTATTGAAAAGATTAAAGCTATTGAAGAACATCAGAACGAATTTGACGCTAACACGGAGGAACAATCTATGGATATTGAACCAGTGACACCGTCTAACGTGAACCATAGTCACTACACCACCACAGTCGATATGGTGCATGTGAAAGAAGAAGTGAATTCCAGCAACGATTTCAGCAACGAAGAGAGGTCGTCCACTGATATCGCGCCCATGGAAACCTTGAGACCTATCAACGTTATCAACTACAGCAACATGACTGGAGACTTTGATGAAGAATCAAACCACAGGGAACTATTAGAATTGGAAGCAGCGTCAAAAAATAAACAATTCGTCTCCATGATGAATGAAAACTACTTCGGCGATAACATCTACGCGGATTACTTCACGCCGGACCGCGTTGAAGCCTTCGATGCGGCCAAGGAGTCGAATTACGTGAAAGACAATACAAAGGATCCAATGTACATTTGGGGGGAATCGTCACAGAAGGAGAGCGAGTTCGTCTTACCAAACTTTATCCACGAGAGTTACAAGATAGCTGAAAATGGGGTGGATTATAACGATTTGGCGGATAACCAAGTGGAAGTAGATAGGTGTGAAAGGGATAGTAAGGCTGATGTATTGAGTGAGGGGGAACCTCCGCTGAATATCTGCTCCGACGAAAGGATGCCGCCGCGTGGCGAACTCAGCGGCCAAGAAAGCAACGGAGATATGGAGTCGCCTTGGAACGGGGTGAGTTGAAAATAAATATTCATACAGCCGCAGCTAATAATCGAACAATTAACACATCGAAATCGAGGCTATTATGTCAGGGTCGAGTTCGCGATTATGTTAATTAGTCATTTCTGTTTTATTCACAGATATTTTCCGTTTCATTGTTGATTATTAATTTATTGTTGTTTTTTTTTCGTATGTAATGTTTTTATTTAACTTTCCAGATGTATTCGGGTGTGCAACCTACGGAGCCTTACGATCTTATGGCTCGTGAGAGCTGGGTGTCCGATGCTTCTGATGATGAAGGGAATGAAAAAACAGAAAATATGTAAGGAATATTTATAAATAATTAAAATCATTATACGTGTATATCATTAACATAACTGCTCTCTAATTAATTAACGTTTTTGTCCATTTTTTGTATGTTTGTTACATCTAATATCTTAAATTGTTTGATCGATTTTGATAGAATTTTCATTGGCAGATTGCGAATGTAATAGGAAGTAACTCGAGCCACTATTATTTAAGATATATTCTATCTAGTATATTTTAAAAATCACATTATAATAGCCACAGTAACAAATATTTATACAAAAACATGAACAACTTTACAGCGAGGAGGAAATCCATTTCCCTAAGATGAGGCAATACAACTGTGCTCAGTGCAGTACGAAGTTTGCGACGTTGAAGGAGATGAGAGCTCATAGGGTTGTCGCTCACGCCCTGCCAACTTGTTCCAGTACAAAGACCTCCTACAGCCGACTTATGACTGCCCGAGCCATCAAGAAAGAGGAAAAACCTGATGAATCTGTACTAGCTGGTAATTAAACAAGGAAATTTTGATAAAGACTTAAATTATTATATAGAAAAATAGTCTTTGCGACTTCGTCAGCGTTAATTTCGGAATTAGTAACATATACATATATAGCTGACAGCCCGAACTTTATTCTTTCTAGAGGCTGTAAACAACCAGATATTGGAATTTATTTAGTTTTTTTTCGATTGAACAGAATTAAATATCACATGTCCGTCTTCTAGTACAAAGCTATCTCTTCACCAATTTTCAACCATATCCATACAGCCGTTCTTGAGTTATAAATAGTGTAACTAACACTACATTCTTTTATACATATATAAATATAAACGAAATCTCTTGTAATTACAATTTATTCATGAAAAATTGTCTACTTATATAATCCTGTTAATTTCCAATGAAACTTCTAAATGTATAACTATGTACATTCCAGGAAATCTCCTAACTTTGGATTCCAAGGAGTCAATGGCGACTACCATGATGCAGGTATACGATTCCATGAACGAAACCAAGCCGCAGATAGAGAGATTAATTAAAACCGAGACTAAGAAACGCCGCCGGGATTACGTGTGCCCTACATGCAAGGAAGATCAGTTGACCGAGGCGGGATTCCACGCGCATCTTAAGATACATCCCTTGGAGTGCCTCACGTGTGGAAAATGCTTCTTCAAGCGCGCGAACCTCGCGTTACATGCGAAGACTCACACCGGGATAAAGAATTTTAAGTGAGTTGTGCATGTACGTCGACCTGAATTATGACGTATGTGTGACGTCACCTGACATGTACTTTGTCTCGTGTTAAATTAAATCTATTTAATTTATCAGTTATTTAAAGATTTTATTAATATATTTTACTAGCTGATTTTATTAATATATTTTACTAGCTATAATTAATATATATTACTAGCTGTGCCCCGCGGTGCTACCCGCGGGTTTCCGGGATGTAAAGTAGCCTATGTGTTATTCCTAGACGTCAGCTTCCTGTATACAAAATCTTATCAAAATCGGTTCAGCCGTTTGAGCGTGAAGAAGTAACAAACATACACACACACTCACAAACTTTCGCAATTATAATTTTAGTAGGATGATTTGTATTTAATATTACCGGATATATAAAGTATAAGCTTGCTCGTAATCAAGATTGATTCATATGTATCTATCAATGCAGTCTAACAGAAGTGAAATTACAAGGAATTTTTCAAATATATATATTCTATTTTATCTATTTTATAGATGTGAGATCTGCGAGAAGCGTTTCCTGACTCGCCAGAAGCTGACAGAGCATCACAACGTGCATACCGGCCGTACTCCCGTCAAGTGTACTATGTGTGATGACACATTCCGAAGATACTCCAACATGGTACAGCACAGGTATCAAATGACAATAATATAGCTTTTATATGAAACTAATATCATTCGGATTAGTACGCGAAACCAACATCCCCAAAGACCATACCATCAAGGTCAACAAATATTACGAGCTCACAAACGAACTCACTCGAAATAGGTTCGTCGTAGATTTGTACGCGGTAGAGGTGGGAGCGAGAGGTATAACAGCTAAATCTCTCTATAACATACAAAAAGACTTGGGCTTGTCCAGAACTCACATTAATGCATTCTTGGAACGTACATATAACGCAGCCCTAGTAGGTTCTTTTCAAATTTGGTTAAGTAGAGAGGAGCTTGGACAGTGGAGGTGAGCGTTTAACGTGTGAAAAGGGAGATGGGTGGGGGAATAGTTTTATGACGTAACACATTAAAATTGAAAACGAAATGTTCAATGTGAATTGAAAATAACTATATGTTAACTTGATCTATATTTATTAATAATTAAGTATTCATTTTATATGCATACATAAATTTTAAAAGTGTGACGTCACATAAGGAGGGAGGGATATAAAAATGTAATGGGTTTAATAATTATAAAATTCGTGTTACCTACTTTATGGATAGCCTCATATTGTAATTATAACAGCTAGGGCCCTACTTCTTGCGAGGTTCTAGCTCAATCCCTGGTCGTGTCAATAAATTGTCAATTCTATTTCTATATAAATTAATCTATAATTCGAATTACGATGTAATTAACATCCATCAAATTCCAGAGACAGACACCACTTCAAGAAGAAGGCAAAAGTCAGGGATTTCCTATGTCACTGCGGGGCGGTGTTCCACTCGAGGGCGAAGCTCCACTGGCACAAAGAGACTCACGAGGACAAGCCCAAGGCGTGCCTGTACTGCAGCGACAAGTTCGTGCACGCGGCTTCGCTCACACGACACGTGAGACGGACGCACAATGAACACTTCAGTTCGCTGAGGATCAAGGGAAAATTGGAAAATGTGCCGTGTCCTGTCTGTAAACAGGTATAAATAGACGTGTATATATAAATAAAGTTATATAGACATATACATTATACATATATGTCCTTATGTCCCTTGGAGTCTTGAATTTGATTCTCGATTCTCATCCACTAAATTTGAAAATAAAATACTTAATCAAATCATACTTAAAGAATAACGATTATTATAAATTAATTAATATTGAACAAACAAGTACATATTTCAGCTAATTTCACGACGCTCACACTGTTTAATTCGCTGCATATCAAGAGTAACATGATCATGTGTTTAGAATCTACCGTTTCATTCTCTCTCTCCTACTATCTACATTTCTGTATCTCTCTTTCTCTGTAGCTCGGCGTAAAACGTTTAACGCGCCTTACTTTAAGTCGCATAAGAAGTTTCATTCCAATATTTATTCTATATTCCTCTCTCCAGATGTATCTTCGAACAAATCTCCGAGCTCATCTATTAACTCACAGCGGCAAGCGGCCGTATCACTGCATCATATGCAACAAGGGCTTTACAACCAAGTGGAACCTCAAACTACACCGGTGGACTCATTTAAGTCGGTCAGCGAAGCCCTACAAGTGTACTCTATGCAAGGGAGCCTTCATCAGGCAAACCGAATACATCTCACATATGAACGCTCACAAATCAGTTCGCCCATATACCTGCAACTACTGCGGCTGCCAGTTCATCAGGAAATATAATTGTCAACGACACGTAAGAGAACACGAAACGGCTAAGAAATACGTATGCAAGGTCCCGGAATGTGGTAAATCATTCCACAGAAGCTACTATCTATCAGAACATATGAAAGTACACAGCGGAGCTAGGCCGTTCTCGTGCAATATATGCGGAAAAACATCCAGTAATAAGTCGAATCACAATAAACATGTTAAAATACACCACGCAAGAGAACCTGTGGCCACTGAAGCTTAGATATCTGGGTTAAAGCAGTACTAACTGCTCGTGTAAATAATTAGTTAAATTTTTTAAAATTCTACCATGTAAATACAGGACCAAGGATTTACTGATTACACCACATATATATTCGTGTGTCGTTCATAACTGTCATAGAAATATTTCACAAAATTAATGGATTATCATCTACAGTATAATCGAAATGTTTTCTAATAAAAATAGGTTGTGAACAGAATACTAATTCAGAATTAACGAATTTTCTCTGTATATATACTAGATGAATTTGTGTGGTAATGTCAGTCATGCGATGTACATAATTAGTTAAATTACCGTGGGCATTCGGTGAGGGTACCCCGCTTGTTAAAACTACGTCTTTCTCGTTTTCATAGCTTTAAAGTTTGAAGCAGATTTTGTAATGATTTTTGATGGTATTGCATTTTTTATTTAAACTACGCCTGATGGAATTTAACAACAAAATGTTTATTACAGAATCTGCTCCAGCTTTAACGGGATTTTTGCTCAAAGCACTATTTTCTATACATTGACCGTCTAGGCATTTTTAATTCAGATTTCGGATACTTTAAATATTTTTAATTATTATAATTTAGTTTTAAATTTTATTTATTATTATTTTTTATCTTTAATTATTTAGTCTTATTTTACTTAATTTTTTTTACTAGCCGATGAACTTTTGATAACATTTGACAGATTTCTCTTAAGTCTTCCGTATGCTAAATTAATGTTTTTATAATCTGTGTCTGTTATGTTCTGTGTTGACAGCAATTAAAATTAATTCACAACCTTCAGACTTAAATAAAACATAAAATTTATAATATTAAATTTAATTTATATCTTTATATAATTATCTTTATATAAAATTTAAAATATTTCAATTTGAGAGCCAGTCTGAAGACATGTTATTGTGTTATTAAATACATTTCTGTAGTTGAAAATACGAAATATAGCTTATAATGAAACAGTTCAATATTTATATGTACGGTATGTTTTAAGATTATTTTAGTTGATGCGCCAAGCGAATTATAAAAAACATGTTTTATCTTATAGCCCATAGAGTACCATTTAAACTTATTATGAGTTCGCATCGACAAACTAAAAACGAGAAGTTGGTAGTTTATTCCCATTTGCGAAGATTACGAATGAAATACTTGAAAATGTCTGTTTAGTTTGACCATGGGAACTCGTCTTAAGGGTAACATAGCGCACAGCGAACTAAAGAACATATTTTATGTTTCTTAATAGATACCAAGATATTTGATTGAACTTAAATTAATGTATGAAATGGGCTTTATGTAAATGAAATTAAAATATTCCATATTTTAAGTACAAAAAAACAATTTATCCCACCGCTAATTCTGCTTGGCGTGAGGACATGGAACGTGCATAATAGTATTTCTTTGTTGTTGCCATATATTTAGGCGACGTATAAAAATGTACTCTATATTAAGTACGTAAAGTTCAATTTACTATGAAATTCTACTGTGATTGAAAATTTTTCGTATTAGTTTAAAAAAAAATGAATATTGATGTAACTGTATAAGCAATCGTGCAATCTTAGCCGTTTGTGGTTATCGTTGTTATGTAACGGACCACGATTCTATCGAATGTAAAGATTTTACAAACTACCCTAAAAATACGATATAGTGTTGCCATCTCTTTCTAACACATGACAATTAGAACTAAAAAAAAAGAGAAAAGAATGAATATTTAGTATTTTTCCATATGTAAAATCTTTATGTTGGTAGAGCGTTTGGTTCTTATATATTTATATATGTATCTACATATGTGTATATATAAATTGTTGTCTTTTAATGAATCACACCAGCTGTGTTCATGAATGTCGTATTTTTAATTTTTTCTGTATTTTTTTTTAACGTAAAACAATGATCTCGTAATTTACAGCAAAAGTTTGATTTTTTTTGTTATTATAGTTGAATTGTATAGCTTTAGATCGCCGGAGGGCAGTCGATATCATATCTAGTGTGTGTTATCGCATGGCCCGCTAATAGCGTCCTTTACTCGGCTATTATAGTAAGATCTTTATTTATTTTAAAGTAATTTGTAAATATTACTATATATTATTTTGTAATATGTGGGTCGTGCACCAAAACACAGTTCAGCGGGGTTACTGAACTGGACATTGTGTCTGCAATAAATTAAAATAAGGTAAACGATGACGTCATTTAATTTCCCCCTCCATGGACATATTCATATTAAATGAAGATAAAATCGATAATATTCTAACTAAAGATTGACGCATACTTTAAGGTTTTTCAGTTCTTCATATCCCTAGTAGATACTACCATAATATGTGAAGGTTTATGAGACGAAACCTCTCATTCATCGTGTGGATGTCGGGTCCATCGTTGTAGTGAGAGGAGCTTCAACAGTGACTGGGACTTGTGACCCAGGTGTAGGTTTAAGGGTCCCTTATCTCAGCCGCGTTAAACGCTCACCTCCACCGTCCAAGCTCCTCTCTACCTAACCAAATTAAAAACGAAATTACTTTTAATTATGTACTAGAAACGCTTTGTATGCAAACGGTACAAACATAATGTAAGTTTAAGGTAAACTAAAATATAATAAAGGTCAGGCATTTTCAATATAAAAACTAAAAAAATTTCTCTTTCACGTTGAGCTAATGTATAATTTGTATGACAAACATAGAAGTGTTGCTGATTCGTTGAAGCGAGGAAAAACAAGCGTTTAAAACAATATTGTGTAAGAAAACTTATCTGAGGTCATCGGAGACAGCTTGGGAAGTACGTCACTTGTCCTATTTTAATCTCGTGAATAATGGCCCTTATTGCGTCAACTTTTGTTTTTGTTTGGAAAGTGCGTCGTATTGAGATTGAGAAATGTAAACCATAAGGAAATTATACGATGATATTACAGTGACAGTTTTAAACGTTTCGTCATAACACATAAGTACGATATAAATCTCTCAATGTAGGAATCTATATCCAAAAGTATTCAGCTAAATTTGTTTATTGCTTGAAGGTTTGTCATTAGTCATTTCTGCAGTTTACTAGAAAATAATATTTAATCCTATATAGATTTTAATTCGTCAAACAAACAAGAACGTTGACATTGGCAAAATATTCCACGATTCCAGTGATATAAGAGATTTCCACAGATTTATTGACTCATCACAACATCTCTAAAACAATACGGCGTAGAAACTTGAAATTTGGTAGGAATATTCCTTTCGAGTGGAAGTCATGTAAAAACAAATAATTTCGATAGTTTTTGTCAATTATATTTAGTTCCATAGTTAGGTATATTACGTAGTAGGTAATTAATTTTTTTATTACTTAAGCTTTCACAGAAATTATTCTTGTGCGTGTGCATAGAAGGTACTATGAAGTTTTTCATTGCTTTTGGTCGAAACGAAGTCGCGGGTAACAGCTAGTCTATATATTCACAGAGATTCCAGTAGATCTCCGATGAAATTTTTGCTTACTAAGTTATATTCATCTTACATACAAATGATAATTATTAATGTAATAGCTACTTAAAAGTTCAATGTGTTTTTGCACGAAAGACGCACCTTTTTAATCTCTAACATATTATAAACAACATCGCTCATCGGATAAGGTTTCTAGAAAAAATCGATTCAGATGGAATACTTGAGGTCACGATAAGGATCGTCATAATATTTTATTAATTAAAAGTATATATTTTTAAGACGTAAGTATTGAATGGTAGGAAATATTCGATAAGTTTTCCATTGTTTTTGTTTTTGTCCGTGTTTAAACCAAACAAATTTCTTTATGGATTTGTTTTTGAGAAAAACCCAGTTTAATGTAATTTCAAGGCTGCAGCTCACTGGATAGCAAATTGTTGTGTTTTAAATAGATCATCATTTATAAGAGACTTTTAGATACATTTGAATCACAAGACGCTTAATATTATATAGTTATATCTCACACAAACCTAGTAAAAACCCTTATTCTATTTCGTTTCCATTAAAAATTCCAAAAAATTTCAGTTACAACTTTCAATCTCTTCGAATTATTGCGTAAACATCATGTAAAAAAGTACAAAAGAATCTTTAGTGTTATCTGGTTAGCTGCATATGTTTGTATCCTTGCATCTGCCCCGCTTGGGGCTAAAATTAAGATTCTTATTACTTTGATGTCAGAATTATTTCGGTGTTGTAAGAGAGAAAAATAAATGGCTAATAAAAAATCAACTTAAATCCATCAACACTTACATAACTTTGTGTAAAAATTTCTGTGCTCGTGATAATAGTAGCTCGTCTAAAGTCTAAACCAACTATTGTTTTAACGTACTTTTTCTCAGTAGGAACCAATTTCATGAAAAAAGAGATCACAGAAGTTTGGCTTTTTATTAATTGCAAAATTTATTAGCGAGCCATAAGATCATCATACTATAGCCATGTTACCTATTACAACAATAATGGTACAAAGTAGAAAAACTCTAAAGGGCGTTTACACAACATTCATTATTTTAATTCATTACAACACATGAAAAGCTGAGATAGTATATGTCAAATTCTCTATATCAGCTCAATCGAACGACTTGGCATGTCTGAGGCGTCCCTAGTGGGAATGTGACATTTGTTTCTCGCTTCAATACGTGTTCAAAAAAGAATAATCAACAGTACTACCACTGTGAAATGTACGTAAAACCTATATACAAAGTCATCAGGTCATCTTATTGAAGGTTTCTAAAATCTGACAACAAATATTCTGCTAAAATGTATATCGTTAAGAAAATTAAATCCAGTTTAGCCTTCACCAGATAGCCTAGGTTATTAAGAATAAGATGTAGTTAGACATAGTGATTGTGGAAAGAAAGGTTACTGTAAAACCTTTTTATTAATTTGATAATCATATTTTTAGTGCTACTGATAGACTGAACTCTTTGCATATTGCTGAAAGTGTAATGATCATAAAAATCTAAAAGATTATGGCTCTCGTCTTAAGCTGATGATGGCGTTGTGGTTTTTGATAAAAGAGACAAAGGGATTTCGA